GGGCAGCAGCGTACTTCTTAAAACATCTCTAAAAATCTAACTACGGCTGCAAGGGGGGAAAGGGATTGTTAGTAATGAAGACTGAGAATCCCATTGCTAGTAATATACCCAACCAGGTCGACCTCCTCGCGGTTTTCCTGGAAACTATCATGGTTAATTCCTGATGAATTCATCATGCTGGGCTAACTGGCCTGTTTTCATTCTCATCTATCACCATTCACTGGTGTTCCGCAAGCGTATCCCGTTAGCGCAGGCGGAGTTACCATAGCATTTTCACCTAATAAAAAAAATTTGCGGTTGCCAACCCGCCTACCAAGCGTATATTATATTATATATATATATATATATATATATATATATATATATGCTCGCCATATATATATATATATATATATATATATATATATATATATATATATATATATATATATACAAAGTGGCGAGCACATCTAGTAAAAATAATAATCGTAATGAAATCGAATGAAAGTGAAATACATTTAATTATTAGTTAATAATCGCACATCAACGTTAATATGGTTACGAGTTAATCGAGCTACCGATTAAATCGATAATCACATGTAATCTGCCGAGTATCGGTGTCACACAACCCCACTACACTCAAAACCACAGAGTACTTGAGAGAAAAAGAGAAATCATAACGCGTATTATTTCAATTAGCACAATTCTTTTTGCACGAATCAAATTTAAAAAACATAGAGCAAAAGTATCAAGTCATTTTTGCCTTGTTTTTTTAGCTATATATAGATAAATTGATAGATATATAATTTATTTGTATTACTTACAGCACACAAATCACAACAGACGTAGATAAAAAGCGAGATAAAATAAATACATATGCAAAAAAAAATTAAAAGAGTAACACAATTTTTTCTTTCATACGTGGGCCATAGTAACACAAAATGGTCACAACTCAGTTTATTGCTTTGCCCTGAAAAGAGTAAAACACTGATATTCTGTTGTGACCGAAAGGGAATTGTTACAAACTCCTTTGTAATTTGTATTTCAAATATTGTATTCTTTTAATTATTAATTTTTTTTATAAACTGTCAGTATAACGATAGTTCACAATTAGTTATTGGTCCTTCGAGCCGGCTCGAAGGACCAATAATATTATGAACTGATTGTAATAAAGAAAACGCCGGTTCGTGTTGAAAAGTTATACTGACAGTTTATAAATAAAAAAAAACAACAAGAGTAATTAAAAGAATACAATATTTGAAATACAAATAACAAAGGAATTTGTAACAGGAATCATCAGTTATCTATACAATAAACAGCAACACGACACTTTATCTAGCAGGTAAATGAAATAGAAAAGTAGCTTGATGGAATATCAAATTTTTGCTTTTCAGTCAAGAATTGTTTAAATTTATTTTGAATTGTCATACTGCCAGTTAGTTTACCATTCTAAAAATAATTAAAAATAGCGATTGTGAAAGAACATATTGTTTTTAAATTGTGGAATGTTAACACTAATACATGGCTAGACAATGGCGGACCGGTATAAACTTACGTGTGTAGGCTGTGTTAATTATTACAGTGCAACGGTCACCATACTACCGTGCAAATTTTATATTCATGGCGCGGTTGAGACGCCGTCTGTGTGACACTATAATTTATTACTACAAGACTGCCTTATTGTTTATCTGTAAATCTTATTATATCTATTTAAAAAAAAAAAACTAAAAACGATAAATATATTAAATACTATAACTACACCAACCGGAGTATTTAATAATGTTGTATCAAACAGGAACGATCCCGCAAATTAAAAAAAAAATTACGTATTACTCTGTGCAAGTAGGGGCTGTGGGGCAACAGTGGAACCCGCGCATATGGTCACAATAGAGCGGAATGTCCTCGCAGCATCCACACATGTCCCTGCACGGGGCGACCCATTCACAGGGCGCAAGCGAATTGTATTGAAAGAGAGTGTTTTGACAAAAATACACGACCCAAAAAGCAATAAGTTAATTAAGTATGTAATTAATTTTTTTATACAACTTAGAATGGCAAACAAGCTGACGGCCCACCTGATGGAAAGTGGTAACTATTGCCTATAGACATGAACAGTACCATGGACATAACAGAGTATATACTGTGTCGCCCATAATACCCTCCATGCGTTGGCATTCCTGAGGATTCAGGTAAATATTATTCCTCTGTACCCAGTAAATCCACGCTATATTCCACCCTTCAAACCGAAACACAGCCATGCAAACACAACTGCTTCACGGTAGTAACACGAATGGGACAGAGGTACTCAAGCAATCGACTTTTGTACAAAGTCTCCCTCTAGTGCTTTACGAGCTTTATGATCAGTACCGTGGACATAACAGAGTATACTGTTTCGCCCATAATACCCACCATGCGTTGGCATTCCTGAGGATTCAGGTGTTATTCCTCTGTACCCAGTAAATTCACGCCATATCCCACCCTTCAAACCGAAACACAAGTGTACGTGCAATAAGGAATAGGTACTTAAATAATATTTAATAGCAGTCGTGTAGTTTCAGTATAAAACAGACCTTCCTTTCCCGTGGGTGTCGTAAGTAGCGACTAAAAGAACATAATGGTCGAGGGATGGGCAACAGCGTTCCTCTTTAAGCATCACCAAAACCTAACCGCGGTTGCCAAACCACCTCCCACGTGTGGCAACTATTGGCAAAACTCCTCAACAGAGGGTAGTCTATGTTCAGCATTGAACAGTTAATGGCTGATATAATAATGAAGTGATAGATCGAAAGAAAGAGAATACTCTCCCAATAACTTCTTTTATATTAAGAATACAGACCGAAAGAAAGAGAATTCTCTCTTAATAACTTCTTTTATATTAAGAATCCAGACCGAAAAAAAGAGAATACTCTCTTAATAACTTCTTTTATATTAAGAATCCAGACCGAAAAAAAGAGAATACTCTCTTAATAACTTCTTTTATATTAAGAATCCAGACCGAAAGAAAGAGAATGCTGTCCCAATAACTCCTTTTATATTAAGAATCCAGACCGAAAGAAAGAGAATTCTCTCTTAATAACTCCTTTTATATTAAGAATCCAGACCGAAAGAAAGAGAATACTCTCTTAATAACTTCTTTTATATTAAGAATCCAGACCGAAAGAAAGAGAATACTCTCTTAATAACTTCTTTTATATTAAGAACCCAGACCGAAAGAAAGAGAATACTCTCTTAATAACTTCTTTTATATTAAGAATACAGACCGAAAGAAAGAGAATACTCTCTTAATAACTTCTTTTACATTAAGAATCCGGATCTAAAAAAAATAGAATACTCTCCCAATAACTGAATAAAAGATATGAGATGATGTGAATTAATCACTATGCACGCTAATAAGTTAAAAAGCACGCCCCCGCACCTGTCAAATGTTAAAACAAAAACAATGCGCGAGTGACGCACCGTTTGATTGCTATGGAAAAGTTGGCGCTACCGTTTACCTGACTGCGCAGTGGGGTGTGCTCTTTGTTGAATGTTTTAATTAAATATGGTAGTTTATGAAGAACGCATTGATGGGGCGTTGGGCCAACAGATTGTATTGATGGGCGCTTTGTTTGGAAAACAACTGGGATGCGGCGATAATGAAGCCCATGAACGTTCTGGCTCGGTAGATATACCGCATTGAGTTTATTCATCGACTTTCTTTCTGGAAGTCAAGCCAGAAAGGAAGTCACGACAGTCGTGACTTCCTTTCTGGCCAAGCATACTTGGAGTAATATAGATATTTTGATTATATTGCCTACAACGACAACGGTCGACAATTACAGAGGAAGAGAGCAGTATATATATATATATATATATATATATATATATATATATATATATATATATATATATATATATATATATATATATATATGTATTATACAACTTAGAATGGCAAATAAGCTGACGGCCCACCTGATGGAAAGTGATAACTGTCGCCTATAGACATGAGCAGTACCATGAACATAACAGAATATACGGTTTTTTTTTTTACAACACGGTGCAAACGAGCATGCGGCTCACCTGATGGTAAGTGACTACCGCCGCCCATGATCACCCACAACACCAGCGACATTGCAGGTGTGCTGCCGGCCTTTTAAACGGTTTCGCCCATGCGTTGCCATTCCTGAGCACTCAGGTGTTATTCCTCCGTACCCAGTAAATTCACGCCATACCCCACCCTTCAAACCGAAACACAACCATGCAAACACTGCTGCTTCACGGTTGAAACACGAATAGGACAGAGGTGAAGCAATCGACTTTTGTACAAAGTCACCATCGTGATATCGTGGGTAATACCTGGTGAAGTTATTGAGCCAGACCAACTAACTCAATCCTAACTTATCATCCTTCACTAGTACCACGTCAGAGTATACCAATAGCGCAGAAAAGGTTACCATTTCATTTTCATCCATTAAAAAAAAACCGCTCTCTTTTAACCGGCACCTTCCCAATAATGGAGCAAAGGCAGGGCAGGGCGCAAGCGTATTAGACAAATTGCATTACTATCGCCTGCCACTTAACTAAATAAAAAGAACATTGTTGCATGTTAGAATTACAAAGCATAAGACAACCTGTCTTGCAAGTGTAACCTATTTTAAGCAAGACATACAGATAGGTCACATAGAAATGTTATCAAAAATCGTTTAATACGTTTTTAAATCAAAACAACTACAGCTACAGAAGTACTGAAGTACTTTCTTGTGGCATACATTTCAATTAACACTAAACAGCATCTCAGTTACAGCACAACTCGACACTGGAGGCAAACATTGACACAGCCGGGAGGTTGGCCCCGAGTAATTTTATACGCGGCCCCCGTCGATCCTACGGTAAATAAATGGGAAATATTTATGTTAAACGTACAGTAAGCGTAATGAACAGGCCGGCTGTTTTCTTTTTTTGAAGTTGGAAACGCGAATCTCTTTACAGATGCCTTCGAAAAAGAAATAAAGAGCTGAAAGGAAACATTCAAACCTTACCTTATGATCGCATGAGCTCTATTCCTGAGGGTGGTGATGATCTCCAGATCGTCGCCAGGTTCCGTCCTCTTCTCTTCGTACAGCCGAGTGGCGCATAGAACTGAGTCGAGGGCGACCGAGAGGCAGTCGGCCAACTGTTTGGTCAACTCCATCTCTCTCAGGTCGGCGCTGAGGTCTTTGTCCTAACCAAAAAAAATTGCTGTTATCAAAGTTAAATTCAAACAAACTTAGGTTTTTTCAAACATCTACAGCAAGGGTTCTTTAAACATTTAAAAGAATGAAAAGAGGAAGCGGTGGCCTATTCTACGCCGGGACCACACCGCTATAATATTAATTAGATTTATATCTCTCTTCGTGGTGGGCTTTAAGGTTTTTTTTCTCCTACGAACACTCAGGTTATGGAATAAGCTCCCTGCTGAGGTTTTCCCAAGAGACTACAGCATGGGGTTTTTCAAAAGAGGGGTAAAGAGGTTTCTTCAGGTTCGTCAACACGAACGTCCCTGGTATTGCAGGCGTTCATAGGCTACGGTAACCGCTTACCATCAGGTGGGCCGTATGCTTATTTACCACCTCAGTAGCAAATATTAAAAAATACAAATAAAAAAAATTATTAATTGACCCGATCGTAAGACAATCCGCTAATCTTATCAAGAGGTATATTACCATATATAGCAATATATATATATATATATATATATATATATATATATATATATATATATATATATATATATATATATATATATATATATATATATATATATATATATATATATATATATATTACTTATACCTATGTCCAGTACATAAACATAATATTAATAACGAATATGTTAAAAGTATGTTATCCAATTTTTTTTTTACGACACAGGAGGCAAACGAGCATGCGGCTCACCTGATGGTAAGTGACTACCGCCGCCCATGGTTACCCACAACACCTGTGGCATTGCAGGTGTGCTGCCGGCCATTTAAAAAGGAATATGCTCTTTTCTTGAAGATTATGTTGTCGTATCGGTTTGGAAATGACGACGGACGAGTGGCGGTCTTCCACCGCACGTTTTTCAAGGCACTTACTTCCACGCACAACCACTCTTTGGAATCAACTTCCAGCAGCAGTATTTCCGAACCGATACGACAACATAACCTTCAAGAAAAGAGTATATTCCCTTTTAAAAGTCCAGCAGCACACCTGCAATGCCGTTGGTGTTGTGGATGACCATGGGCGGCGGTAGTCACTTACCATCAGGGTGAGGCGCATAAAAGATTGCCTCCTGTGTTGTAAAAAAAAAATTCCTGAGGACTCAGGTGTTAATCCTCTGTACCCTGTAAATTCACGCCATATCCCACCCTTCAAACCGAAACACAGCCATGCAAACACAACTGCTTCACGGTAGAAACACGAATGGGACAGAGGTGCCCAAGCAAATGACTTTTGCACAAAGTCTCCCTCTGTGGTAAAGTTGAAGATGGATGCACCTATTGATGGTATGTGACAGGAACCGAAGGGAAAGGGAAACATTTTTAAAAACATTTAATATTAATAAATTTAATGTGGGCAGTGTTCAGAACATAATGCATGCTGCTACTACCAAAACTGATTTGTGCTTAAGTGAATTAGTAAGTAGTATTGTCTAGTTATAATTATAATAGTAGATAACTTGTTTACATTTTATGGGATCGACATGTCAAAAAACAAAAATCCCAAATTAAACGTAGATTAAAAAAAAAAAAAAAAAAAAAAAAAACAATTATATCGGACCTATTGTAGTTAAATTAACAGGCGGTGTCGCTTCGGGTTCGAGGACAAACTTCAAGATAGGTACTAAGGCATCATACATTATGTATGTATGTACTCAACTAATAATATAGTAAGCCGGCACCCACAAATGCGCTGTGAACCATTATGACTCGCATAACCGTATAATATACTGTACTGCCTCTACGTAGCTAAGGGGCCGTGCCATTAGGTAGGCGTGTTCCGTCCGGGAGAGTGCACTCGCTCCATTACTCGCCTATAGTTACTTTCACGTTTGCATCTACTTTATATCTTCAATTTTATAACTTACAGATTGATTGGGCATTACATAATTAGGCATTAAGAGAGTTGATACAGAAATCCGGCATCGTCTGAATCATTAATATAACTTACTAATATTTATAAATGCGAAAGTGATTAATTTGTATGTTTATTTGTTACTTCTTGGCACATTCAACTAATCGTAATGATACATCGTAGTTTTTTTTTTTGATGGGTGAAAATGGTATGGTAACTCCGCCTGCGCTGCGATACTCTGGCGGAGCACCAGTGAAGGGTGATAGATGAGAATGAAAACAGGTCAGTTAGCCCATCATGATGAATACATCAGGAATTAACCATGATAGTTTCCATGGAGAACCGCGAGGAGGTCGACCTGGTTGGGTATATTGCTAGCAATAGGATTCTCAATCTCCATTACTAACAATCCCTTTCCCCCGAAACATCGTAGTTGGGATGGAGAACTTTTTATACCAAACTATTAAGCATGGGTTTTTTTTTTAAATAGGGTAAAGAGGTTTCTTTAGGGTCAGCTAAGCACGCGAAATGCCTCTGGTATTGCAGGCGTTCATAGGCTACTGTAACCACTTACCATCAAGTGGGCCGTATGCTTGTTTACCAGCTCAGTGATATATTAAAAAATATAACCAAGTTCTGTTCGGACAATAACGCAGATAAAAAACTAGTTTTCGATATTTCTAAGTGACTAATGAATATTTGTCGTATTCAACAATTTTTTAATTCGACAAGTGTTGTAGTTTTACCCGGCAAACTACATATATATATATATATATATATATATATATACATATCTGTCACGCCTGTCTCCTATGAGGGTAGGCAGACACAATCCGAAAAACTTTATCAGAATAAATCTAGTGCTTAAGTTGTTGTATCTTTTAAAAATATTTCATAGTAACTATATAAAAAATAATCCCCCGTCTATGGGAGAGGTCTATGTACAGTAGTGGACAATTATTGTTGTGATAAACAAACTAAAACTTGAATCACGCAAATATTTTTAATAAACTATCACTGAAATTTTGTATTTGGATGATAACAACGTATTTGGAAACTTCGAAAGTCAAATATGAGATGGCTGCAGAAACATTTATATGCAGTTCGCAAACTCTTTACAATATACTCGTGACCACAAATCGCACAAACTAAAGACCTAACCTAAAATAAAACCTGCACCACGCGCACTTTATCCTTTCCGCGTGTTATCTGTCAACAATTTTAAAGCTACAATTACGCCAACCAATACCTGAATGGCCAACATGAGTCGTCTCAATAAAGAACAAAGCGCCGAAAGGTCCGCAAAAACTCGGGGCACGCACCGCGATGTTATCACCGCACTGTTGCCCCCAGACCCTCATAAACAACTAGATTTACGATTGTAAAAACGTCCAAAACGAGCGTACAACGAAATAGCTGATTGCGACAAAGATAAGCCACAATTAACGCCGGAGGTAGTATGTTTCAATAAGATTTTAATAGTTGCATCGAGGTCGGTTCGGTATTGCCAGATGCGACGTTTTATTTCTCCCCAAACTTCAAATATTTATTCTTTCTTTATTCTTTATTGTACTCAAACATAATGTTAAGTATAATTAATTTTAAACCTAATGTACAAAGATAAGCTTATCTGTAATAAGATATTTCTTACAACATATCTTTTCAAGTGAATTGAATTGTTATTTAATAGTATAAAGAAACAGTCATACGATTTGTGTACATTGCGTATTTTTTCTCCAAATTGATACGATTTCCTTCATTTTTACCCAATCGCAACTTTTTGTTCAATTTCTCTATATTTTACCATACGCCGTATAGTTCCGACATAGAATGGGCCATCCTTTCCTTTCCCGTGAGTGTTATAAGAGGCGATTAAGGGAACTTAAAGGTTGAGGGGTGAGCAACATCGTCCCTCCCTAAACATCACCAAGCGGTTGCCAACCCGCCTGCCAAGCGTGGCAACTATTGGCAAATTCCCCCATTACGGGAGGCCTATGTTCAGCAGCGGACGGACAATGGCTAATATAATGATGATGCAATGATATTTTACCAAGTAACCACTATGCAAATGACCAAAAAAACCGCCGATTACAATTTACGATTTACAAATATCATAATTGCCAAAAAAATACTCAAATTTTTCTACGTCAATTTAGTTTTTCGCCAATTTCTTTGCTTCAAAATTTCCCTAACACAAATTTAACCCAAAATTACGAAAAGAAATACACAAACTGGCAATGCTGGATCGGGCCCCGGTCATGTCGAATGTGTGCAGAAATTAAAATTCCAAATGTTATTTTTATCGGCTCCGTGAAAGGAGCGTGAATTTTATTAACGACGGTATGATCCTGTGCAGTTTATTGCGATCACCGGCTGTGAGCAGACTATTTTAATGATGAAAATGAAACTCTACACCCACTTCTGCTAATGACGTACAATGAGGAGGCACCAGTAGAGAATAAAACGATGAGGATACTTCATCCTCACCAATTCATCCTTAGATTAGCTACTCCTAAAGATTTCGCCAAAAATTAACCACGACTGTTTCCAGGAGATCGACCTGACAAAAAATACTGCTAAAAATGGAAACTAGTCATCCATACTGTTTCTTTATTTGAGTAATCCAATCAGTTATTCTTAGCTATGTTTGTTTAAAACCAGACCATCCACAGCATTCGGCTTTAAAGACTTCAAGACTTGAAGACAGGTCAGATATACTTTTAAACAGATATTGTCCTTATATTTTTGGCCTTATCTTTGCTTGAATTGTCCTGGCCAAATTTCGATGTTTTGTTGAAGAATCTCTGTTTATGTAATATAAGGGAATAGAAGAGCTCTACAACCCAAGTGTTCCTGATAGAAAACTTCTGAAATCGTAACTTTTACAACCATTTAGATTCTAAAAAGCACTTTCGCACTCGTACTCTAAATCTGAGATATCATTTTATAGGTAAGCAGCAACAGAAGAATGATATTAACAATGTTGCCATCCTCACAACGTAACAAGATCACCAATACCAATACAAAGTATATTTTATTGTGCAAAATACCCTAAAACTCGGAATTTAAGACGTCCGCAGCAATGCTGGCGCACCTTAACGTTCGCCGAGATAAGAATACCGAATTTTATTTTCCGAAACGACCAAAGAATTTGTTTGTAAGAGACGCTTATTCACTAATTAGTGGTCGTATTATATTTTTATTGGTAGCAATGAGAAGGACAATAAAACCGCAGACATTTTTTCGGTATAATTGTATCTTTTATTACGCGGTAGCGCGTCGTATTGAGGACATGCTTGCTATTAAGAAAATATGCTTCCGATATTGGTGTTCTGAGATTCGACAATACAAATTCAAATCATCTTTGTTCAAATAGACTTGTTTACAAGCACTTTTAAATCGAATTGGGGGCCTCCTTTTTTAAAGTCGGCTAAAAACGTTTTCAAGTCCACTGGCGCGAGTGAAGGCGCACTGTGCATTAGCACAGCTTTTAGGAGCGGCCGGCAGTGGCCCGCGGAGGGTTGCCGCAGGGAGCGAGTGTTAGTGGGACGCGACACCTACCTACCTACCTATCTACCTACCTATGAATTATTTCAGTGGCCTAATGAATTTATACATGAATGAATGAATGAAAACTCTTTATCGTTTCCTTCCAAGAATGATACAGATTACTAAGAATGTACAAAAAAAAAATAAACAATTTAATAACTTAGTCCATTACCTTAAGATTGTCTTGAAAAGATTGCTCTCAGCAATAAGACCGCCTTACTGTACTTATACAATTGTATCGTTGTGTTTGTAAATTGTCTTACTTATTTCCTATATTGTATAAAGCAAATAAAGTATACTCATTCATTCATTCATTCATTACATAAAAGCAATATAAAGAGACAACAATAAGAGGGATGTATATGGATATATTAGAGATAAATCAGTTGGTCCTTCGCCACCGGATGATTACCATTTACCATGCGGTGAAGCATCAGCTTGTATGATATTCGAGTCATGTCTATAGGCGACGGTTACCACTTTCCATCAGGTGGGCCGTCAGCTTGTTTGCCATTCTAAGTTGCATAAAAAAATACCAAGTTACTAATAATAAATGTGAGAGTGAGTTTGTTTGTTACCTTACGTCTTTGCAACTTAACTAGTCACTATAAAATTTGGTATACCTGTAATATTCCATATATTGGAGAAGCATATAGGCTACTTTTTATTCCGGGCAGTAAACATATCCCGGTTATGCGGACAAAATCACGGGTATAAGCTAGCGAACAAGAATCAAATGTTTTTATTTGTTTATTTTTTTTTTATTTAATACAAAAATACACTTTAATATTTAGATTCATTTCAGCACTTTTATTAAAAAAAAAATCAAGCATTTCAATTTCCGAGTTTTAATTAAATTAAATAAAAATTAATTAAGAATTAAAAATAATAAATTAAATACTTCAATAATATGTCGAGAACCCGCGACAAATTCTACGGTCACACTTTACAAATAATTTCACTAGCATAGTTCATAAATTCATACAAACAATGTAACTACGTAATCCCTACATACGCAAACTGTATCAGGGATCGTAAACATAATGTGTAAGTACATTCAACAACTTTCCGGATAGGTTGACGGCAACTGATTGAAAGGAGAACATCAAAAGTAACCGGCCGGAAAATGTACCCCTTTCTCGCTAATAGAAAAAGTTACGTAAAAACTATAAAATTAGGGTTGCCACTGACGGAAGATATTTTTTGTCGTTATAGTAAATTTTGTTTATTTGTTTTTTTACTACCATTCTTGAACGATAATAAAAATAAATGGACTTTGCGAGTTGAGCTTAAGAGAAGAAAGTATGTCGGTTTATAGTAGAAGAGATAGTCATAAGAACAATGGTACATATATGCATATGCATCGTTTTACAGATTTTTTTGTTTCATTTTTAGGCAACTTAGAATGGCAAACCTGCTGACGGCCCACCTGATGGAAAGTGGTAACCGTCGCCTACAGACATGAGCAGTACCATAGAAATAACAGAGTATACTGTTTCACCCATGACACTCCCCATTTGTTGCCATTTCTAAGGACTGGATCTCTAGGTGTTATTCCTCTGTACCCTGTAAATTCACTGCCATATCCCACCCTTCAAACCGAAACACAGCCATGCAAACACAACTGCTTCACGGTAGAAACACGAATGGGACAGAGGTGCCCAACAAAAGACTTTTGTACAAAGTCTCCCTCTGGTAAATTTAATTTAATTGATGGATATTTTCAACTATTTTGAGCTTCAATGGCAAGACTGATTACAAAGCGATTTTTTACAAGAAGGTATAATTTAATAAATTAAAGTGTAATGTATCTATCATTATAAATTATTTTAATACAAAATAAATATGATGAATAAATAAAAAGTAAACTAGTCGATAATACAGAAGGGAATGACGTTGTTTCTGCCTAAAGCCTGAGACTTCAATTAAAACAAACTTTAATGAAAAACAACTGAATATGTGAATGACGATAAATATATTTTTTAAGCAAAGTTGTTTATATCTCCAAGAAATAGTATAATTAAAATAAAATTCAACAAAATAATCCGTATTTTAAATTACAATGTACAAAATCAGACCAAGTAGTGCCATCTATGTGGATAAAGTTGTATCTTTGATTCGGTATAAATAGCACCAAAGTAAGGTTTTAAATTAGTACATTATAAATTAACTAGATGGCGCTTTTCTATTTTTTTTTTTTTTTTAATAATAAAATAAATAACTACGTAATTTTATACGACAAGTGAATTCAGAAAGAAATAATAATGTTAAATTTAATGTTATACTTTACATAAGTTAAACATGAATTTTGTGTAAATGTAAAGTAATTTTCTATATGTTCTCCATAAAAAGGTAGACAATTTATTTCTTTCGTACGAAACAGTAATGAATAGCGAGTTCCTGCATTTGAATTTAGAACGAGTGATTAGTTATGCATTTAAATTTAGAATGAGTGATAAAGTTCACTATTTTTTTTTTTTATTCTGTGTAAAATAAAAAAAAGAAAGAAAGCTTGCGTTTGAATTTAGAACTTGGAACGAGTGATAAATTTTGCGTTTGAACTGCAAATGTGGACTCACCAGCTGATCGCTGAGAAGCGTGACGAGATGCACGGCGGTATCGCCGGCTATGAGACAGCTGGCCGCACCGCCGCATGCCGAGATCCGCGCCGCCACCGACACAGCCGCCGTTATCGACCTGCCGTCAATCATATAAATGATTGCAGGAATAAATTTTATTTACTAAATATTGGGAATTGCCAACAGCAGATCTTAAAATTAATTATATGTATGCGTATAAGTGGGGTCAAATAGGTCGTGCCCAGGGGGAAAGGATTGTTAGTTAAACAGCCTTTTCTTTTAATGAGTAAAGATGGAACGGTAACCCCATCTGCACTATCGGTATACACTGACGGGGCACCAGTGAAGGGTGACAGGAGAGGATGAAGGCAGGTCAGTTGGCCCATAGTGACCAATTGAACAAGAATTAATCACTATAGTTTCCAGGGAGAACCGCGTGGAGGTCGACCTGGTAGGGTGTATTGCTAGCAATGGGCCTGTTAAATCTCATTAATAACAATCCCTTTCCCCCCTAGTTGTATGGACAACCAGTCCCATTGCTAGCAATACACCTTGTTAGGCCAGGCTCCCCGTGGTTTCCCCTGGAAACCATCATGTTGACTTTCAGGCGTATTCATGACGATGGGCTAACTGATCTGCCTTTCCGTCCTCACCTATCATCCCTCAATGGTGTGCCGCCAGCGTATACCGTTAGTAGAGGTGAAGTTACTATTCTATTATCATCCATAAAAAGAAATGGGCTGTGCCCACCCCTGAATTGTCTTGTGCCCACCCTAGGATGCGAATGGAATTTCGCAAAAACATGCCACAGCATACAGATCAACTCAGTATTAACTTGGTTCCACAAACAACATTAAAGTGTCTAAAAGGAAACAATAAGTTGGTGACTTATCGGTCGGACCTAGACACTTTCCTCCAAGCATCGTCCCGGCATACCTGCAGGAGAGCTGCGCGTCCTGCTGGGCAGCCAGCGCCAGCACGCGGGCGGCCGCCCGCAGCGCCTGCAGCCGCGCCGGCCCGGACTTGTCCGCCGACATCTGCACCACCACAACCACTCGCGTCAACACACGCTGCTTACATTATACGGATAGTGTAGCGCCATCATAGGCGTATTTAAATATGGAGGCCAGGTGGACCCTGTCCACCCAAAAATCATCTTATGCCCACCTCAGAAAGCGACTGAAGCTTCTATAAGACATATCTGAAAGAAGCAAAGCTAGCAAGCTTGCTTTGTTTTTCTTGTATGTTTTTTTTTTAATAATGCAAATAAATTATACATCTATCTAATTATTATTGGAGAGGATGGATGAAAGAAGAATTACGACAGAGATTTGTTTGAATCGAAGCATTTGGCGTTCCATTGTTTCTGCCTACCCTAATGGGAGACAGGCGTGACAGATATGTATGTATGTATGTATCTATCTATCTAATTACAAACAGTTTGACTTAAGACTGTTCGTGTTTAAAAAATATATATGAATTGTAAAACGTACAATAATGTAAAATTTTTATATAAATGAATAGGTCTCACCCTATCGAATCTATCTATGATTCGTTGGAGCTCGTTCAACTGCCTCTCCAGGAAGGGCATGTCGATCGTGGGCTGTGTCTTCTTCTCACTCTTCCCACTAGTCTTGCTCATATCACTGAGCGAGCTGCACACCGAACTGGTTTTACTCAACTTCGGCCGATCGCTCTTGTCGCTTCTCTTCTTTTTCTTCTTACTATTCTCATTTTTCACGTCTTGATCTTCTATTATCTCCGCTTCAGTGTTATTATTGTATTCCGCATTGTCTGTCTTCGGTTGCTCTTCTACGTTCTTCTTCTTCTTGGACTTCTTCTTTTCTGTATTCTCCTCGTTACCATTGATTGCGGCCAGTTTGTTTTTGTCAGCTTTCTTATTTCTCTTGTTGTTCTTCTCGAGGTCGTCCGCCTCGTTCTGGTGGTCCCGCTTGTCCTCTTTATCCTCCGTTTGCAACAACGGCGTGATCATGTTTGTGATTGTGTGTATGACTTTATGCAGTTTATTTGATGATGGGAATGTTGCGAATTCGAATATTATATTCTCGTCGAACACTGACATCTCGTTGCCGCTGAAACCAATTGTAAAAAATAATTATATTGTTAAAAATATAATTAATTGGCAGTAAATTTACTGGGTATAGAGGAATGACACCTGAGTCCTCAGGAATGGCAACGCATGGGGAGTATCATGAGCGAAACAGTATACTCTGTTATGTCCATGGTCCACTGCTCATGTCTATAGGCGACGGTTACCACTTTCCATCAGGTGGGCCGTCAGCTTGTTTGCCATTCTAAGTTGTATAAAAATTTAAATTCATTTTGCGGAATTAAACAGAATAATTCTAATACACTAACTAAAAAAAAGATGATAAAATCTGAAATGAGGATATCCATAAAAGAACGAAAATAACCGACATAGCCCGAAGGATAAGCAAGCTAAAGTGGTAATGGACTGATGACATAGCTCGAAGAAACGACAACCGATGGGGAAGAGATTCTTGAGTGGCGACCCCGTATGGACAAACGCAGACGATCTAAAAAGAGATGGAGTGACGATCTCAAATGCATTACAGCGAGTCAGTGAATGCAGGAACTCAGGACCGTTCCTTATGGCAGTCTATGGGGGAGGCTTATGTCCAGCAGTGGACGGATAATGGCTGATATGATGATGACGATAATGAACTAAAAAAGAACATAACATCATTAACTCACGTGGACAACAGTTTCTGCTTCACTTTCCTCGCTTTCCTCTTGATGGCCTTCTGCTTTTCGCGTTCCTTGCGTTCCAACTCCAGTCTCTCCGCTTCCTCTTGCAGTTCTCGCTCTTCTTTTGTATTTGGATCTTGACTTTCTGATGTCGTCTAAAAAAGACAAAAAATTTATGAGTATACTTCATTTGCATCATACAATATAGGGGGAATAAGCAAGACAATTAACAAATATAACGATACAGTTGTATAAGTACAGTGAGGCGGTGTTATTGCTGAGAGCAATCTTTACAAGACGACCTTAGGGTAATGGACTAATCAAATAAAATTGCGTTACATATAATAGTCAATAAGTAATATAATTTTTGTTACTAAACTATTGACTCGATTCAATGACGTAATATGAGAATAGTTGATGATCCCAAACTCACAGGCGGTATCGAGTCTATTTGGACATGTGTGTGTTGGTTTGCCCTTGCAGATTGGGTAATTCCAAGTTTACAACGAATATGTTCTTGATTTGGATATGATTTTAATACGTAAGCAAATGAAATATATAAATTTACAATATCTTTTGTATACATGAAAAGAAAAAGTGATGTTATATATATAATTCCAGTAAAATATGACGAATGACGTGAACATAGCTGCTGATTGGTAGGTCGTCGCAATTTGCTTCACACTTCACGATCCTTGCATCATGGTATCATGGGCGAAACAGTATACTCTGTTATGTCCATGGTACTGGTCATATCTATAGGCGACGGTTACCACTTTCCATCAGGTGGGCCGTCAGCTTGTTTGCCATTCTGAGTTGTATAAAAAAAATAGAATATATAAATTTACAATATCTTTTGTATACATGAAAAGAAAAAGTGACGTTATATATATAATTTCAGTAAAATATGACGAATAACGTGAACATAGCCGCTGATTGGCTCTTTACCTCCCTTTTGAAGAACCCCATGCGGTAGTCTCCTGAAAACCTCGGCAGAGCTCATTCCAGTACGGATCGTGTCCACTCCCATGCAAGCTATGTATATTCGTATTTTGTAATATGTATGAATGAAGTGTAACTGCGATAGAAATAAAGATGTGATAGAATAAGAGACCGGCTGGCGCGGGCCGGTGGCCTTCTCGCGGATGGCCTGCAGGTGCGACTGCAGCCGCTGCTGGCTGGCGCGCTGCTTGTGCCGGATGCGGCAGCGCAGCGCGTCCGCCTCCAGCTCGGCCGCCGCCGCCAGCGCCGACAGCCGCGACTTCACGCCCTCCGCCTGCCGCCATACGACAACACGCCAACAGCTATTACATACATACTGGACACATTTAAAAACTACACTCTTATGTCATATAATCAATACAATCTTAACCGTTCTCTTAATGAATGATGCATCCATCTAAACCAGGGATTGCAAAATTTATTTTGTCTACTGCCCACTTTGAGTATAAATTATATTTTAGCGCCCCTATTTTTTCACCTTAACCTTTCACTTAAAAACCACTATTACTTCAAAGTCAACAAATCACCCCCCCCCCCCAATCTCTACACAACGTCCTCATTTTTTTTCTGAGTCTCTTACCGCCCCCCTTTAGACCTAGCGCACACAAAGGGGCGTTATCGCCCACTTTGGGAAAGGCTGATCTAAGCCAATAGTGTTACGTCCGAAATATGAAATTAAGGGACCTTCCAAAACAAACAATACGAATCTTCAATGACAGAACAGAAGAGAAGGTATTGTTAGTAATGCGGACATTTTTTCGTTCCATTATCATGAAATTAAAAAAGTAATGGTGGTGGATGCTGATGATGACCTTCTCGCGGGCGGCGTGTCCGCGCTGCAGGCGGCGCAGCTCCCGCAGCTGGTGGCGGCGCGCGTCTCGTTCCTGCCTCCGTTCCACCAGCGACTGCACGTGCAGCAGACGTGCAGCTTCCAGGGCCTGCCTCCTCGCACCCACGGCCGCCTCGCGGGCTGCCTTCTGTTCCTGTCGTTCAAGTATTTATTTCAGCCAATAATAGTCCACTGCTGGACATAAGCCTCCCCATAAGGGGAGATCCCATAAGGGTATAAAAACACGAAGAGCCAGAAGGCTCTTCTTCTTGCCATGCCATGGACTTGCCTGTGATTAACCCTTCTTTGCATAATGGTGGAAATTTCCATCATAACATTGAATGCCCAAAAATTATATAAAAGAACATGTTCACTTTGATCGTGTCTGGATACCTTTTTAATGTCCATTGCAGAAAAAAAAAACATAGCTGTCAAATTTATTTTTTTAACTATTTTTCCATTAATTTTTAACATTAATTATATCACCTTAATTTATTTCACCAATAAAAAAAATCATGCAAAGAATGGTTAAGAAACTATTGTTCTGAGAACTGTAAACTGTTGTTCTGAGATTTGAATGGACAATACAAATTTAAATCATCTTTATACAAATAGACTTGTTTATTAACACTTTTAAATCGTCATTTTTTTTTAACTGCAAGGTTCGGAAAGTTGTTAAGAACCCGTAAGAAACTCAGTAACAGTTACTCTTTTAAATCTCTTAACATTATGTGTATTTATTTAAATATACTGTGTTTAGAAATACACGGTCGTTGGCAGCCCGCGCATGATCCACGCTTGATACACGCTTATCATTCAAGTAATCGTTTAGTATGTAATAGGCTTTGTTCAATAAGTGTTTTTTAATAACACTTTTAAACTGTAGGTGTGTTGGTGAAGGCGGTGTGCGTGGGTGCGCGTGGACGTGCGTGGACGTGCGTGGTCGTGCGTGGTCCTGCGTAGTACCAGCTTGAGCAGGCGGTCGCGGCGCATGGTGCGCAGGCGCGTGGTATGCGAGCGGCACTGCTCGAGGAACTCGTGGCGGCGATTCTCGGCCTCCAGCTGCTTGATGAACGCGATCTCGCGCAGCTTCTCCTCCTCGTCGTGCGCCTTGCGGACTATGTCCTGCAACCATATGACCACACAATTAGCATAATACTCCATCTATATAAATAACTAGCGCCGCGCCCCGGCTTCGCACCTAAATGGCTACGTACAGTGCGGTTTCAAGGAAATTTTCTCTCTCGAACGCTCAGGCTGTGAAATGAGCTCCCCTGCCAAAGGTTTTCCCGAGAGACCAAAGTATGAGGTTCTTCAAAAAGGATGTATTTAAGGGTCGGTCTTCAAGTTAGACAACGAGCACATGATCTCTCTGGTGTTGCAGACATTCAAAAGTATTACAGCCTGTTTACCACCAGACAGGGTGTATACTTGTTTGCCACTTTTATGGTACAAAAAAAAATACAACCAACCACTGACGAATACCACAGATAAATAACACAAAATTCAATTTTGATTTCAAAATGTGAGATATTCAAGACTACAAGAGACCACGTTTTAATTAAATATCTTCAGATTGTACAACGGATTGTGCTCAGAGGAATTATTCAATATGATGCCTTCGGCCACTTTCTATCAACGTACGGCTCGCCATCGACAGGGAGTTCATCTTCATGTCCTATAGCCCCAATGGTCGCGTACTGCGCGGTTTCAGAGATGTTTCCACCCACGAACACTCAGGTTATGGAATGAGCTCCCTGCCGTGGTTTTCCCAAGAGACTACAGCATGGGATTCGTCAAAAAGGGGGTAAAGAGGTTTCTTCAGGGTCGGCAACGCGCGCGTAATACCTCTGGTATTGCAGGTGTTCATAGGCTACGGTAACCACTTACCATCAGGTGGGCCGAATGCTTGTTTGCCACCTCAGTGGTATAAAAAAATATATATTTTTTTTTTAAATATCTCCCATGTACAGATATTGTCCATTGTCTAGCTACAATTTTATTCTATCAGTAGGATATTCAGTATTCAATAGTACAGTTTCTCACCTTAAGTCGTTGGTCGCGATTCTCGGTCGCCTTTTGCATGCGTCTCTCCATCCTGAGTCTTTTCTCCTCTATCAGCTGATTTTTGGCGATCTGTCGACATTAAACAATTAACTTATACATATTCTCTCTATGCTTTTCATCTCTCTCTCTCTACAACCACGAGAAAGGAAGGCTTTAGCTCATTCTATATTAGTACAATTAACAATTCAAAAAATTAAGTTCACTTGAATGAGAATAATTTGTACATGCATACCTTAACCTCCTCGACCCTGGCGAGCAGCTGGTGTATCTTCCTGGCTCGCTCGGTCTGGTACTCGAGCCGCTGGCGCTCGGCGCGGGCCTGCTTGGCCTGCAGCCGCCGCAGCGCGTCCTGGAAGCTGCCGCGCCGCTTCAGGCCCTGCGACAGCTTCTCGTGCAGCTGCTGAGCTCGCCCTGGAAACAAACCCGACAGTTATTTTACATCACACTAATGACCCGTCCCGGCTTCACGCGGTTTCTCTAAAATGAATGAACTATTTTTTGGGTTTATTTATTAGAAACAAAAACTCTTTCCTCTTTACAAAATTCGTTTTTTTTTTATTGATGATTGAATTTATGTGTTTTTATGATGACACCTGCACTTTCGGTATACTGTTATTTTGGTATTGGCGAAGCACCAGTGAAAGATGATAGGTGAGGATGAAAGCAGGTCAGTTAGCCCATTGTGACGAATTCAATGAGAATTAACCACGACGGTTTTCAGGGGAAACCGCGTAGAGGTCGACCTGATAGGATATGTTGCCAGCTACTAGGACTACAATATTAGTTTCGAAAAGTGGCAGAATGGGTTTGAACAAAATTTTGTATACGTTTAGAAATCCTTGGAACGGTGAGATCGCTCCGTGAGGCCTGTGAAGATCCCAGGAAGCTTCTGCGCTTCTGGGCGGAGCTAGGTTGGCTGTACTAGCCACGACTCATACGCACAACGGCCCAAATGAGAGGCAAAGTGCGGAAAATGGAGTCCTATTTACATTACATTATAGGTGGCATACTCACCGGGATCCCTAGCCACGAGCGCCTCGAGCACGACCAGGGTATCGACCCGCTCGGCCCAGGACATGCCGGCGAGCGCGGTCTCGTACTGGTCCTCGAGGCTGGCCGCCAGCGCTCCCAAGTTCTCGGACGAGGCGCACGCCGGATGCGCTATGCTCGTCTCTTCGCATAATATTTCCGCGTCCGTCTATAATATATTTATAGTATAATTATATATATATATATATATATTTTTCACCATTAATGTTCTATTTTTGGTTTTTAATGAGTGCATTGGCAAATCTGTAAATCTCACCAAATATATATATATATATATATATATATATATATATATATATATATATATATATATATATATATATATATATATATCCAGATACGAATCAAGAACTATATTTACGTTGAAACAACAAACTATGGTATGTCAATATCTTTATTTGCATACAACCAATCAGCCCGCCACAAGCCAATCAGGCTTCCGACACGTTTAGACAGAATTTTCAAAAATCAATACATATAATAAAAAAAAGTTTCAGCCAATTCAACTGATCGGTTATTTTATAGCATTTTATATGTGATTCTTTAGATTGATATAACTTTTTTATTTATGAACCGATTGAAATAAAACAAACACTAATTGTTAAGTGGAGTAGACCGCAACGCATTAGTATAAACCGCATTCAAATCGATTAAGACGTTTTTGAGATAAGCATACACAAATGTACAGAAAGAAAGGGGTGACCCATTCCATTGGCCCCAGTTCATCCATGTTCACTGCTGAACCTATCCTCCCCCATAGTTACAACGCTTGGCAGGCAGGTTGGCAACCGCAGTTTTGTGATGTTTTAAGGGAACACTGGTACCCATCCCTTTACCATAAGCTCCCCTAGTCACTTCTTATGACACCCACGGGAAAGGAAAGGTTGGCGCATTCAATACGCATTAATATAAAATTAAAAGTAGGATATTTAGATATATATATATATAAACATGACTAACCTCGGTATCATCAGTTTCAGTGTCCATATCGATGTCGGAAACTTGTTGGAGCGCCATTATCTGCCTGTTTAAAATCTCCTCCTCCTCGCATAATTTCCTCTGATCGACTTCCGACTGGAAATCCAGCGCCCAACTGATCTTCTTTTCGTTCTCCTCAATCTGGGACGTCATTTCCGCTATCTCAGACATCTCGGAAGGATCTGCCGCCTTCAATAACTCATTATGATTAGGTATCTGATCATCGTCATCCAAAAATGTAAAGGTCGATTTAAATTCAGCTTTCCATTTGTCAAAATCGAACGCCTCCCCTGTGCTCTCCTGCGATCTCGCGAGACCCATTGTCAGACTTTCTAAAGATGAATGGAGTCTGTTCTTCGTTAATTCTATAGATTCTTCGTCCTTATCCTCATCTTGTATTTTAGCTGTTCTTTTTGTGAAAGCTTTGTTTCTAGATGATCGTGTTTTTAAACCGGTAACATCCGATTTTTGTCGGATAATAGCTGTATCTTTTGATTTAGATTCAGTACTCACTTTCTCTGTATCCTGGACTTTAACAACTTTTTCAGGTTTGGTATCTATTGATGAAGGCTGTTCTGATTTCGCTCGATCTAGTTTGGCATTTTTTGGAGAATCAACTATTGACTTCGTTTCTTGCTTTGGTGATTCAAGCATGTTTAATGTAGGCAAGCTAGTGGTAGCAGAAGGTTGATGAAACCTGTTCGCCCAATGCGATTTAGATTGTTTTTTCGATTCACGACTCAATCGTCTAGACTTGACAGTCAGCCAACCTTCATTGTCGCTCTTATTATTATCGTCAACATTCAGTACTTCAATAGAATTTGCAACGTCTTGTATCATTTGTAATTCCTCCGGTACCAACGTCTTTAGACTTTCGCTAGATTCGATTCGTGATATATCAATTTGAGTTACTATTGTGTCCGAACTGCCATACGCATCGCAATCTTTAATCTTTTCTAATGTTATATTTATATTTTCCTTCTTGTCCCCTTTTTCATTAATCTTCAAAGATGTCGGTCTAGGTGGCTGTTTCTTAATATCGACCTTATTAGAATTAAGTTTGCTGTCACCTGAACCCAATTGCACATTTCTTATAGTTTTTTTTGGCACTGTACTTTTTGTTGTATTAGATGGAACTGTATCAAAGAGACTAGTTCTACCTGTAGTCAAATTAAAGGGATAACTACATTTGTTAGCTTGGTTCCTTTTAGGAAATTGTCTTGATGTTTTTGGAGCAGAACTAGAACGCATTTCCACAACTGTCTTACTTCTAGTTAAAGGTGTTGTTTTTGTTGGAGTTTTTACTTCTGATTTAATATTTACAGGTTTAGGTTTAGCAGCAGCCTGTGAATACGCAGGTCTTGTATTAGACTTTGTTTCATTGCTAATCTTTAATTCTGATTTTTTATCTTGTTCATTTTTAGAGTCATCTTTACTTTCGAACACGGTATTATTTTCGATACCTTTTAATTTTATATCTTCGTTACACTCCGTATTACCGACGGTACCTGTGGCATCTGTTATTTCATCATTTTGTCCCGATATTGGTGTCATTGGCCGTTCTTTGACAACTTCTTCCATTACCACTTCGGATTTTTCACCTTTATCTATTTTCGATAAATTAGTTTCGTCTATTTTTGATAGTTTTGCTGCCTCAACTACATTAGGAGGCTTTTCATCATTCGATTTACTAGAGCTCTCGTTTGATACATCAGCAAAGTTGTCTTCAGATTTAGTAGGAGATGCATTGGAACTGGTCTCCTTTTCATCACTTGTAGTTATTTTATCTGAACCATTGTCAAAATCTTGGTTTACTTGAACAGACTGAGGATCCATCTTTTTACCATCACTATTTTCGTTAATACAGAGGGCAGATATTTCATTCTCTATATTCAATAAATTATCATTTTTGGCTTCATTTTCCGCTAGATGATTTTGGAGAAATTGAGTTTCCATAGCATTTAGTTTAGTTATAATGTCACTTGCCGAGCTAGTAGTTTCTACATCAGTTCTATTATTTTGAGATATATTCAAAGCATGTTTAGGCGATTTAATAATAACCTGTTTCGGGCATATATTTGGACATTCTTTGGCTTTTCCCAATTCAATAATTGGCGATAATCTTGGCTCGGGTTTATCATCAGTTTGGTCTACTGAAGGTGCTTTTGCAGCATTATTCTCGTCAAGTATAATGCCATCCTTTTCTTTTATATCAGAAAGTCGTAAACAATCTTTTGCTATATTTGGCTCTGGTTTAGCAGTGACTTTCGATGCTGCTATTTTACTGCTAAAGAACTCTATATTCGCCTTAGGACTAGTACTGGAATGACCTGAAGATACCCTAGGACTGATTTTGCCACTGCCTGGACTAGCTTTCCCAGTTAAACTTGGACTATTTTTGCCACTAGGTGTGTTGTGGCCTGATAAACAAGGGCTATTTTTTCCTGATACTGATGGGGAACTCTTTACAGAATACGTGCGCCTAGATTCCGGACGTACAAAATCAGTCTTTCTGATCTCCCAAGCTAAGCTCTGGGGTCTCTGCGGGGGCGGTGTATTATCATACTCCCACTTCAAACGGAACCATTCGCCTAATGCTTTGAAATCTCTGGTATAATTCTCTAGGACTAATATGACTTCTTGGCACTCGTTTAGGTTTTCATGGGCTTCAACAGTGTTGTAAATTTCACCCATCTATATAGAGAAGACAATATCATATTATACATGGATGTAAAATGTATTATCACATACAAACAACTTGCATAAATCTACGAGGTCTGTCAAAGTTCGTATAAAAGTGTTCTGGAATGCGAATCAAATTCCTTATGTCCCTAACAATGCTTCAGTTCTGGTCTGACCGCCGTGCGGTGCGAATATCTGTGACCTCTTAACGAAACCCCGTCGGCATTTCCGTTGAAGAGCAGCGCGTCGTAATTTTCTCTCGTATATATCTCAGAACAGTTTATGGGGATGATATACAAAAAAAGATTCAGAGAGGGCCGAGAAAGCATCAAATCGTCCCTCCAAAACAAAAAATTCTACGTCGATGTGCTCAGACGCCTCAAAGCTCGTGTGGCACGAGTTCGTCCAGAATTGGCGCGAACGTCTTCACCACGACAATGCCCCTGCCCACACCTCTTTTTGTCCGTGATATAAAAATTATTCAAAGCCGGATTTGGCCCCGTGTGATTCTTCTTGTTCCCAAAAACCAAATTGGTAAAATTTGGGGGACATAAATGAGATAAAAAAAGCTACGACGGGGCAGCTTTATATTACAGTGGAAACGGCGTTGGCACAAGTGCATTATGTCACAGGGGGAGTACTTTGAAGGGGATAAAATTGATTTACCTGAATAATTGTAAAATAAAATTTTTAAAAAACTTTTATACGTACTTTCCGGACAAACCTCGTATAATCAAATTAAAAGTAAAATATACGCTTTTAACATTATTGTATATATTAGTTGTGATATAAAAATGTAAATCAAAACAAAAAAATTTTAGAAAACGTCTTTTCTCTTTTTATATAATATTCAAAGAGTATCTTCATGAAAATTTAGCATATTTATATTATTTATGTAAAGCCAACAAAGCATACACTTATATGAAGTTAAATTTCTTTTAGTAAATAAATAAATTTTTAAGAGTCAGTGTTATCACTTTTGAAGGTTGCATTGATACTTACGGCTCTGGAAAGGTCACCGAACAGCAGCGCCCAGTAGCGCGCGCGCAGCTCGGAGCGCTTGTCGCGGCCGGCGGAGGCCGAGCGCCGCGACGTCCGCGGAGCCCCGCGCCGCGCTGCCGAGCCCAGCTGTCCTCCAAACTGTCCCCCCAGCTGCCCCGCCGCCAGCCCCATAGAGACGGCCGACGATCGCGGCGGCTTGCGGGACACCCGCGCTGGTGTAGCTACATCATACAGATAAATAAGATACTTGCGCCATCTACCTTTCTCTCTGTACTTATTTACTATTTACGCCAGGTTGTCTGTAAGAGATTGCTTTTGGCGATAAGGCCGCCTTTTGTATATGCACATTCTGTATAAATACTCCCTGTATACATCTCATCTCTATTGTGCGCAATAAAGTGTTTATTGTTATTATTATAAATAAAATTTTAACTACTCTTTTTTTTATACCACTTAGAATGGCAAACAAGCTGACGGCCCACCTGATGTAAATTGGTAATCGTCGCCTATAGACATGAGCAGTACCATGGACATAACAGAGTATACTGTTTCGCCCATGATACCCCCCCATGCGTTGCAATTCCTGAGGACTCAGGTGTTATTCCTCTGTACCCAGTAAATTCACGCCATATCCCACCCTTCAAACCGAAACACAGCCATGCAAATACAACTGCTTCACGGTTGAAACACGAATAGGACAGAGGTACCCAAGCAATCGACTTTTGAACAAAGTCTCCATCTGGTATATAAAATAAAAGTACAGTGATAATCTGTCCCATATTACCAGCTTTAGGTGGAGCCCTGTCTTTTTTTTTAATTGATAAAGATTAAATGGTGCACCAGTCTAAGCTAAAGGCATAGAATGGCGGGGCACCAGTGGAGATCGAAACGGTGAGGGCAAAGTCAAGTCAATTGATCCGTTATGACAAATTCACTAGAAATTAACAATGATGACCTTCAGGGAGACTATATAGTAGCCAACCTAACAGGATAAACTAATAAGCAATTAAGGGGGATAGGGAATGTTAGTAATGGGGTCTAATTTTCCCATTACTAGTAATACACCCTATCACGTCGACGTCCACGCAGTTCTCCCTGGAAACTATCATGGTTAATTCTAGTGGAATTCGTCACGATGGGCTAACGGACCTGCTTTCATCGTCACCTATCACCACTCACTGGTGCCTCGCCAGTGTATACCGATCGCGCAAGCGGGGTAACCATTCCATTATCACTTATAAAAAAAAAATATGCAATGAATATATTTCATTGTATATATAGATATATAATTTATTTGCATTACTTACAGCACACAAATAACAACAGATATAGACAGAATCTAGAATCTACATACTCCCCCTCCCCCATTTCCTAATACACGAGGAATTATACATACATCCTAGTAGACTTATTAACAAATCAATGACACACACGGTGACGTGTAAATAACAACAATACCACAGCACAATGTGACATATTTTTTATCAACTTAACAATCACAAAGTAGACTCAGATAGTGATCACTACCAGTAACCTATTGTACTTCAAAAACAAATCAATACAAGCATGTATTTAGGTCAGAAAAAAAACTAAGTCAAAAGAGCATAGAATAATGATTTATTTGTATAGGCAAACAATAAGTTAATAATTTTAATGATGATTTTAGAGAGATAAATAGATATATAATTTATTCGCATCACTTACAGCACACAAATAACATTAGCTAGGGGGGAAAGGGATTGTTAGTAATGGAGACTGAAAATCCTATTGCTAGCAATATACCCAACCAGGTCGACCTCAATGCGGTTCGCCCTGGAAACGTATCATGATTAATTCCTGATGAATTCATCATGATGGGCTAACTGGCCTGTTGTCATTCTCATCTATCACCCTTCACTGGTGCTCCGCCAGCGTATCCCGTTAGCGCAGGCGGGGTTACCATACCATTTTCATTCATAAAAAAATAACATTAGCTACTGGTACATACGTAAAAAGAAATAAAACAAAACATATACAAAAAAAAAAAAGAAAGTACTTAAAAGAGGTTATAGAATGTCTCCTGAGTGCACCACAGTAACACATAATAGGGAATGTGAGAATGTGAATGTGAGAAAGACTCTGTTTTCCACGCTTAGCCTCTCATTTGGGCCGTTGTGCGTGTGAGTCGTGGGTAGTACAGCCAACCTAGCTCCGCCCAGAAGCGCAGAAGCTTCCTGGGTTCTTCACAGGCTTCACGGAGCGACCTCACCGTTCCGAGGATTTCTAAACGTTGATGGGCCGCAGCCTCACATTCCAGGATTACGTGAGCAGCCGTTTCTTCAGCGTCGAAACAGCCTCGACATAGAGGGCTGTCTGTGGCTCCTATTGTGTAACACACACACACATAATAGGGACAACTCAGTTTATTGCTTTGCCTTCAAAAGAGCAAAATACTGATATTCTGTTGTGGCCAAAAGCCACATATTTGTTACTACATGTTTTATCTTTAAATTCTTGTCCTTATGTTAACGTTTAGCAATGTGAAATTAGTTCAAAGTAAGAAATGAAGAGCCAACATCTTTATTATCTTCCATATTTATAATATAATTATTTTTAATGAATAAATAAAAAAATAAAATAAAAACAAATCTTCAATTATTCTAGCAACAACCCACATTCACAGCTACAGTTAACTACAGACCCAACTAGATAATATTTGTTGGCAATCGAAACACTGCGTGCCGATAGCAGAACAAGAAACAACAATGACCATGTCTTCAGGTCCCTAAATTGAGCTCAGATAATGGCGAGATGTTTAAACTACCGAAACAATGACAGTGCTGATAGTTGCTCCTTTGTTTTAGAGCTTTAGGCTTGATTGAAGGGTGAAATTAACACTTGTGCTTATTGCTTATCATGGTGATTGTGAAATGTAAAATATAATTGAATTAAGGACTAAATCTTTCTAATTCAGTGTTTTAATTATGTAGAATTGTTATTTAGTTAATAAGTTAGTTCTTTAAAAACTCTTGCCTCTTGTATCTAATATATTATAGGCTAGTTTTTGCATGCAACTCGATAAATATGGATTTTGTAAGTAGAAAAAAATCTATTAAATAGATCACTTCTAGATGATGATGCTGAATCAAGACAAAACATATATCAGATATTCAGTTGGATCTTCAAGAATATGTTTATGGAAACCATATCCAAATTAGTATAGTAGTATTTATGTAATGCCAGACCCAATATATAGCTTGTTTGCGATTCTAAGTTGTATAAAAAAAAAGGTTAGAGAAACAAGAAATCTAAAAATCATTCTTTTACCTTTCATTGTTCTTATTAAGAAACCTTTTACAAATTTTGTTATGTGTATATTAGATATAAAATTTGATTAAAATAAATACTGAATATATTTTGATTTTTGTTACTCAATCATTCTAAAATGGCTCAATTGATTTGAATGACATTTGGTACACAGATAGATCATAATATAATAATCATAGATTGCATGGGGAGGTATTATGGGCGAAACAGTATACTCTGTTAAAATACTCAAACTAAATTTGTAATGTAGGTAGTATAGTCATTTAATTGTTTATTATATAAGTAAATAGATATTACATTTAATTATGTAAAATTAAAATATATATTAATATTTCATTCAGCAGTTTATTTATACCTTTGCACCTTATGTATTAGTATTGATGTCATTCATATAGCATTTGTGCATTTTAGCTGTGTGTTAACATGCTTTCTCACTATATTACATTGACTGGAAGAGATCTCTTTCATAGATATATAATCTTACTCTTATTCTCTGTACTAGAACTTCCTAACATACTTTTATTATTAAATTAAAATAGAGAGAGCTTCTGTAGAGCTCAAGGGTTCAAAAAGTACATTTGTTTGTTATTAAGATATTGTGTTATAATGCCAAGTAAATATTATTCTAAAACACAAACAGTCAGTGCCATTTTAGTCCATTAATATTACTCACTGCAGTATAAATAAACAATGGCCCACATGACAGTCAATTCCGAGAAACATGGATCTAAATATATGATAGGTAGGTACTGCACTCAAACAATGTTACCATTAAAGCAGCCAGCTTTTAAATTTAGAATTACATTGGACCAATTTTTAAAAAATCGGCTTTTTATTAAATTTATAATAATAATAAAAACAAACTAGGGTTAGTAGTCAATACATTGACCGTTGATTCCTTAGTAAACACAGCCCTACGCCCACGATATCTCATCAACATGAGTTTCATTGACCTGGCTCCCTACCTGGTGTGTCCACCGCGACATGGAAGGCCACCAAGTTCCTGGCCTCTCTACCTTCTTCCTGCACCAACTGCCTCACTTCCTCCATTTCAAATCAACAAATATAAAATTTCGTGACAAACATAGGTAGAGTATGCGCATCCCTAACGCATACGCGTACATTAAAGCAACTTTACGCGATAATAAGGACGTAGGGACTTTATTCATACGTAAATGTACAATGTAATAAAAATTAACTAACAAAGAAAGCTTTAAATAAGAAAAATAAATGATGATCGAATATTTTCATAACAACAGTAACAACTTGCGTTTGACACCTTGATTTGACAGTCTAAATGTTGCCACATCTTCCACAGTACCATAATCAAGATGAATTTAACCTCGAAACTGATCACTTCCTGATTTAAAAGAGATAGGGAACGTTATTTATACTTATTTCTAGATACTATCATAAATCTATATGTCTTTTTGTTTGTTCAATAATAATGTAAACAACATTCAAATCAATGTAAAACTACATAGAGTTAAGAATTAGGTGGTCTTATACATCTATACTACTGAAATGGTAATTTACACCAGTAAACAAGAATACCTATCACATCAACTTGCGGTAATTATAAGTACTCATTATGATTTGTGATCAGTAAATCAGATATTTAAAAGAAATAAGAAATGAAAGAATAAATTATTCTTCAAAATCATATCCATTATAGCACGGCTTGAAAATAATTATGTAAAATTGCATTCATATGCATCTGTTATGCCATGCCTGTGTGTGATTATAGACACTATTAGAATTTCTGAGCAAAATAAATTTAGGGGTGAAGAAGGATATACACTTAGATTATATATATATATATATATATATATATATATATATATATATATATATATATATATATATATATATATATATATATATATATATATATATATATATATATATATATATATATATATATATATATATATATATATATATATATACGCTACTTTTCTTCATTCTAATCACGAGGACGAAATCGCGAGTAAAAGCTAGTACTCTATAATTGTGTTGCAAATCAACTGTGCTTGCATGGCTGTCTATAGGGACTGAACAGTAGAATATAGTAAGAAATTATTGGGTACCGAGACATACAATCTTATCCTGCAAATAGCAATTAGACAATCCTACCATTAATGCCTTAGTTCTTTTTTTTTTAACGTTGATAATGAAATGGTAACCCTGTTTGCGTTAACGGTATACGTTGGCAGGGCATGAATGAAGGATAAAGGCAGGTCAGTTAACACATTGTGTGTATACACCTTTATGGTTTCCAGGGGGAAACCACGTGGAGGTTGACCTAACAGGGTATATTACTAGAAATGAGACGGGCAGTCTGTATTACTGATGATTATAGAGATAACGGATTATTAATAATGGGGAGTTCTTAATTTCGGAGAGAATTTAGTTTTAATTGATAAATCTTTATCTGATACATTCATCACGATGAGCCAACAAACCGGGTATAAAATCACCTATAATCCCTTACTGGTGCCTCACCCGCGAATATATTTTATGACATACTATTTAGCATTCTAAGCTGCATGAAAAAACAGCTTTTTTTTAATTTGCAAAATTAGTATGAAACGGTCATTTACTTATGTAATCTATTTTTATACATAATTTTAAATCATTCTACCACTATATATATGAAAAAAAAAATTATAAACTTATTTGGTAGTATCGGTAGATTATATCCCTCTTATGGTGAGAGTATGTGTATGATGGTAGTTGGCCACAACACTATTGCAGCTCAGTGAATTGTTTCATGCTACGTTTAAAGGTTCTACGTAGGATTAAAACAAAATTTGTTTTACTTATAAAGTATATTTATTACATTAGAATTTTTTAAAGGACTTCTTTGAGCCTTTACCCTTGGAAACTTTCAGTACATTGAATCGTACAGTTTTAGATAGTGGCCGACATTCACCGATGGTCACTATGTCTCCTAGCTCCACGTCTCTGAAATTATAAATGTTGCTAGTCAGTAAAAATGTTATTTTATACTATTTTTTTTTTTTTGTTTATATAGTTGTAAAAATAAAAATCAGAGGTTGGGTTAGAACACGATTTTCGTCATGTTGTGGTCAGAAGACCGTCGTGTGGGTATCATCATTCATTTTTAGAACAATTACAACTTATTTCATGTATAGTTTAACAATCAGCCAGTTATCTACCAGTTACCTATTCAGCATGTTTACAAGTGATTGCAAAAAGTTTGCAATTCATCTTGTACTTTTTGTGTTATGATTACATAGCTAATTATGAAGATATTCTTTTTAATCCCCATTGGTCCCATATAATGTTTGTGTGGCATCATTTTTATCTAAAGCATTTGATGTACTTACGTCGTCTATGTATACGCTTCATATAGAGATAAATAAACCCCATGCAGAACCCCTTATTCATAAAAACGTCAAACCTCTAGTTCCTAACTAACATATCGTCATATTCGTAGAATACTGACGGATATATATATGTAATATTTGTCAGATCCGTCAGTATTCTACGACTATGACGATATTTTAGCTATGGACGTGTTCTGTTCTTTTCTTTAGTCTAAGTTCTCAATTTGAAAGACAAAAAACTATATAAGTTAAAAAAAAGGTTTGTACGACGTTTTAGTTCTTATGAATAAGAGGATATGTAAATTACAGGATACGAAACTCTACTGTAGTCTGTAATTTTTGCTTTTTCATTATATATATTATTCTTGCCGTGTGATATAAACATTTTGCCCCGAAACAGAAAACCAGTTTAATTGTCACAGTATGATATCAACATGGGAGAAAACATTATTATTTATTTAATAAAGAATTTTCTAAAAATCGATTCAGATTTGGCGACGAAGTCACATCACAAAAAAATTACATTTTTAGGAAGTAGCTTCGTAAAATTAAATGAACCAAAAAAATTTTTGTGTACACACCTGAAGCAAGGCGACAAATGTACAGACATGTTCCTGTGGCGTTTCTCGAATCTATTATACTTGGGCAGGTAGTGGAGGTAGTCACGTCTGATTACGATCGTCCTCTGCATCTTCATCTTCTGCACCACGCCGGTGAGGATTCGGCCACGGATCGACACGTTGCCGGTGAACGGGCACTTCTTGTCGATGTACGTGCCTTCGATCGCCTGTAAACGTGATGTTCAGAACATTGAGATTCTTGGTACTGGCTGTATATAATGAGGGACCATTTTTCTAATTTTATATCAATTGTTCTTATTTATCATTCTTTAAAGGGGACGTCGATTAATTACATTAGATATTTCAATTTGACCCTAGACCTAAACACCGATGAGATTTAAATTTTTTTACGTAAAATTTCAAGATTTCATTGAAGTCACATTTTGTTTTGTTTTTTAGAAGAAAAATTTACATGACATTTTATTGATACTTTCTACCCTCTATGAATTGTACGAATTTTCCCTTCCTATTTTAAGTTTAAGGCTCTCTAGTGTTACAGCCATAATAACTATAGACCTATATATTGTAGCTAAAATATGAATTAATTTGTTGGACAGCGATCAGAGTATGGGTTAGAACACGATCTTCATCAGATTGTACTCAGAAGACCGTCGTGTGGATTTCATCATTTCACTGTCCACTTTATTTATTCCTATGGCAATAAATATGATGTTATATTGTTACAAATCATTACATATGCCCAATGTGTACTGATTGAACTTCAATGACGGTATTAGTTTGAGGCTAAGGCACAATAATTGGTAAAGCTATCGCGTAACATAAATATATATCATAGACGGAGTATAACGTGGAAAATAAACACAACAATTTAGCTGAATCGACTGTTAAAAGTCGATTAAAAATATTTACAGGATTTTATGGAAATCAATGTAAACTTCTGAAGCAAAAATTAAAAACAGAAAATTAAAATTAACTTCTAAACTGATCAATTTTTCCAAGAAATTATCATTTTCATTAAAAAAAAAGGAACAAAAATAGTTTTTTTTCGAAACTACCTATTGACATGGTGCTTTAGGTGGTTATAATGGGAGACTCTTGTCCTAATGTTAACTTATTTTTAGTTGTATCTATGGGAAGAAATATCAATTTCACTGTATACAGAATACAGAGTAAAAATTTTTGTCACTGGTCAATCTCAAAAACGGACTCGTAATTACCACCACAGAACCGCTTACCATCAGGTGAGTCGTATACTTGTTTTTTTTTTTATACAACTTAGAATGGCAAACAAGCTGACGGCCCACCTGATGGAAAGTGGTAATCGTTGCCTATAGACTTGCCTTGACTTGCCTTTAACCGTTTTAAGCACTTTTTTCCTATTAAAACTAAAATTACACTTATTCAAACACTTATTCTCCCCATTATTGATTATGCTGATGTGTGTTATCCTGATCTTAACGAAGATCTTCTTAATAAATTAGATCGTCTAATCAATAGTTCTATTCGTTTCATCTTCTGTCTGCGTAAATATGATCACATATCTTCGTACAGATTTCAGTTAAAATGGCTCCCTATACGCCAACGCAGACAGTTGAGGTTGCTTTGCAACATTTTCTCTCTTCTTATTAGTCCCTTATCACCAGAATACTTGAAATGTAGATTCAAATATCTCTGTGATTCTCATACACGCGAACTTCGTTCTAACGACTCTCTTGTTCTCTCTATTCCTCTACATCGTTCTGCTTTTGTTTCCAATTCCTTTACACTTGAGGCCTCACGACAATGTGATTTATTCCTACAATGTGATTTATTCCGACAAACAGATGTTATTCCTCTGTACCCAGTAAATTCACGCCATATCCCACCCTGCAAACCGAAATACAGCCATGCAAGTCTTTGACCACTGCTTACAGAAACTAAATCGATATCATTACCAACCACGTGTTAGTGAAATAAATACCCCATTTTTATATAACTAAACAATGTTACCACTTCAGTAGACACATTGATTCCCATAAGGCTTCACATAACAATTACAATTTATCCACATGCAAACCCTATCATTAATTGTGGGCTTAGACAATATTAGGTACATTTATAAACATAAACATGCTTTATACAATCTCCCAAGGTGAAAGAGACTGGAACAATAATGAATTCCATGGAATATTCCAAGAAAGGAGAGATGTCCTGTCTCTGGAATGGATATATGTTATGATTATAATGAGCATGCAATGGTAATGGGTAATTGTGTTAATATTATGCGATTTAATGTTTAGAACCATTTTCTTTTTGTTAATATAAATGTTATATGGACAAATTACATATGGTATATATCTATATAATTTGCGTTTGACACAAATAGTAAACAATAATGGTACGATTTTAACTATAGAAATTAGTATGTACAAAATTAAGAATTAAAATCTTGCATAAGATTTTTTTATGCAAGACAGAGTTGTAAAACAAATTAATATTGTTTACTAGTTGTGAAAATTACGAATAAACAGTACAGTTAGCAATGGTTTAGGTGAAATGACTTTTTTAATGGATGATATGTGGATCTGATAGAGTATATTGCTAGCAATGGGGCTACTAGTCCCCATTACTAACAATCTCTCTACCAAATGGAATAATTTGCATGTGATTACATGTGATACCTTATTTAGCAATATGTCATATTTAAAGTGCAAATGATAATATAATATTTTAATAGTAAATGTAAGAAATATTGAATTAAACTAGGTACCACATATTCTTCACACAATTGTTACTGTGCATATTCCTATCTTACTGATAGAAATATTATCTTGCATGAACATGACGTCCCTGAATGACAATGATCTCCTTCAATATGATCCTGTATTCATATATCTTTTATATGGCATGTGTAACTATTATTCTTTGATATCCCTATTTTAATCCCTATGAGGCTGGCATAGTCACTCCTGGTGTACTAAAGCCTCAACAAAAATTTGATGAAAAAAAAAATTCTTTGATATAATAATTAGACTCGACTTGTGCAATATCTAAGCAAAACCCCACACAAGGGCTAGAGGACAAACTAGATTAAAATAAGCTTGAACATTTCAGGTTTATAAGAAATTCTATTGATTCCCAGAAGTGGATATTAATGTATTATTATGCCCGACACTTCTGGTTCACAATTAATTAATCTGTATATCTAGTTTCTTTATACTACATCAATTAATATAATCATTTCAATGGACACATGCTCAAAATAAAAGATCTATGGATAAAGTAATTCCCATAACGAAGCATAGATCAGCTGGACATAGCACGTAGCCACCACCACATAGAGCGTCCCGCCTGAAACCTCTGAAAAATGGGACAGACCTCACGCGGCGTCTTGAAACCTAGACCGACATTCTTATGATGTCGCATGTCCTTCCTCTTGAGGCCGCCTTTGCGGTTGAGGAACACGGTCGCCTGTTTCTGAAACGCTTTCTCTGTCTACGGAAAAGAACACACATGTTAATGGTCACTCGAGTCATGCAGTTACCTCACGCGGTGTTTTGAAACCAAGGCCCACATCTTTGTGGTACCTCAACGGTTTGCGGCTCCGTTTCAGACCGATCCCCTTCTTACGATTCAAGAATACAGTAGGTTGCTTTTGAAATGAACGTTCCGTCTGCAATTTTTAATTTTTATTAGTAACATCATTAAATTTAACACTACTGTACAGTCATATTTACTTTAATTTACCAAGTACAGATAAATTAATCTGTAATTACAAAAGAAAATCCATAATAATAAAATATGTTAATTGAAACAAATTATAACTAAAATTTATTAAAGTATAATGAATAATTTTTTTTAATTAAAAATATTTCTTATAACACTTTATTATGCATAAGTGAAAGGTATAGAAGTATGCATTACAAAACATATACAAAATAATAAATAAATAATAACTAAAGAAGCCTTCATTTTACGCATATTTAGTATATTTAAGTAGATACTTTGCAATTCTAACTTTCGAGGGAAATATTAGTTTAATTAGTACCAAGACTACTAATTATCCTAAGTATATATAAATATTTTGTTAACATATTTATTCATGCCTTTAATAATACAAAACTAAACTTGAGTAAACTTATTAATATTCTCTTTTATTAATAATATTTTGTTATTATTCTTTGAGAAAATAGACGAAAAACTAACCTAATTAGAAAACACATTTTTCGAAATTATTATTTAAGGGGTATGAGTACTAACTTCTATAAAATATGATGTTACATTATAATGTTCATTTCAATTATAATTTAATGCATTTTTACAAGAATTAAATAGAAAACAATTGTTGATTACCCGCTCCACGTGTGTGATTTAGCTGTGTTCATTTTTACTATAATACACTTTTTAAACCAAAAGTTTTTACTACATATAACCATTTAACATTAAACAAAATTTATAATTTAACAATTAAGCAAAACACAGCTTAATTTGTAATTATTTTACGAAAATTTTTAACACTTACCTGATCCGCCATTTTGCTTGACAATGAAAAGAAAATAAAAATGTTGCCAACTATCTATGCGCGACTTTACTAATCTGACTAATAATTATTCGACCTAGCAATTCATTCGGATTATTCGAATGATAATTAAATCAAACATTAATTTTATTCATCTTCCATTAATATCAGCCGACTATTAATGTTGTCCAACTACTAATATTATTTGACTACTAATTTCATAAAAAAATCCATATATTTTGTTGCTCGTTGTGTAAATAAAGTTACCAATACGTTAGAAAAAGATAAATGTATAATAACGCATTTGCTTTTTGAACAGTTCATAAGGTTATTACACTATCTAACGTGAGCTCTATCTGTTGTTTACACCTGCCAATTCAGAAAGAACCTGATGCTAGTGATGGGACTCGATTGATTTTTTTTATTCGAGTCACTCGGTTATTGATAAGTTACTCAATCGAATGCCACTCGTAATTGAAGATAAAACTCGAGTGATTTTTATTGACTCGAATCACTCGGAATATAAAACTCGAGTGACCAAAATTTTAAAACGAATAAAACAGTATTAATTTTACATAGAAAATGTGTATTCATTTTCTCAAAAAAAAAAATCTAAACAAAATGTAAAAAATAAATTTTCCTTCAAACTAAACCTGTCATACATAATCAAGAAACCTCTTATATCAACTATCAGTCAAATTAAATATATAATACCATAATCTACTACTAATAAGTTCTAATCCAATTTAATTTATTCTAACAAGGAACTTTCATGAGATCCAAATATAAACAGTTTTATATATATAATCTTACACAATTTATGTAATAATATACGTGTTTTAAAATTAACTTAAATAAAACTTAAATAAACTCAACAAAAAAAAAAAAAAAAAAAATGTAAATTTAAGGAGAAAAAAAATTTAACTGAAATTGGTGTAAAAACAAATTTAAAAAAAAAAATTGATAAATTTTTTTACCAAACAGCTTCGATAATATCGACTTCAGCACACTTTCTAAAATAATAGAAGAATGTTTCTCCGTAACCTCTTTAGCAGTAACAGTTTGCGAAAAAAGTTTTGAATTATAAGTATTGTAATAGTTAGGTATGCTTTATTATTGTCAGAAGTCCATAAATCTGTTGTAGCAGCCGTATATTCAACTAAATGTAGAATATCTACAATTATATGTTTCGGCATATATTTGCATCATGGAAGAATTTTCTCTCATAAATACTAGTTTTTTGCTACCGCGGGTAAATCTTGTCACAATTTGAATTTCTCAATCAGTTCGGTATAAACCAACAAAACAAGTGGTACGAGTCAACTAGTTTCACTCGTAATTCGAGTCGACACGATTCACTCGAAACTAGAGTCGTAATAAATTTAACTCGAGTGCAAGTAATATAGAAACTACTCGAGTCACTCGAGTGAAAAGCAACTCGAATCCCATCACTACCTGATGCATACTTTTGAAATTAACAGAGTTGAATAAATACTTTATTCCGGTAAAATTAGTTATTGATGAAATGTTAACGAATCGAAATGTAATTGAATCGACCCCTACTGTGGTATTTATTATACGTATAGTACTATCAATCTTTGACGTGAATTAAAAATAGTACCTGGTTTTCTTTTATAAATTATCATTTATAAAATCTAAAACCGCAGGAATTGGATTTAGTTTTTTATAAATGATAATTTAAATCTTATACACTTAATATCATCACTGAAATTAAATGAAATGAAACTACATAGTATAAAACAAAGTCGCTGTCGTTGTTTGTCCGCCCCCTTAAAGCTTTAAAACTACGCAATGGATTTTGAAGCCGTTTTCTTTTAATATAATTTGTGACTCAAGATGAAGGTTTATATATATAATACATGCATAATGTTATAGAGAAACATTAATAAATTTAAAGGTTTCTAATGTCTTCTTTGTTTCTTTGTTTGCAATTTCTTGATAAGTGATTCAAAAGAAAGGTTTATATATATATAATACATGCATAATATTGTAGAGTAACACTGATAAATTTAAAGGTTTTTAATGTGATGTCGTAAATAAACACATTTTTTTGCGCTTACATTGCAATTGCTGGCTGAACTCCACTAGATAAATCAAAATAATATGCTACAGTATTGTAGACCTTAAAAGGGTCAACAAAAAATTCCGTGATCTATCTCTTAAGGATAACCCATAATAATCATTTTTATCCTTTACATTTTACGAGAAAAAATGGCTTATTTACGAAGTGATTTTAAGCAATACAGCATTAATTTTTATCCAATTAAGTACCTCAAATACATTTTCCATTTAATATAGATCAATATGGTTCTCAACAGCCTGCAATTTAAATTAATATTTCCGAAGATATTACAGATTTAAAATAAGAAAAAAGCTGTAAACGTTATTTATAAGGACATTCTGTAGTAGATAGGTATATTTAATAACAGCATTACTCCCGTGCGAAGCCCGGGCAGGTCGCTAGTAACATATAATTTAAGGTTTAACTCAAGACGTTTGGTCGTTGATGATTGAACCGTATTTCAATAGTACGTTATACTAAGTTTATGATTTCGATATATTTGTGTCATGGACGAAAGTTACATTATCCTACATCTATGATACTAGCATTTTTGTTCTATTCAACGAAAGAATATCATTTTTGATAATCATTGAATGAATGAATTATGAATGAGATGAAAATGATTGATTGATAAAACAACAAAACAAATATGTCTGCCATGTAACTATAGAATTTCGCTATTTGTAATAACAAAGAATAATTTGAACGATATGATATCTTTCTTTTCGAAGCTCTCGTTAAATAACGCTGCAAAATCTCCTATAGAGTTCGCTAAGCCAGCTTATATGGATAAAAGTGCTACATTGCAGGAGCTCGGCTACAATGACGAGAACGACCTAAGGGAAACGATTTATGGTTTGTTTTGAGCATTACCAGTGGTTTTGGGTAATAGGACTGCTTTTGTGTGTATAATAACCCGTGCTGTGATGTTTTAGACTTTTTGCGGACCATACGGGACCCGGAAAAGCCGAGTACTCTGGAAGATTTGAAAGTTGTTTACGAGGACGGTATATTTGTGAAAGAGCCCACCGAAGATAAAGTGCCTGTTTTGAGAGTGGAGTACAATCCCACAGTGCCCCATTGTTCGCTGGCGACACTCATAGGCCTGTGCATCAGGATTAAGATCCAACGCTCCCTCCATCATCCTGTTAAACTGGACATCTATATCAAGAAAGGGGCACACACTACAGAAGATGAAAGTAAGTTTACTTTTAATCTACTACTACTATTACAAATTATCTATTGTTATTTATACAACAACAACAAAAGTATCTAATGTTTGCTATTTGAAAATAGAACCTGTTGCTAGGTAGTTAGGTGCCTATTTATTCTCTCTATTATTATTAACAACCTCACAGTCAGAATTTTTTGCCTGCACCACATTTTTACAATGTAAACAAACTGAGCAGGTACTAAAGAAAAGAGACAATGGTGTTTGTTGATTTTTTTTTTTGCAGATTTAGTTTGCCTTGATTAGGAAAATTACATTATTTTACACATGGGTTGACTATTGTTTGTCATTAACCATTTGTCACAACTATTGTTATGACAAATAGTTATAGTATCATAAAAATAAAAACTTTAATAAGTATATTGGAACTAATAATTATATTTTGAATAGTAATTTTGTTTGAAAGAAAGAGATAAAACACATCAACAAATGTCTATTGTTTATATAAAATAACAGGGTTTGTAATTTCAGTGTCATATCCCACCTTAATTCTTGGTACATATTTAATTGCTGTGTATTTTAGTAATATATTATATGTTAGGACACTTGATACGACATGACGAACTTATGAATTTTATAATAGAAGGTAAGATAGAAGGAAGAAGGATGGGTGAAAATGGTAGACCGAGACATAGTTACATCAGGCATGAGAATAAAAACAAGGAAGAATTCATCAGAATTAACCATGATAGTTGGTGTCGTGTCATATCAAGAGGTGAAGAGACTCGCTGAAAATCGTAGTGAGTGGCAAGAGCTCCACCGACAAGAGCGCAGCTCTTAAATGGATAGATAGATTAAAATACAAACTAGAGGATGTCTACATGGGAGATATTTAAGAAAAAAATAATATGATGGGTCCTAAGGATAGGTCATAAGACAAATAGATATAAAAACAATCCCAGTACAACATACCAGCCTACCAGCATCACACAAAACCAATTAACCAAATTGAATGTGCTCTCCACAGTTGTATTCCTGAAGGTATTGTTGGAGTTTTAATACTGGCTGTTGACACTGAGGTTTTTTTTAGAACAATGTATTATTTTTAAATTTGTTCTATGTCAGATTTTTATAAGACTTGTCTCGTCTTGTATCTACACATATTGTATATATTGTTGTTCTAAAGAATATTATTTTTCACTGTGACCCTCTACAGGTATAACTTAAAAACTGGTGTATGTTTTATTTTGTTACCCCATTTAGAAGTGGTTTCATTGGTACTCCCACAGTTTTAATTATTAACAGTGGCATGTGATATTATGTAACAAGCAAATTAACTCAATTTCAAATTAATAATGATTTATTAAGAAAAATAGTTGTAAATGTTATTACCGTTACCGTTATAAATTTTAGATAATTTTTTCATTCATATATATAAGGATATTCATATTCCCAAAGAGGGTTGACGTCAAGCAGGTGGCCGGTCGTAAAACTAAAAACCAAATCTTTTTGTAATATGGATAAAATCATATTACGCGGACCCCAAATGATTGGGATAAGGGTAGGAAGATGATGATGATGATTCATATATATAAAAGTGCAGTGTAGTAGTACAGATTAATGCATTATAATAGTGCATTGAATAGAAACAGTTGAAATGTTAGAACTGTACAATTGTGATGGAAAAGAACAGAAAATCTCATAGGAATATATCTTATTAATAGTAATAGCAAAGATAATATAATACTAAACTAGTACTTGCAACAGTGATTCATCTGTGAACTAATCTTGCCTAGTGATTACACAAGTCCTTATTGTGCCAATCAATGTTGTATGGAAAATTCTAAGTGTATTTTTATAGTTAAAACTTTTGTAAGCACACATTATATTTTAATAACTACCATTTTAACTTATGTATAATTAAATTGACAAAGCTCGACTTGTTTCGGAATCAGTTTGTGATCCTTAGTCATGAGTGATTATGACGCGAGCACGAGCCTGACTGCGTGCTTCGGCCCACTGAATGCGAGCTGTAGATGCTAGCGGCACCGTCACAAATAGGAAAGACAGTGTTTGGATCTCTTCGGGAATGAACGGCTGGTCTCCATAGTCTTCCTTTTTACCTGCCATGTTATTGCCACTAGTTGTGTTGGTTTGCCATCGTGTACATACCATGCTCATAGTGTTGCCCTTCAATTGTATTTTTCTAGTTTAAACAGATAGGTACAATGTTAAAATGATTCTTAATAGATAGTTTGCATTGAATTGTACAGATTTATTGTATAAAAATTTATGTATAATATGAGTAGTTTTAAGTTTGAAAAATAAAGATTTTTCTGATCGTCCTTTAATACCCATAAAACTTATAGAATAGAGCAACAGTTATAGATTTATTGTGATTTCTGCCTTGATAGGATTATAAATAACACAGAAAAAAAAGCACCCTGCTACATAGAATATAGGAATATAGTTTTCGTTTAAAATTAGGCTATAATAGGGTCCTAAATAGTTGAAAATAGGGTGCTAGATAGAATTAATACATATAACAGACAGACATACAGCATAGGCAGTTATGTACATACATTATACTACATACATTACATTACATACTACATACGTACATTATACTACAGTTTTATAGAAATAGAATAGCTTGTAATGTACGCTGCATGGAATTCATTGCGATAATGACGCCGCACGTCGTGCCCTGGCCGATATTTATATGAGGGGCAAAGGGAGCGGGGCCACATATAAGCCGTAAATCAGTAAATTCGCTGAATATTCGTTAATTGCTCACCGTGCAGCACACAAAATATATGCCAAATACACAATGTAAACAACCCTACCACTAGCCGTAAGCATCGTATTGTACACTGTAGCATTTTCGATAAAATAGAAAAATAAATAGTTCTAGATAGAGGGGGTGAGGGTGCTAGTTTGTCACTGGTCCACTGGCCAGTCATAATAGATCAGTATAAATATAGCACAGGTCGAGACATTCGACACCTTCATTCGAACGATAATAAGAGAAATCCTCCGAAACAACAGAAGAAATTAAAGCAAACTAATGCTTCTGTCTGACTATCTCATTATTTCATTTAGATCCTTTAAATAGTTGTTTCATTTATCGCCTCCATTCCCCGTTCACCTCTCTTCAGTCTTCAATCCATCTTTCTACGTATCATCATTCGCCCGTCTTCTTCACAATATTATCGTATTCGTCATAATCATCATGTTTCGATATAGTTGGTACCCACGCACCTTCTTCGATTTAATCAACGCCTTCGTCATCGACTGAGAACCATTTAAATCGGTGTTCTGTATACAGGGTGCCGTTCTAGTTGAAATAAGTTTATATTCAGGTGTACCAGCGCTCCGATGCTAGCCGACCCACCTTCCGACCCTCGGGGGCAGCGGCATCATACAGAAAGTATCGTGTACGACTTTAGCTCTAAACACCCTGAATTCGAGTAATACTGTCGCAATTATTGTTTTAATGCAAATATTTTTCTTGTTTCAGTTAATAAACAAATCAACGATAAAGAGCGGATTGCAGCAGCGATGGAAAATCCTAATTTGAGGAACCTCGTCGAAAACTGTATAGCTGACGAGGAATAACCGCTGCACCTTACGGAAAATTGAATATTTGTAGTTATAGAACACAGTAATTATCCAAAATGGCGCCAGAAGCAGCATTCTCTAGCATTAACGACAAGAATGAGTTTACGAAATTCACAAAGTTTCTGGCATATAAAGGGGTACAAGTTATTGTAGAGTCCAGAAAGGGGGTTAAAATAGAGCCAAATAGCAAACCTATATCATCAGACTCTGGTTGGTTCAATCTACAAATACCGGATTCCCCGGAAGTTAATCAAGCCACAAAAAATGCCTTGCCTTCAGATCGGGTTTTAGAGACCATTCAGTCACGGTTACATGTTGAAATATCAGTACAAACTGAAGATGGTGATGAAATGGTGCTCGAATTGTGGACTTTGCATTTGGACGAGACAGAATTTGATACATCATTAAAAGCCATGAACACAATATACATAAGAATGGGCATACTTCTGAAGTCTCTTATCACCATCACGCGAATGACTCCGGCTTACCATTTGTCAAGGAAACAACGGTCCGAATCTTTCACCATTTTCTACAGAGTGTACAACGGCAAACCAAAAGTTAAAGCTTTAGGAACATCAGTAAAGAAGATGCAAACTGGCATACTTAAAACACCTTTAGGCGGTATTTATTTCAATGTCGTATACAGAACTAACTTCTCTATCACACCAAACAAGTGTCAAAACACTAGAACTCTCCTGTTAAAGAGTGACCATTTTGAACTCAGCCCAAAGCACGTAATATTGGAATCAAACAAGAAGAAAGAGTCTAAGAGTAAAGAGAAAAAGCCTGTCAAACCAATTGACCTGACTAAGCCCCTACGCCATGCGGCGTTCGTCGACGAAGTTCTACTCGAGAGGACTGTCAAGGGCTTTCTTACCAGAATACCTGTGCCTAAGGGTCGTCCACAATTTCGACCGAAAAGTCCGCCCAAAGAACAAGGCGTCGAATCGAAAAGCACTCAAGATTTAGACATAGATATCATCTCAAAAAGCCCAACGTCTTTTGAAATGCCACCAAAGAAGTTCTCGGGCATTCGTAGCGAGAATGAACCGCCTTTAAAATTGTTATGCTTCCCCTTCGCTGATAATCACCCGATTAGGGAATTGGCTGAGTTCTACAAAGACTTCTTCAATGCTCCACACTTGAAGCTCGCCGATGACTTGATTCGTTCCAAGTCAAAAAGCGCAGAATCGGTGAAAGAAGAAACAGAGGAGGCTAACGAAGATCTAGCCAAGGATTTAGAGCTGTATGAGAGTTCGGTGATTGAATTTGATGAGCTACTAGCGGACATGTGCCGATCGGCCGAGTGGAGTGCGAACTGATAGGAAGCTTAGAAGGGAAGACTGTTTTAAGACTGATGTACAGTATGGAATGACTGGTTTTTGTTTTATATTATTACGATGGATTATTTGTCTATTCTTTAAAAACTATTTGACATCTATTTTTACTGAAAATGATACAAAAATTTAAAATTTGATTTTATTTTTTTGTAGTACAATTATACTACATATTTAAAAGAATTTGTGACATTCGTAAATTTACATGTATCTGTAAATAGTGTAATTTATAAGACATAAAATTTTATGCTTGCTATATAGATAGTTAAAAAATGTCTGATGATTTTTAGTATTTCTCATATAGAAAGTAACGCTTATGATTTTGGGCTTGAATTGATTATTTTCTTAGTTTCTGCATGACCAATTTAAAACTTTCTGTAAAATAAATTATTCTGTCGTGAAACGCCGAATTCGTTAAAATACTATAGTATTTTGGAACAAGACAAACTTATGGAATTTTCGTAGAAAACAGAACTGCTTCCAGCCATAAAACACTAAACACACTGTTTCTTTCGTTTTTATGTACGTGTAGTAGATACTCTAGTAAAAACACTGATTTTTGCTGTAAAAAATACGTAAAAAACAACGTAAAGGACCTTTAAAGAAGAAATAAAAAAAAAAATTATGAATGTTTTTTCATTTTCTTTTTATTTTCTGGTTTTTACGCCCGTTAGTATAGCAATTTCTTAACATTTTGTTTTTATTATAAGTCTTTACTTTCAATAAACGTTTGATCAGAATAGAATGCCATTGTAAAAATATTAAAATTAGCGGCACGAGATGACAAGAAGAACAGGTAAAAATTTTTCAGTTTATTTAAACTGATATTTTTTATTTAAAAAACATGTAAAAACATGAATGTAGCAGATATAAAATGTTCAAATATTATTTTCATAATCATCTTTCCAGAAGCAATTATTCAGTTTTGTAAATACTATACAAGTGTATATTGGGTTTTTTATTGTGATTATAAATTCTTTCTGTTATGCTGTATGTACCAATTGATTATATCTTAGATATTAGATTAGATATGCGAATGTTCCTTTACCAATACATTTTTGTTCTTTAATTTTTAACTGTAATTTAACTCGTAAAGAAGAACAGATATATTGTCTTTGCCTCAATCAAAAACTTAAGTAAACTCAGTCTTCATATTGCTGTAAATTGGCACTATTTTTAAGAGGTTTTTTGTTCTGGAAATTAGGATAGATGTTATTTTAACCGGCCTTGAAAAGAAGTGTGTTATTGTAGAAATAGGTAACTGGCTTTAAGAGAAATCCTTAGATAGTATACTTCTGGATGGAAGTGCAAGTGTCGGTCATAACGTTTTTAAAAAAAACAAATCGCACCATTTCTCGGTACAGTAAGTGATAACTATAATACTTTGGTATCAAGCAAACGCTGACGAATCGCGTATGACTATGCAGTGTTTATGATATAAATTCACTAACTCGAGAATAAAAAAAAGTTGGTTGTTTTCGGCGAAGAGTTTGCACAGATACACTGTCTAGATGTTATATATCTAAGGACAAATTATTGTAATTCTGCAAAGTAGCTGTCTACTATGTACAGTCGAGTCGTCATGTTGCAGCACACTATGTTTTAAAGTCATCACAATAATTTGTCTAGATAATTGATAAAAAAAAGTTTACTCATCCGCCTTTTAATTGTAATTTTACCGCCAAGTTTTTAAAAATAGAATAAACTAATTGAAATCGTAAAAAAAAATGGGTTATCTAGTTGTCTTTTATTCTTAAAAATGGTTATTTTAAACACATGGGTGATTGCAGTGTGTAGTCTTTTTTATTTAACTTATGGGACATTGCTTTTGAGGATTGCAATATTTTTCCTTAAGACCTGCTAAATAAAATGTTTATTTTTTGGACTTAGTTTTTATTCATATAAAATATTATGTTCATATCATTTTTGTAGCTGGTTTAATTCAAATATATTCGTTCAAGTGATTTTTTATTTTATTAAATTTTGTCTGCCCTTTCCGCCAATTATCACCTTTCATTTTTTTTTATACAACTTAGAATGGCAAACAAGCTGACGGCCCACCTGATGGAAAGTTGTAACCGGCGCCTATAGACGAGCAATACCATGGACATAACAAAGTATACTGTTTCACCCATAATACTCCCCATGCGTTGCCATTCTTGAGGACTCGGGTGTTATTCCTCTGTACCCTGTAAATTCACACCATATTCCACCCTTCAAACCGAAACACAGCCATGCAAACACAACTGCTTTACGGTTGAAACACGAATGGGACAGAGGTACCCAAGCTAACGATTTTTGTACAGTCTCCCATTATTTACAAATAATTATTTTTAATCACTGTCTACATAACTTATCATATTAGAAAAAATATATAAATAAAAAACAATTCGAAAAAAAAGAAAAAAACAAGTCGACAATTTTCTCTTATTTTTTGCAGTCTGCAACCGCTGTACCCATGTTATATCTTTTCGAGTTTTCAATACGTTATATATTGAGCAACTTTGACCCATTACAGAAGCCCATGCCGAATTGACGGCCGATGACCGGTCGACTGTCAAATGGGCGATCAAAAGATGATTGGGGTTGTCTTGTCAAATCGAAGGCCAAGCATTCTATTACTTCAGTAACAATCTTAGATCGCATCTTTTTGGTTAATATCAAAGTGTAGTAGCAACCTTAGGCCGTCTATCTTATTTACTTTATACCCTTTAACTTTCTACCCCCCCATCTCGCCATCTGTGCTAAACAGCGAGGACGGAATGCCTAAAAATGCATTTCCAACTGTATAAAAAAAGTCTATTTGTAAGTTATATATGTATACTAGCTTTTAGACGCAACTTCGTACAAGTGACTGGGACATTTTTACTGATCGGGATAAAAAATAGCCTAAATTTTTCAAAATTCCATGTAGTATGTGTATACCAAATTTTGAGTGAAAAGTGATTCGTTTAGCTATTAAGGTGATATAAGAAACAAACTTTCATTTTTATAATATTAGTAAGGATAGAATGAAGTCCCCATCATCAATATGAACAGCATTAAATTATACACAATAGGAAAGGATAAACATGAACATTTCGGGGGGAAAGAGATTGTTAGTAATGGAGACTGAGAATCCCATTGCTAGCAATATAGCCAACCAGGTTGACCTCGCGGTTCCTCCTGGAAACTATCATGGTTAATTCCTGATAAATTCATCATGATGGGCCTGTTTTCATTCTCATCTATCATCCTTCACTGGTACTCCGTCAGCGTATCCCGTTAGCGAAGGCGGAGCGGGGCTACCATACCATTTTTACCCATCAAAAAAAAAACATGAACATCTCTGTATAAAATATATTATTTTTAATACTTATTATTATGTGATTATTATATTTGCTTTAGATAAAAATACGTTATACTAAATGTATGGTTTATATAGTGATAAAGCACTTCACCACTCCATCAAGATGATCTCTAGAGAAATGTTTAATGTTAAAATGGAATGGTTGTTGGTTTATTTTGATGAGTACCAAAGAGTATAACCAAGTGATAATGAGTAGAAATGACTATTGATAGTTGAGGATTGACTAAATCACAGATTCAAGAGACTATGTCTAAAGATAAAGGTCAAAATTGTGGTTGCCAAATGTTCTTACGTTGATCCAAAACAGCATCACAAGTCTTAGATAAAGAATACTACTTTAATATCATAAACGATCAAGTAATAAAAGAAATTAAATGTGAATTAGATTTGTAGATGGTTTCGATTGGTGCTTGCACGTACGTCAACGTTAGTGAAATGTCAGTCAAACCGACTTTGCGAAACGCGTTTGTTTTTTTACATATTCTTGTTGTCTATATACTATTTTTGTCTTTAATCTTATAACTGTTTACTTGTGTCTTTCCGTTGCTATGAATTTCTAAGTTTTATTATTACAAAATGAAGTAATATCTTAGTGAAATGTAATTATTAATAAAAGTTGTTTACGTCAAAATAATTGATTACACGGATGTTTTGTATTCCTAACCTCTAAGCGAATTTGCCGGACTTTAAATATGTTCTCGATCTGCCGGCAAACTCACCCAGCCACTGGGATTGAGCACGCCGTGAGCTGTTGCTTCTTTAACAATGAAGACGTATGCCTGGTCACCGCTGGTGCCAATATTATTAAGGTTTTTAGACTATTACCTGAGGGGCCCACTAAAGAAGTTAATGCTGGTAAGTTACCAGTTATTTTTCAGTGTGTAATACTGAATGGATCACTAAACAGTGTAGCAGTTTAATAGACTGTCTCACATTTCAATAATTTTTCTTGTGCAACTTGGAATGGCAAACAAATTGACAGCCCATCTGATGGAAAGTGGTAACCATCGCCTATAGACATGAGCAGTACCATGGACATAACAGAGTATACTGTTTCGCCCATGATACCTTCCCATGCATTGCCATTTCTGAGGATTTAGGTGTTATTTCTCTGTGCCCTGTGTAAATTCACTGCCATATCCCACCCTTCAAACCGAAACACAGCCATGCAAACACAACTGCTTCATGGTAGAAACATGAACAGGACAGAGGTGCCCAAGCAAATAACTTTTGTACAAAGTCCCACTGGTAAATTGTAAAAATAATTGTGCATTTCTTTCTGTACAATGTAAGATTTTATTTAGTACAGTGCAAACATGTATTAACAAGTACAATGTGTTGCATGTACAGATGTTTTTTATGTATTCCATGTATGTATTTACAATAAAATATGTATGTATGTCTATAAATTTTTCTAAAATCTATTTCAATACATAGTAATGGAAAGGTGACAGAATTTTTATAATTATCACAGAAACACTCTGTTAATGAAAATAATAATAAATTGAAACATTCAATTGATTTTTGATATTTACAATAATTGGACACCAACCAACTATTATATTTTCATTAGCAAGGAAGTAAGTTCTATTAGAATTGACCCTATGGTCAATTACTATTACTGTACTATTACCTGCAGTAAATAGATAATTAACATATTATTATACATGTTTTTACAAAATATTACTGAGTACTAATAGAGCAACTATTTAAATACCACTGCTGGACATAGGTATCCCCCATAGACTGCCATAAGGAACTGTCCTGAGCTACCTGCATCTACTGACTCCCTGCAATGCATTTGAGGTGACACTCCATTTAGTAGGGCATCATCCTATTTTTAATATTATTTATATATATTTATAATATTAGTAAGGATAATTTCCAGTTATCTTTCTTTTGCACTGGCATGCTATGTGTGATTGAATTATTTTTTAATGCTTTTACTTCATATTTCTTTTACAGCTGGCCAACCAATACCCCCTAAAATGAAGCTGGAATGCCTAGCGTCTTATACTCTTTGGGGTAATGTAATGTCCATGGCGTCTGTGCGTAGTCCAAGTTCAGGCAGAGATCTGCTGCTTGTGTCATTCAAGGAGGCCAAACTGTCTGTGCTGCAGTATGACCCTCAGACAAACAATCTTATAACTCTTAGTATGCATTACTTTGAGGAGGATGATATGAAGGTATGTGATGTAAACAACTGAACCAAAGCAATATTTATTTTTTAGTCACTTCCAAAAAGACCAGATCAGACCAGACCATCAATTTCTCTATATTTCTGGTATGTTATTAATACTTGATCAATTATAATAATTGTCACTATTGTAGGGGTTTACCCTCTTAGCAGTCCTATATTATTAAAATGGAATCTATGGGAGTAATACTTAGTAAAAAAAAAATAGACTAAAAATATTCCTTAATGCTTTTCCTCACAAACTTGTGTGTATGACTGGGAAAGTATTGACAATTAACAAGGATGAAAGTCTCCATTTCATATTTTTTAGTGCCTATAAGGCACTAGAAGATATTAAATAACCAAACAAACTTACTGTAACTTATACAGATGGTTATACATGCATTATATTATACATACAGATTGGTGAAAACAAAAATAGCTGATTCAGATGAAGGATCTTAATCAGATGGCACATTGTTTTCTCATCAGAAATTATAATAATTGTTTTTTTATATTGGAAAAGACACAAAATAAAATTTGGAATTTTCTGGAAAGGTTTTTAGTTTAAAATAATGGTCTGAATTCACTGTTTCAGTTTTTGCCAACCTGTTTCTTATACTTTGTAAAATAATAGTAAGAAATTCTTACTTACTCATGCTTGTAGGGTGGTTGGACAACACACCCCCACATACCGTGGATCCGTGTGGACCCAGAATTCAGATGTGCTGTTATGTTACTGTATGGAAAGAAATTGGCTGTGTTACCATTTAGGAAGGACATCACATCAGAAGAAGGTGACCCATTAGAAGCTAAACCATTTGACGACAGTAAAAAAAATGTAAGTACTGAGAATTTTTTAAAAAGAAAAAAGGGAGTACCATTTGCATTTGGCATTATCACTGAATTATTTTAGAATGGAATGGCAACCCTGCCTGCACTATTAGTATATGTTGACAGAATACCAGTAAGAGTAATGTAAATTAAATCTTATTTCCACACAAAGCTTCTCATTTGAGCCTTGTATGTGTGAGTCATAGCTACTACAGCCAGCCAAGCTCTGTTCCAAAGTACAGAAGCTTCCTGGAATCTTCACAGGCATCATAGAGCAATTTTTCTGTTCTGATAGTTTGTGAATGTTAAGTGGCTACAGCTAACATACATATCCCAGGATGACGCAAGTAGCTGTTTTTTGGCATCAAAACAGCCTCGAGCACTCGCTTGTGTTCAAATTAATTTGCCAACTCTTACTTAAATTGTACTGTAACAACATGGAATGGTCTTCCTCAAGACGTGTTTCCTTCATCCTGTAACCTTCATACATAGTGTGAAAAAGCACTTGGTAAGCCGGCATAGTGTGTTTAACCGTTGAGAGTGAATTAATTCTATTTTGTTGGATCATATTCATGGACAATATTGTCTCTGTATTTGGTTAGAATGGTGTAGTCATATGTTGTGCTATAATAAAAAAAAAAAAAAAAAAAACTAATATAACTACAAATCTATCATTCATCAATGCACTTTATTTTTGTTTTAAATAAAGAATAGAAATATGTTTTAAATAAAGAATAGAAATATATTTTAAATTCACTATTAGGATTTAACGTGACGCTATTGCAGGTTACCTATTACTATTTACCTGTAATTGCTTCTCGTTAAGTCCCGATAGGTTATTTAAAATAGAGAATAGAATATAGAAAATTTGTTAATTTTTGTGAAGCAAAACTTACTATGGTATATTCACGCCCAATTATTTGCAGGGTAGGCAGATAAAACAATGTTGCAGATTTTAATATTGACATATATCTCTAGTTTCATTCGCTTTCTTAATTTGTTTCATGTTTTGGCACTTGGTTTTTTGATCCTTGATTAATAAGTGATTTAACAATAATTTTTCTTGCAGCAACCTACCCAACCGATCGCGCGAGCACCAACGCTAGCCTCCTATGTGATAGTGCTAAAAGATCTAGACGAGAAGATAGACAATATTCTAGACATACAGTTCCTCCATGGTTACTACGAGCCTACATTATTGCTGCTATATGAACCTGTCAGGACTTTTCCTGGGTAAGTCACTCTTGCAGTTCTTATGTAACTTGTAATGGTAAACGAACTAACATTCTACCTGATGGAAAGTGGTAACTGTTGATAGATAGCAGTTATCACTTATTTTATGTGAGGCTGTGGCCCATCAACGTTTAGAAATCCTCGGAACGGTGAGGTCGCTCCGTGAGGCCTGTGAAGAACCCAGGAAGCTTCTGTGCTTCTGGGCGGAGCTAGGTCGGCTGTACTAGCCACGACTCATACGCACAATGGCCTAAATGAGAGGCTTAGCGCGGAAAATAGAGTCTTTTTCACATTCACGTCACTTATTTTAGACGACAGTGATATGTGTGTAAACACATAACCAGTACCATCAACATGTAGAATACACTATCATGTCGTTTATGGAGCTTAATTAACTGTATTACGGTTTGAAACTTCAAACTGAAACATAGCTATGAGCCATATGGTATATACCTATATGGTTCTCTTCATAAACTTTCAAACCTTCTCCAAAATTTTCTATCAACTCCATCAACTGTCAACCTGCAAATTGTAAAACTCACCATGATAACTCATCGTCCATCAATCCGCATCAGAAAGGTCATGCTCTCAGTACCCACTAAATGTTGAAGCCCAAATCTATCATCCATATTATAAGTTGCAAACCTTGGCATACGCGAGCGTACACCAAAAGCGCAAACGCAAGTGCTTGGGAACTCAAATCCAGTACACAGCACAAAAAAAAAATACCTATATGGTTCATCCTTCGAAATGAAATACAGCCACAGCAATAAAATTAAAGTCCTTATAAAAACGTATAAAGATTTTTTTTTTATCTTTTTAATAGTCGTACAGCGGTACGCAATGACACGTGCGCAATGGCCGGCGTATCGCTGAACATGAGCGCCAGAGTGCATCCGGTCATCTGGGCCATTGGTGGGCTACCCTTCGACTGTTTGCAGGCAGTGCCTATACAGAAACCTCTGGGTAAGTACATGTTTTTACGGTATGAAATATACAGGTGGGGGTTTTTTTTTGATGGGTGAAAATGGTATGGTAACTTCGCCTGCGCTAACGGGATACGCTGGCGGGGCACCAGTGAAGGGTGATAGATGAGAATGAAAACAGGCCAGTTAGCCCATCATGATGAATTCATTAGGAATTAACTATGATAGTTTCCAGGGGGAACTGCGAGGAGGTCGACCTGGTTGGGTATATTGCTAGCAATGCGATTCTCAGTCTCCATTACTAGCAATCCTTTTTCCCCCTACAGATGGGGTTACCGCTTCAAATAAGTGTGTGAGTTAGTGATGACTGATGGTAGGGGGAGAAGCTATAGTGAATTTGCTAGGTGGTCAATATCATAATGGTTTCCAGGGTTCTGACAGAGTTATTGCTAGCAATAAGGTTGCTGGGTTTTTTTAATGGATGATTATTAAATGGTCACCTTGTATGCACTATTGGTATACACTAACGGGGCACCAGTGAGGGATGATAAGTGAAAATGAAAGAGCAAGTCAGTTAGCCCATTGAGAAGAATACACTGGGATTCAGTACGATGGTTTCCAGGGGGGACCACGTGGAGTATATTATTAGCAATATGACAGGTAGCCTACATTACTAATACTCCCTTCCCCCCCAGGTTGCTGGATTGGTAATAATTTATAACCATGCGTTCGTTTATTTTCAGGTGGCTGTCTAATAATGGCAGTAAATTCGCTGATCTACCTAAATCAGTCGGTTCCTCCATATGGCGTTTCATTGAACAGTATAGCTACCCACACTACCAATTTTCCGCTTCGTAAGTTTATTATTTCATATTAATAGAAATTATATAATAATTAGAATTAAAATATGAGTGTGTTCTAAATATGAACACTGCTATTTTTTTTTTTATAAATGTGTCTTATGTTGATTGTACTATGTAGTTTTGGTTACATTCTAAATTCAAATGTTGTTCTGATATTTTTTAAGTTTGGAATTCTACGTGGAATGTTAGCAAAGCCTAACTGTAGGCTTTTTTTCAATTGTTTTAAAAAGAGAGGTTGTCAATATGGTTATACATAGTATTACTTTTTATGTTTGTTACTTCATAAATCGATTTAGATTTTTTTTAAACAGATTGATTATTGATTTACCAAAGGGAGACTTTGTACAAAAGTCGATTGCTTGGGTACCTCTGTCCCATTCGTGTTTCAATCGTGAAGCGGTTGTGTTTGCGTGGCTGTGTTACGGTTTGAAGGGTGGGATATGGCGTGAATTTATTGGGTACAGAGGAATAACACCTGAGTCCTCAGGAATGGCAGCGCATGGGGGATATCATGAGCGAAACAGTATACTCTGTTATGTCCATGGTACTGCTCATGTCTATAGGCGACGGTTACCACTTTCCATCAGGTGAGTCGTCAGCGTGTATGCCATTCTAAGTAGTATAAAAAAAAAAGATTGGCTCTGTAGATATTTAACAAAAATGGATCCAGTAGTTTAGTTTTTGCGTGAAAATAAGCGGTTTAGTTGATGGCGGTGGCGGCGGTGGTGGCGGTGGTGTGCGCAGGCATCCAGGAGGGCGTGTGCATCACGCTGGACGGCGCGTGCGTGGCGGCGCTGGGCGAGGCGCGGCTGGCGCTGTCGCTGCGCGGCGGCGAGCTGTACGTGCTCACGCTGCTGTCCGACTCCGTGCGCAGCGTGCGCAGCTTCCACCTCGACCGCGCCGCCGCCTCCGTGCTCACCGCGCAGGTCTATACCACCACCGCACCATACACGCTGTAACATAACAAACAAACTCACTTTCACATCTGTTATACTAATAACAATAATCACACCGATTCCATATATTATATAATTTCTGTACAATTCTGCCACTGAGAGATATTTCCTACTCATTTCAGTATTTCAAGTTATGTGCCCAGACATTTGTTGCTTTAAACAGTATTTCCATTTTCTCAACAAATCTTTAATTTCTCTTATATCACGAAGGTGATAAGTAAGCATACAACGCATCTGATGGTAAATAGTCACTGTAGCTTATGAACACCTCCAATACTAGGAGTGTCACGTGCGCGTTGCCGACCTTGAAGAAACCCTAATGAACAACTTTATACTGCAGTCTCTAAATATATTTCTATTTTGTGGGTCAGATGTGCGTGATCGAGGAAGACTTCTTGTTCCTGGCGTCCCGATTGGGCAACTCGCTTCTGCTGCGTGTAACGGAGCGCGAGAACCGCATGCTATTCTCCGTTGATAAGCCGCTAGAGGCCACTGTCGACCTCACCCTCACCGAGGCAGGTATGTATCTAGATGTAAACAAATGATAATAGAATGGTACACTCGTCTGCAGTATCAGTACACGCGGATACAACTGGAGGATAGGATGGGTGGGTGGGTAAGGATGAAGTCATGTCAATTTGTTCATAGAATTCACTAGCACTTGGTTTTTGTGGGAGTCTAGCTCCTGAATTAGATATAATCCTTCATCATAGCAGCCGTTAACTCTCATAAGCTGCAGCTGAAGATAAGCTTTCCCGATAATCCCCAAGATCTAGGATAGTAGTATCTTTCAAATTACTACATGTTCACAGAAAGAGAGTCAGCGTCCAGAGAGCAGCAGAAGGAGACCGCATCGGACCCTGCCGCCAAGAAGCGGCGGTTGGACACTATCAGCGACTGCGTGGCTACCAACGTAATCGAGATTAGCGACAAGGACGAGCTCGAGGTGTACGGCTCCGACATACGCACCTCCACGCAGCTCACCAGCTACGTGTTTGAGGTACGCACGCACCTGCATGATGCACTAGCGGGATGATCATACCTTCTGAGACAGGGTTGTATTAGGCTAAATTGTAAAATTACTTTTTCTTTTTGCCATATCCCCCCTTTAAAACGAAACACAGCCTTGCAAACACAACTGCTTCATGGTAAAAACATGAATGGAACAGAGGTGTCCAAGCAACAAACTTTTGTACATAGTTTTCTATGGTATTTAGTCCCCTTTCATCAAAATTTAGACATACAACAATGTCTAAATTTAAACTTAATATATAAACTTTGTCTTTGTCAATCAGAGTATTTGTTAGGTTTTTTAAAAATGATCCTGGCTTGTTGTGTTGGTCGTGGCGAATTAGTCTCGAATTACTTGAACTGTGCTGGGTTTCAGAGGGATCGCATGTTGGTTGACTTGACGATATATTGGTAGCAACTGGGCCACTAATTAATGTTCAACATTGATATGTTGAACATTAATTAGTGATTCTTTAACTGTCCACTGTTGAATTTAGGTCTCCCCTTGGAGGGTTTTGCTAGTAGTTGCCACGCTTGGCGGGCGGATTGGCAATCGTGGGCAGGTTTTAGAGATGTTTTAAGATGGACGCTGTTGCCTATCTTTCACCCTCCCTTAGTCAGTTCTTACGACACCTATGGGAAAGGAAGGGGTGGGGTGTTGTAATAATAATAATAATAATGCCATCTCCTCTCCTTAAGAGGGGAGATGTGAATTTTGTCAAATTTTTAAAAATAATAATAATAATTTGCCTTTCAAAGTCCAACCCCGCGTCCGAGCTGAACATCTAGCTCACGCGAAAGGCGGTCACGCATACAAATAAACCTTACGCGGCTAAAAGGGAAATGGCAAATAAAAAGATGGCGAGCTCAGATAAGGAAGATAGGATAAGGTCGCTGCCCGGGGGCCGCCGAGGCGTGTCTACAACTGGCGGTAGGCGCGGCAGAATACCGGCCCGGCAGACTGGCCCCACCACCTGGCCGGTCCGACCCACGCCATCGACATCAGCTGGCTTGGCGCCGGCACGACCGACTCAGGCTCAGCAATCGGCGCCCGCCACTGGTGGTACACGCCGCATGAGGTGGACGAAAACTATGAACGAGGACCTCATGCGTGCGTTCTACAGGGCTACAGGGACAGAAACAGGTAGAACAGGATATCGGGCAGTAATGCACCGCGAGTTTCTGCGTCTTTTACCGGATCTAACCGTCTCGAAACAGAACCTAGCCGATAGAGTTCGGTACATACAGCGCTCTGGTATGTTTAGCGCGACCGAACTCGAACGATTGCGAAGTGAAGTTGTTTCAGAAGCAGACTTGGCGACCACGGAGCAACCCATCTCGAACGTGTTACCTAGCGTAGAGGTGGTTGCCGAAACGCCTTCAGAAGCGGATGTGGACGGAACAACTTCCCAGGACATAGAGCATATGAGGAGCATACTAGAGGAGGCGATTCTAGAGATCCGAAGAACTCCCCTCGAAGAGAGACCGAAGCTTCCCCGGATATATCCAAATGTGGCGCTGCGGGATGCCATTGAGACCACAAATACACTGCTGCCACAATACCTTGAGGGCAGCGGTGACCTGGGAGAGACGAGCTCAATCTCATTCGGCGCTGCGTTGGCAGTATGCCGATATACCGGCGCAAAAATGCCCCAGGCTGGACGTAATATCCGAAGGGATAATGCGAAACCAGCCTGGAAAAGAAGAAGTGAGCGACGGATCACCCAGACCAGGGTTCTTATTGGCAGACTGCTCTGCTTCAGGGAGGGCAATACACGCCCGAGAATTATGCGCTCCGTAAAAGAGGCCTTTGCTGGGACAGGTGTACGTCTGTTCCAGCCGGACTTCGGGCAAAAACTTGCGGAGCGTATGGACGACCTGAAGCAGGAGATCGCTGCATGGGGAAAGCGATTCCGACGGTACTTTGAGAGGGTCGAGAGGTATCAACAGAATCGTCTTTTTACGAGTGATCAACGGAAGTTTTATAGGAACTTGGAGCGCCCAAAACTGCAGGCCACAGGAGAAAGACCAGAAACAGCCAATTTCGTCGTCTTCTGGCGACAGCTGTGGTCTGAACCTGAGGAGGAGGAGGAGGAGGGCACATGGATTCACGGTGTTGAGGAAGCATGTGCTCAAATAACGCCGATGAACGCCATTGCCATTAAGGAAGAAGACGTGGTTGCCGCGATCCGTCGGGCTCCGAACTGGAAAAGTCCGTGGATCGACGGATTGCAGCGCTACTGGTTAAAGGCGTTCTCGGCCAGCCATGCGACCTTAGCTGTGCAATTCCAGAGTGCTCTCGAAAACACTCCCGAACTTCCTTACAACCGGGATCACTCATTTAGCTCCTAAGACGGATGATACCGCGGATCCATCTAATTATCGCCCCATCACTTGTCTTACGACAATATATAAGACGTTAACATCCGTTCTGAGCACTAAGATCTCTCTTCATGTGTACGAAAATAAGATCTTATCTAGCGCTCAGAACGGATGCTGGGGCGTTAGCCGCGGATCGAAGGAGCTGTTCCTCATTGATGCTGTCGCTGGCCACGTGGTTCAGTGTAACCGTCGGAATTTCTCTGCCGCCTGGATAGATTATAAAAAGGCGTTCGATTCCATGCCCCATTCATGGCTCCGGATACTCGAGCTATACAAGATCGACGGTATAGTTCGAGTGTTCTTGGAGGCATGCATGGGGCAGTGGACGACGATCCTGACTATCCAGGGCGAGCGATTGACGGATACCGCTGACCGGATAGAGATCAAGAGGGGAATATTCCAGGGTGATTGTTTGAGTCCACTTTGGTTTTGCCTGTCCCTGAATCCTCTCAGTGCTTTACTGAAGAATTCGGGAACTGGATTTCAGTATCGGAGAGGAGGTACACGAGTGTCTCACCTTCTGTACATGGATGACTTGAAACTACTAGCTCCGAGTGTCGAACGCCTGACGGAGCTGCTAAATATCGTAAACGATTATAGCAGCTCTGTTAGGATGGCATTCGGAATAGACAAATGCGCGGTCCTCCATGTGCAGAGGGGACGGGTCACTCAAACTGAAGGGATCGCCACAGATCCCTCTAATATTAAAACCCTCTCCGAGGCTGAAACATACCGGTATCTGGGCATGTCACAAAACATCGGTGTGAGGGAGACGGATGTGAAACGGTCAGTTCGCGAGGAATTTTTTGCGCGCCTTACAAGAATAAGAACTGAAAAGTTCCTTGTCGGGCGCCAATAAAATCCGAGCTTATAACGGCTGGGTCATACCCGTACTCCTTTACACTTTTGGCGTGTTCAGATGGTCTCAAACTGATGATGATGAAAGTCCGACAACTATGACCCTCCATAGAATGCATCACCCGAAATCGTCAGTCATGAGGCTGTATATCCCGCGGAAGGCTGGTGGTCGAGGCTTGTTAAGCGTTAAGACCATGCACAACCGCGAGATCAGCCTCAGGACATAGAGAAAAGCATCATAGAGAGGTCATAAATCGTCAGTCATGGCTAAAGAGGACTGGCGAAAACCCAAAGTTTTGGGTACCTCTCAGCGGGAGGCCGTATGGAAAGAGAAGGAGTTGCACGGAAGGTTCTTCAAAGCCCTTCACGGGCCGTACGTAAACACGAAGACCTCCGTGCACTGGCTACAGTTCGGTGATCTCTTTGGAGAGACCGAGGGTTTTGTCTGTGCAATACAGGATCAAGTGGTTAAGACGAACAATTAACGAAAGCACATTCTGAAGGATGGCACTGAGGACATCTGTCGAGTATGTCGCCATCCCGGAGAGTCACTCAGACATGTGCTTTCGGGTTGTTCAGCTCTTACCAACACTGAGTACTTGCACAGACACAGCTAGGTAGCCAAAATACTCCATCAAGAGCTAGCTCTGAAGTACGGCCTCGCGAATGAGAGGTTACCGTACTATAAGTACGAGCCACAGCCGGTCCTCGAAAGCGACAGGGTCAGGCTCTACTGGGACCGATCCATCATCACGGACAGGACCGTTCTTGCGAACAAACCTGATATCGTGGTGATGGATCGGCCACTTTCGAGGGTGTTTTTGGTGGATGTCACCATACCGCATGACGAGAATCTCGTGAAAGCCGAAACCGAGAAGAAGAGAAAATATCTCGACCTGGCTCACTAGGTGACCGAAATGTGGGGGGGGGGGGTGACATCTACCGAAATCATCCCAATCGTTATGTCGGTAAACGGTCTTATCCCAACCAGTCTGGAACAACATCTCAGACGGTTAGGATTCCGAGGCGGCTCACTCCCGGGAAAGATGCAGAAAGTGGTGCTCTTAGATTCTGCCCGCATTGTACGCCGGTTTCTCTCCCTGGGGCTCTGAACCCCGGCCGACTGTGCTTCTGCCGGGGGTTAGTTGCGATCTCCTCTCCTTAAGAGGGGAGATGAGAATTATAGTAAAATTTAAAAAATAATAATTTATTTGCTCGAAATGTGGTACAAAGGTCTTAAGTGGTAACTGAGCTATACATTTCGCCTTATCTAAAGGCATGTAAATTTTGTCTTAGCACATGTTAGTTTGTTTTAGTGGCTAATATTTTAAAGTAAACATTTATCAATTACGTATTTTTTTCTTTTTTTTATACAACTTAGAATGGTAAACAAGCTGACGGCCCACCTGATGGAAAGTGGTAGCCGTCGCCTATAGACATGAGCAGTATCATGGATATAACAGAGTATACTGTTTCGCCCACGATACCTCCTATGTGTTGCCATTCCTGAGGACTCAGGTGTTATTTTTCTGTACCTAGTAAATTCACTGCCATGTTTCACCCTTCAAACCAAAACACAGTAATGTAAATATAACTGCTTCACGGTTGAAACACGAATGGGACAGAGGTACTCAAGCAATTGGCTTTTTAAAAAATTTACAATTTAAAAAAAAAATTGTAAATGTGTACGCGGCGAGTACATGGCGAGGGCTGGCGGCAGGTGTGCGACTCGCTGCTGAACACGTGCCCGCTGGGCGCGGCGTCGATGGGCGAGGCGCTGGCGGCGGGCGCGGCGCGCGGCGTGGAGCTGGTGGCGGGCGCCGGCCGCGCCAAGAACGGCGCGCTCTGCGTGCTGCAGCGCAGCGTGCGCCCGCTGCCCGTCACCGCCTTCCACCTGCCCGGTACGCACTGTTGCACTCACCCCGCCCCCGCCCCACTCACACACTCACCCCCCGCACTGCGCGGCGCGCTCTGCGTGCTGCAGCGCAGCGTGCGCCCGCTGCCCGTCACCGCCTTCCACCTGCCCGGTACGCACTGTTGCACTCACCCCGCCCCCGCCCCCGCCCCGCACTCACCCCCCGCACTGCGCGGCGCGCTCTGCGTGCTGCAGCGCAGCGTGCGCCCGCTGCCCGTCACCGCCTTCCACCTGCCCGGTACGCACTGTTGCACTCACCCCGCCCCCGCCCCCGCCCCGCACTCCCCCCCCTCAGTGCGCGGCGCGATCTGCGTGCTGCAGCGCAGCGTGCGCCCGCTGCCCGTCACCGCCTTCCACCTGCCCGGTACGCACTGTTGCACTCACCCCGCCCCCGCCCCACTCACACACTCACCCCCGCACTGCGCGGCGCGCTCTGCGTGCTGCAGCGCAGCGTGCGCCCGCTGCCCGTCACCGCCTTCCACCTGCCCGGTACGCACTGTTGCACTCACCCCGCCCCCGCCCCGCACTCACCCCCCGCACTGCGCGGCGCGCTCTGCGTGCTGCAGCGCAGCGTGCGCCCGCTGCCCGTCACCGCCTTCCACCTGCCCGGTACGCACTGTTGCACTCACCCCGCCCCCGCCCCCGCCCCGCACTCCCACCCCGCACTGCGCGGCGCGCTCTGCGTGCTGCAGCGCAGCGTGCGCCCGCTGCCCGTCACCGCCTTCCACCTGCCCGGTACGCACTGTTGCACTCACCCCGCCCCCGCCCCCGCCCACACTCACCCCCCGCACTGCGCGGCGCGCTCTGCGTGCTGCAGCGCAGCGTGCGCCCGCTGCCCGTCACCGCCTTCCACCTGCCCGGTACGCACTGTTGCACTCACCCCGCCCCCGCCCCAGCCCCGCACTCACCCCCCGCACTGCGCGGCGCGCTCTGCGTGCTGCAGCGCAGCGTGCGCCCGCTGCCCGTCACCGCCTTCCACCTGCCCGGTACGCACTGTTGCACTCACCCCGCCCCCGCCCCGCCCCCGCCCCCGCCCCCGCCCCCGCCCCGCACTCACCCCCCGCACTGCGCGGCGCGCTCTGCGTGCTGCAGCGCAGCGTGCGCCCGCTGCCCGTCACCGCCTTCCACCTGCCCGGTACGCACTGTTGCACTCACCCCGCCCCCGCCCCCGCCCCGCACTCACCCCCCGCACTGCGCGGCGCGCTCTGCGTGCTGCAGCGCAGCGTGCGCCCGCTGCCCGTCACCGCCTTCCACCTGCCCGGTACGCACTGTTGCACTCACCCCGCCCCCGCCCCCGCCCCACTCACACACTCACCCCCCGCACTGCGCGGCGCGCTCTGCGTGCTGCAGCGCAGCGTGCGCCCGCTGCCCGTCACCGCCTTCCACCTGCCCGGTACGCACTGTTGCACTCACCCCGCCCCCGCCCCCGCCGCGCAGTCTCCCCCCGCACTGCGCGGCGCGCTCTGCGTGCTGCAGCGCAGCGTGCGCCCGCTGCCCGTCACCGCCTTCCACCTGCCCGGTACGCACTGTTGCACTCACCCCGCCCCCGCCCCACTCACCCACTCACCCCCCGCCCGGCGCGGCGCGCTCTGCGTGCTGCAGCGCAGCGTGCGCCCGCTGCCCGTCACCGCCTTCCACCTGCCCGGTACGCACTGTTGCACTCACCCCGCCCCCGACCCCCTCCCGCACTCCCCCCCGCACTGCGCGGCGCGCTCTGCGTGCTGCAGCGCAGCGTGCGCCCGCTGCCCGTCACCGCCTTCCACCTGCCCGGTACGCACTGTTGCACTCACCCCGCCCCCGCCCCACTCCCACACTCACCCCCCGCACTGCGCGGCGCGCTCTGCGTGCTGCAGCGCAGCGTGCGCCCGCTGCCCGTCACCGCCTTCCACCTGCCCGGTACGCACTGTTGCACTCACCCCGCCCCCGCCCCACTCACACACTCACCCCCCGCACTGCGCGGCGCGCTCTGCGTGCTGCAGCGCAGCGTGCGCCCGCTGCCCGTCACCGCCTTCCACCTGCCCGGTACGCACTGTTGCACTCACCCCGCCCCCGCCCCCCGCCCCGCACACACTCACCCCCCGCACTGCGCGGCGCGCTCTGCGTGCTGCAGCGCAGCGTGCGCCCGCTGCCCGTCACCGCCTTCCACCTGCCCGGTACGCACTGTTGCACTCACCCCGCCCCCGCCCCCGCCCCACTCACACACTCACCCCCGCACTGCGCGGCGCGCTCTGCGTGCTGCAGCGCAGCGTGCGCCCGCTGCCCGTCACCGCCTTCCACCTGCCCGGTACGCACTGTTGCACTCACCCCGCCCCCGCCCCGCACACACCCCCCCGCACTGCGCGGCGCGCTCTGCGTGCTGCAGCGCAGCGTGCGCCCGCTGCCCGTCACCGCCTTCCACCTGCCCGGTACGCACTGTTGCACTCACCCCGCCCCCGCCCCACACACTCACCCCCCGCACTGCGCGGCGCGCTCTGCGTGCTGCAGCGCAGCGTGCGCCCGCTGCCCGTCACCGCCTTCCACCTGCCCGGTACGCACTGTTGCACTCACCCCGCCCCCGCCCCCGCCCCACACTCACCCCCCGCACTGCGCGGCGCGCTCTGCGTGCTGCAGCGCAGCGTGCGCCCGCTGCCCGTCACCGCCTTCCACCTGCCCGGTACGCACTGTTGCACTCACCCCGCCCCCGCCCCACTCACACACTTACACACTAACCTCTCACTCCCACAACCCACCAATATAGAGAAAAACACGAAAACATTGTGTACACTTTACTACCGTACCGTAATAGTGTTTAGACGGGAATTAAACATGACATTAATGCAAAATATTACATAATATAAAAAAAATCTAAAAGACGTGAAGCTGCGGGTAATTTTAGAAATTATACATTAAAGATTATGTGCAGGTTTATTTAATGGGAGATAATGGAATTGTAACAGTATACCGTCAGCGCAGGTGCTAACGCTGCCGGGCACCAGTGAGGGACGATATGTGAGTTTCCCAAGGGAGACCACGTGTAAATCGACCTAACAGGGTATATTGCTAGCAATGGGATTGGTAATCCGTTTGATAACATGCTCTCTCCTAACTTTGTGCAGGCTGCATCGACATGTGGACGGTGCGCGGGCCGGGCGGCGGACCGGTGGCCAGTGCGGAGGTGGAGGCGGGCGGAGCGCCGCACGCCTACCTCATCCTCACGCAGGAGGACTCCTCCATGGTTAGCTGCTTGTATAATACTAGCAAACCACTTTCGTTCAATTCGTCTACATTTCTGTTTTTAAAGCTTTGCTAAATCTATTATTTTTTTTAAATGTAATTTGGAATTTATGATTCAACAATTATTTATTTATTAGTTATAAGGGGAAAATACTATTAGATTGTATTCGTCGCACACTAATTTTCTCATAGCATTTCTGTCGTTCACAGTGTTATGTTGGTAAACATATTCATAATTTCCATCTTGATTTGTTCTATCGAATAAGATCAAAGAAAATTAATAGTATATATATATATATATATATATATATATATATATATATATATATATATATATATATATATATATATATATATATATATATATATATATAATACAAAATGGTAAAATAAAATTGTTGTCACTTTTAATAACTACCAGAAAATGAATGTGTCATAATCTATGGCAATCATCAATTTAATATAATTTATAACAGATTCTGCAGACCGGTCAGGAGATTAATGAGGTGGACAACTCAGGATTCATGACCAATGCACCCACTATATTCGCGGGCAACCTTGGGAATAACAAATACATGGTCCAAGTCACCACCACTGCCATCAGACTAATAAATAGTGAGTTTTTTCAGTGATATTTATTCATGTTTTGTTCATGATAATTATTATTCTAATTAATTTTTCTAAGTTTGCAACTGGACGGTAGGCTTGGTACATTGTAATCAATTTCAACATAAATATGGTTCTCCATTATAACTTTGAATTTATTGTGATATCCGGCTCAGAGGATCAAAAATTTTTGGTAAAATTTAACATTTTTCTTCCTCAAAGTTAAAGTCTGATGATGGTGTCTGACACTATCTGTATCCACTTGCATAAAATTATTTTATCATACATCAATACAGGTGTGTGAGTAAAAAAGTTTTCAAAAGACATGTTTTATGACGTCAGGTAAAACAACGCCATCTAGTAATCAAATGTCATTTCATAAATACATGTGATTTTTTAAAAAATTTTTCTTAAAATTACAATAGACACTTACAACTTGTTGTAATTAGACGTCCCGTCTGAATATAAACGCTTACCGTAGCCTACGAGTAGGTGCAACATTAGGGTTGTCACCGATCGCTCGGAGTTAAAGTACTCGTAATGGATCGAGTTGGTGTGTCGGCAGACGGCGCGCTGCTGCAGACGCTGCAGCTGGAGTGGACGGGCGCGTGCGGCGCGGCGGCCGACCCGTACGTGTGCGTGCTGTCCACCTGCGGCCGCGCGCTCGTGCTCGCGCTGCGCGAGTTCCGCGCCAAGGACGGCATGGTGCGTACCTCACCGTCTACCACGGACTTACTGCTCTAGCTGCCAGTTTCAAGTGCGAATATTAAACGAGCTATTTAGTTTGTGGCTGGCTGGCTTCTATTCAGTAGTGATATTTTTGCTGTTATTCGTGTACTGTTTCCTTTTACATTACTCGTACAGAAATGATAAGCAAACTAGTAAAAACAAAAATTGTATTTAATTGGAAGTACATAGAGTAATTAAGATCCAGTTCGAGGGACTGTTTGTACAAATGAATGTTTCATGATAAGTGCTTGAGCTATTAGGCATTCATGTAACCGAATATGGGATATAGCAACGAAGATTCGTCACGAGGTGCCCATTGGTCCTTCGAGCCGGATCAATATCGTCATTTACATACTACTGCAAAATTATTTATTACTGGAGTAAATTTATTAATGTATATCCTAATTAAGATGTAAACTGTGGGCAGACGGCGCGGCTGGCGCCGACGCGGCAGGGCGTGTCGGCGCGGCCGCCGCTGGTGCGCGCGGCGCCCTACCGCGACCTCAGCGGCCTCTTCACCGCCGGCCTCGCCGCGCCGCAGGTACACTGGCTCCAGCACTGGCACCAGCTGGCGCTAGCACTTTTTTTAAACGGGTGAAAATGGAATGGCAAACCCGCCTGCGCTATCGGTATACGCTGGCGGGGCACCAGTGATAGATGATAGGTGAGGATGAAAGCAAGTCAGTTGGCCTATCGTGGAAAATTCAACAAGAATTAACTACGATGGTTTCCAGGGGGAACCATGTGGTTAATATCCAGTGGAGGTCGACCTGATAGGGTATATTTCTAGTAATGGGACTTTAGAATCCATTACTAACAATCCTTTCCCCTTAGCGCTAGCACTATCACCAGCACGTAGGTACACGGGGACGAGTGATTACGGGAGCCTGTGTGGAGACAACTGAAGGAACTAAGAAACATGACAAAACAAGAACATGCAACATTATAAAATAAATTTATACATTTTCTTGTTTCAGGAGTACCACTGCTATATTTGTTATTTAATAGATATTATAAATCCTTAAATTTTAACACACAATTTACGCAATGCATTTATTTCACTTGGGATGTAAAATACGCTCAAGACATGGCTTTTTTTTTATTAAAATCAGTTCAGTAGATAGATAGAAATAACAATACAAACATACACATAATACAGACATACAGAGTAAAAGAGATAAGAGAATGAAAAACATAAAAAACAACAAAAGAAAAAAACAAAAAGCAAAATATATAAAACAAAAATTTCATTCTTTCATGCGTGTGCCATAGCAACACAAAATGGTCACAACTCAGTTTATTGCTTCGCCCTCAAAAGACAACAACAAAAACACTGACATTCTATGGTGGCCAAGAGCCAGACGCTTGAAATTCCTTAATCAAAATAAAAAAAAAAGAAATATGAATAAAATACATTGTATGTGTCCATTACATTTGTCTCCATTTGATATTAACACTTAAATACCTGAAGTTTCAAATTTGATACCGGGGTTATAGATCGCATTGGGCGCCTACAATCGATTTTATTTTAATATTTGACTGTTTAAATGTTACAAATTTTTTTTTTTCAAAATTAATATATAAAAATATCGTTTTGATTTTTTTTTTTACTATTTTTCCCCATTAGTAAACACAGTAAAGGGTACACTTATATATTTTGAAATTTGATTTAAAAAATCAGGCTTTTAAGGGTTAACTAACTGTGAAATAAACTAAAGGAACAAAATTATTCGTCGTTTTTCTACATATGTTCCTTTGGGTATCCTAATAATTTCGATTCCACCCTCTGTACCGTTTTGTAAATATTACAGGTGAAAGGCGAGTTCACTGGAAAGAAAGGCAAGGACGTGAAAGCTGAAGGTTTCAAGCCGGGTGCTGTATACGAGCTCAACGACGAGGACGAGTTACTCTACGGTGGTGATCAGACACCGGCATCTATGGCCAGCGTAAGTAGACACATCATATCAGCCCATAACTGTCCACTTTTCAACATAGGCCTCCCCCATAAGGGGGGTTTTTGCCAGTAGTTGCCTTACTTGACAGGCGGATTGGCAACCGCAGTTAGACTTTTATTGATGCTTTAAGTAAGTAAATTTACATAGTAAAGGGAAATTTAAAATTTTGTTTCACAAAAATAGATTTCACTTATAGCTGGTCACATCAAAAGACCAGTGTGAACAACGCGCGATTACGTAGCGCTGTTAAACAGCTAACTTAAGGCGAGTAGTCCTTGTCACTCAGTACGAGAAATTGCATGTAGGACCTACTCATGCGTAATTGTAAATCCTCAAAATTTAAGATTATCTGTTCCACAAACTATGAAATTAAAAATATGAGAGTGAACAAAGTTAGGTTAAAAAATAAGCCTTATTAGTCCTTACTTAATATTATTAATGTGAAAGTTATTTAGATAGATAGATATATAATTTATTTACGTCACTTACAGCATGTGAAAAAGACTCTATTTTCCGCGCTTAGCCTCTCATTTGGGCCATTGTGCGTATGTCACTTACAGCATACAAATAACTGGTACATACTCAAAAAGAAATAAAACAAAACTTATACAAAAAAAAAAAAAACAAAAATTAAGTACATAAAAGAGGTTATACAATTTCTCGTAAATTCTTTTTTTTTAATACGTGAAAATGGTATGGTAACCCCGCCTGCGCTAACGGGATACGCTGGCGGAGCACCAGTGAAGGGTGATAGATGAGAATGAAAACAGGCCAGTTAACCCATCATGATGAATTCACCAGGAATTAACCATGATAGTTTCTAGGAGGTACCTCGAGGAGGTCGACCTGGTTGGGTATATTGCTAGCAATGGGATTCTCAGTCTCTATTACTGACAATCCCTTTCCCTCCAATTTCTCGTGAGTGCGCCACAGTAATACAAAATAGTCACAACTCAGTTTATTGCTTTGCTCTCAAAAGAGCAAAACATTGATATTCTGTTGTGGCCAAAAACTAAAAGCCAGCCGCGAAAGGACAATATATATATTCATATATATATATATATATATATATATATATATATATATATATATATATATATATATATATATATATATATATATATATATATATATATATATATTCTTTATTACACTTGCAATGTTAATGCATTTATAAATATTGCAAGGCAATCTCTGACAGAGATCTCTTCCAAACCCAATGCAGTCAACGGTTAACATTAATTCAATAATGTATGCGTCATGCCATCAATTTCCAGCGATTTTTCGTTATATTTTAAATCAGACCGGATTTGAACCTCAGACGAACAAGACGCTTTACTAATTTTTATAATAAAGACTCGTGATAATTAAAATACTTTTTTTTTTTTTAAAAGTCTCATCTGACTTACCCCGTATCAGAACCCTCTCGAGCTACCTGCATCAATAAAATAATGCTATATATAAATGTTTCAGATAATGTTAGCGGAACAGTCAAAGAATCCGGGCGTGCCCCGCCGCATCTCGCGCTGGTGGAAGAAGTACCTCACCGAGCCCAAGCCTACGTATTGGCTGTTTGTGGTGAGAAACAACGGCAACCTGGAGATCTACTCGTTGCCCGAGATGCGGCTCAGCTTCCTCGTCAGGGACGTCTGCGCCGGGCACAGGGTCAGTATTTTTTAATGGATGATTATGGAATGACATATATATATATATATATATATATATATATATATATATATATATATATATATATATATATATATATATATATATATATATATAGAATATTTGAAATTATATTGAATCTATTTGGACGGGTGGTTGTTTGATTATATATATATAATATATTTTGAAATTAATATATATATATATATTTGAAAATTAAATGAATCTATTTACAAAAAGAAAACTCGGTCTCCTTTCGGAATAAATTATATATATATATATATTTGTATATATCCATCTATATCCCAAGTTCATTGGCGGGGTATGTGCACATTGTCTACCCAGTGAAAATAATATTTAACTTACGTATTTTTCCTTTTCTCAGATACTTGCAGATAGTTTGGAGTCAGTACCAATTATCACCAATCCAGTGGATGAAGAGGAACTAAACACTTTAGCGCCCAACCCTGAGGTGGAAAAGCTCAAAGAACTATTGGTGGTCGGGGTCGGATATAAAGGTACCAGAGTACTGATGCTTATGAGGTTCGATGATGACCAGCTGATGATATATCAGGTATGTGAACTTCACTTAAAAAAAAAACACTCTCCAATTAAAGAAACAAAGAAAAAAATAATAATAAAAACTCTATCTGCTGTAGTTTATTTTTGAACGAAAAGAATTTTGCTATTTCGCGCCAAAAGGAATATTCGATGTTTAAAAATCTTGGATTCTAATTTCGAATTTTGTTAAAAAGTATTTAAAATGAAACTGGTCTGCCCAGGTAGGTAGCGTATTTAATTACTGTCTAAGACTTTTTTTTCAATAAATTTTAAATTTGGAACGAAAGATTTTTAATCTATTTAAAATTTAATGATTTTTAATTAGATGCACTACCATTTGTTTTGTTATATAATTATAATACTGATCTCTCGTGATTAGAATATGTAGGATGTATTCCTTTTTCGAATTTTAAAATAGCTTTTAAAGAACTTAAAAAAAAAGAGGCTGTTCTCGATTCTTGTCACTATTTTTTTTTGTATGTTGCGTAATTTAGAACCGATTTTGATAAATATATTTGCAATAGATAAGTTTTACGCTAGTGTTTGTTTCATATAGTTTTGTGGAGCAAAATCTACTTGTATGAAGGGATGAATGAGCGAACGGTAATTGAAATGCATAAATGTTAACAACGGATTTTTTATATTCAACCATATGACGTGTTAATATTTAATTTGGAACTTGTCATTATAATTTTACATCTAAATAACATCGAGCGAATAAAAATATTATGTAATACCAGTGAGATGGAATAAAATTAAAACCCATAAAAATTTAATACAACGTTAATTTTGACAATATGGATAGCAATATGAATATAATTTGAATCATGAGTATAGTAATAACATTAGTAGACATAATTATTACGTTTGTCACATTATTGCTTCATACAATATCTTCTTAACCCTAGGAGGTATAAAGGGTTTCTGAATTACATTGAACTTGGTACATTACTTGAAAAATAATATATTTATAATATAAAATTTACCTTATTCTCTTATTATATATTCTCTTATACTCTTAGACTTTGTACAAGTCGATTGCTTGGGTACCTCTGTCCCATTCGTGTTTCAACCGTGAAGCAGTTGTGTTTGCATGGCTGTGTTTCGGTTTGTAGGGTGGGGTATGGCGTGAATTTACTGGGTACAGAGGAATAACACTTGATTCCTCAGGAATGGCAACGCATGGGGGGTATCATGGGCGAAACAGTATACTCTGTTATGTGCATGGTACTGTTCATGTCTATAGGCGACGGCTACCACTCTCCATCAGGTGGGCCGTCAGCTTGTTTGCCATTCTAAGTTGTATAAAAAAATAACCCAGCCTGGTCTTGGGAGAATAATATATAGGCATCTACATAGTTTAGTTAAGTAAGTGTATTGTATGCGTTGTGGTGTGTGCAGGCATACAGATATCCTCGCGGCAACCTGAAGATGCGTTTCTCCCGCGTGCCGGTATCGTTCCCGTTCGGCCGCCGCGCCGCGCCGCCCGCCGCCGCCGCCGACGGCCGCGACGCCGCCGTGCTGCGGGACAATGTGCGCCAGCTGCGGTATTTCAGTCAGTATACGTTCATTACACTTTGTGTATATATGTCATCATTATATCAACCGTTAAGTTCTTTTAGTCGCCTCTTACGACACCCACCGGAAAGGAAGGTGCAGCCCGTTCCATTTCGGGACTATACGGCTAAAAAATACATAATTAAATTGAATTTGAAATGTGGGTATATATTTCACAAGGATTAACCACGATGGTTTCCAGGGGGAACCGAGTAAAGGTCGACCTGAATATACTCTACATTACTAGCAATGGCAGTCTCATTGCTAGTATATGTATATATATATTTATATATTTATGGGTAATATATATGTTTACCGCTCATGTCTATAGGCGACGGTTACCATTTTCCATCAGGTGGACCGTCAGCTTGTTTGCCATTCTTAAGTTGTATAAAAAAAAATACTTCGACTGTGTTATCTATCGGTATACGCTGGCGGTGCACCAGTGAAGGGTGACAGGTGAGGAGGATGGCAGGTCAGCCGGTCCATAGTTACCAATTGAACAAGAATTAACCATGATGGTTTCCAGGGGGAATAGCGTGGCGGTCGACCTGATATTGTATGTGTTATTATTGCTAGTGTAATATTGCTAGCAATGGGGTTGTTAAATCTCACTAATAATACAAACACTAATAATACCTCCCCGGGGGAAAAGGGATTGTTAATAATGGAGACTGAGAATCCCATTACTAGCAATATACCCAACCAGGTCGACCTCCTCGCGGTTCCCCCTGGAAACTATCATGGTTAATTCCTGATGAATTCATCATGATGGGCTAACTGGCCTGTTTTCATTCTCATCTATCACCCTTCACTGGTGCTCCGCCAGCGTATCTCGTTAGCGCAGGCGAGGTTACCATACCATTTTCACCCATCAAAAAAAAAATACCTCCCCTCTCTCACCCGGAGTAATATATTTGACCCTATTCAACAAAGAATTTATTATGTTATATGTATATGTGTGTGTGTGTGTGTGTGCGTGTGTGCAGGTAACGTGGGCGGATACAACGGTGTGTTCGTGTGTGGCCTCACGCCGTACCTACTGTTGCTGCCAGCCCGCGGGGAACTCCGCGTGCACCCACTAGCTATCGACGAGGCGCCCGTGCCCACCTTCGCGCCCTTCAACAACACCAACTGCCCGCAAGGGTTCCTGTACTTCAATGCCAAGGTCAGATATTAACAGATTTTTTTTATCCACACACATCCCCCCCCCCCCCCCCCCCCCCTTTTATTAAAATACATATCGTGTTTTAATGGAGATAGCTGTTGTGTCATATCAGCCAGCGTGTGGCGTCCACTGTTGGACAAAAATTTCTTCCAACTGTATAAGTCCTCATATTTCGCCATAATTAGGCATGCAAATATTAAAACTTAAAAAGAATAAATGTTACATAAGTCATTAAAATTCGAAATGTTATATGAAAAAAAAAATACATCAAAAGTGTCAGACACTTGTCAACAATAAAAAAGAAAGAAATGTCACTGTCAAATCGCGGACTATTGATGACAGCTGCATTGTAACACGATAGGTAATTCAAGTAGGTTGTTTACCTTTTTGAATCAAAAACTCTTGCACACTGTAAAAGGACTCCTCAATAAGCCAATGTTTTAATGAATGTTTAAATTTTCTAAATGGCAGTTCTCGTATACTTTTTTGGTATTTTATTATAAATTTTAATTGTCATTGAATAACAATTTTTATGGTACAGTGTGCTTCTACAGGATGGTACTTCCAATTTTGTTGGGGATCCAGTTATCCAAGAATAGCTGGACAAGGCATATTGATTCTTGTGAAGTTAATCGAGATGAAGCCTCCATTGATAGGAGGTCTGCGGCGACCTTTTTTCAACCAACTTCAAAAAGGAGTAGTTTCTCAATTCGGAGATTCAACTATCCTTGCTGTGTGATCCCCGTATAGAATGGGCCACCCCTTGTTTTCCCATGGGTGTTGTAAGAGGCAACTAAGGGAACTGGGGGGATAGGGATTGTTATTAATGGAGACTAAAAATCCCATTGCTAGCAATATACCTAACCAGGTCGACCTCCATGCGGTTCCCCTTGGAAACTATCATGATTAATTCTTCATGATGAATTCATCATGATGGGCTAACTGGCCTGTTTTCATTCTCACCTATCACCGTTCACTGGTGCTCCGCCAGCGTATCCCGTTAGCGCAGGCGGGGTTACCATACCATTTTCATCCAACAAAAACTACTAAGGGAACTAAAAACTAAGGGAACTTAATGGTCGAGAGATTGGCAGCAGTGTTCCTCTTTAAATATTATCAAAGCCTTACTATGGTTGCCAAGGGTGGCTACTACTGACAAAACCCCCCTTATGGGGGGAAGCCTATGTTCATCAGTGGACAGTTAGATATGATGATAAGATTCCTTCATAATGTTGTCTATCATTCTGTATACATTTTTTTATACAACTTAGAATGGCAAACAAGCTGACGGCCCACCTGATGGAAAGTGGTAACCGTCGCCTGTAGACATGAGCAGTACCATGGACATAACAGAGTATATTGTTTCGCCCGTGATACCCCCATACGTTGCCATTCCTGAGGACTCAGGTGTTATTCCTCTGTACCCAGTAAATTCACGCCATATCTCACCCTTCAAACCGAAATATAGCCATGCAAACACAACTGCTTCACGGTTGTTACGGGACGCTACAGATGTGAATTTTCCACCATTTTGCATGATACAGTTGAAAGGCTAATATATAGTGGTATTTTCTATTTATATTGTTAAAACGATCGACACATTCAATGAATACAGTTATTTTGTGACACATTATTATTGGTAGATGGAATACTGAATAGTCGACGGTGTCTAAAAGAGTGTTTACATGCAATCAAGTTCAGAGACGCTGTTAATGATTTATTCAATAATCCAGTTTCAATCTTAGAAAGTAAGCACATATCATCAATTCTACGCTTCGATTCTAAAGAATTCAAAATACTTTATATGTATTACGTAAATATTGTTTTAAATGTCCTCGTAATGTAACGAAGGAAACCAGCTTGTACTGATTTGACCCTATTTATATCGACTTTATATATAGGAGACTAAATTGGTGCACAATGTTCTAAGTTACTTTACCGTGAAGCAGTTGTGTTTGTATGGTTGTGTTTCGGTTTGAAGGGTGAGATATGGCGTGAATTTACTGGGTATAGAGGAATAACACCTGAGTCCTCAGGAATGGCAACGCATGGGGGGCATCATGGGCGAAACAGTATACTCTGTTATGTCCATGGTACTGCTCACGTCTAGGTGACGGTTACCATTTTCCATCAGGTGGGCCGTCAGCTTGTTTGTCATTCTAAGTTAAATAAACAAACTGATGATGATATGATGGCGGTGATGACGATGTTATGATGGCGGGGATGATGATGACGGTGACGGCGCGGACCGCGTTGTGTGCAGTCGGAGCTGCGCATCGCCGCGCTGCCGGCGCACCTGTCGTACGACGCGCCGTGGCCGGTGCGCAAGGTGCCGCTGCGCATGACGCCGCACTTCGTCACCTACCACCTCGAGTCGCGCACCTACTGCCTGGTCGCGTCCGCCGCCGCGCCCGCCGCCGCCTACTACCGCTTCAACGGCGAGGACAAGGAGCGCTCCAGCGAGAACAAGGGCGACAGGTACCAACGAACAAACAGGACGAACGTGCAAATGTGGGCCGAGGCGCAGCCGAGGCACACAATGCCTAGTTGTTGCCAAGGCCTGTATAGTACTTTCCTCAAACAGTGCGCGGAAATCAAAAACACAATTTTACTTTTTAAGTTCAACGACGAATAACGAACAATAATAATTTTTCACGCGCCATAATGTTCATTTGTTTTTTTTTTTTCAATAAACAGCTTTCCATTTGCAAATCAGTTCAAAATTCAAATAAAACCTTTTTTTAGTTACCTGCTTGGTAGCCATGTTTCGAATTAAAAGGTCATTCCATTTTTAAATTATAGGACAGATATAAGTTTACATTGTAATTTATCTGGCCGCAAAACACGACGGATATGGATTTTCATACAACTTTTGCCGGCCGCTGCCCGCATGTATCTGGGCAGTACGGCAATTTTGATTTATCTTGAAGGAGATTGTCAAAATAATGCTCACATTTCCAAGCATGTATGAGAAAATATTTATTAATATTAATAGTATTATTATTAAACTTAAGGGTTCGAAACCTGTGAGCTTGTGTTCGTGAACAATTCTCATGTTCCTATCCACCACCGTCCGTTCCAGGTTCCCGTACCCGATGCAGGAGCGTTTCTGCGTGTCCCTGTTCTCGCCGGTGTCGTGGGAGATCATACCCAACACGCGCATCGAGTTCGACGAGTGGGAACACGTCACCTGTCTCAAGAATGTGTCTCTGTCCTACGAAGGCACCAGGTGAGCGGTTTGCTATACGACCAGGGTAGCGTACGGCCCATCTGATGGTAGCGGATACTGCAACATTAGAGCCTTTATAAGTACGTTGGTAGTATTTTTTACTAGCTTTTACTCGCGACTGCATACGTGTGATCAGGGTAGCAAACGGCCCGCCTGATGGTAGCGGATTCTGCAACATTAGAGCCGTTATAAGTACTATCGTTGGTAGTATTTTTTATTAGCTTTTACCCGCGACAACATACGTGTGTTGATTATATGTTAATCGATTTACGCTATGTCCTTCTTTATCTCCCACAGTGTGTGCATATTAAATTCCATTCTAATTGGTTAAGCCGTTAAGACACTAACAAACTCTTGATGTTGTAATTTACTTAAAAAAAAATTCACAACTAGCTATGTCTCGTGGCTTCACTCGCATAAATCAGTATATAGTACAATACTTTATTCCATTCACTAAATTAGTTTTTTTTTAATGCATTAAAATAGAATGGTAACCCCGCCTGCGCTATCGGGATACGCTGGCGGGCCACCAGGAGAGTGACGATGAAGCAGATCCATTGGCCCATTGTTATGAATTCACCAAAAATTAACCACGACAGTTTCCAGGGGGAACCGCGTGGAGGTCGACCTGTTAGGGTATATTGCTAGTAATGAGACTATTGGAGCCCTACCTGAGCACCAAATTTTTATTCAAATCAGTCAGTAGTTTGTGCATGCAAAAAAAACTTTCGCATTTATTAACCGACTTCAAAAAAGGAGGAGCTTATATGTCGACAGTATATGTTTTTTTATATTAACACTTTGCTGACCGGTGACCAGTTAACTCGTCTTTTCATATCCAAGCGTTGTTGATTAGTGACTCGGAGTAACCTCGTCACTGCACCAGCGTGCAGGTACGTCCCCCTACCACGACGGCTAACACCGTTTGGATTACAAAGCGGTTTTTTTTTGTGGCAAATAAAATGACGGCCCACCTGATGGAAAGTGGTAACCGTCGCCTATAGACATGAGCAGTACCATGCACATAACAGAGTATACTGTTTCGCCCATGATACTCCCCATGCGTTGCCATTGCTGAGGATTCAGGTGTTATTCCTCTGTACCCAGTAAATTCACGCCATATCCCACCCTTCAAACTGAAACACAGCCATGCAAACACAACTGCTTCACGGTAGAAAAACGAATGGGACAGGGGTATCCAAGCAATCGACTTTTGTACAGTCTCCCTCTGGTTTAATTCCAAAGATTTTAACCATGACGCAATTCTCTGTCAGCGAAGTGTTAATATACATAATTGTTTTTGTTACAGGTCCGGTTTGCGCGGATATATTGCAATAGGTACGAATTACAACTACAGCGAGGACATCACGTCAAGGGGACGGGTGAGTGGGACGATATAATGCCATCACCATCATGCCGACTGCTGAACATGGCCTCTTTCATCAGGAAGGTTTGGACAGTAGCTGCCACGCTTGGCAGGCGGGTTGGTAACTGCAGTTAGGCTTTTAAGTGGGACGTTGTTATTCGATCATTGAGTTCCTTCAGTGGGCTCTTAGGACACCCACGGGAAAGGAAGGGGTGGCCCATTCTATCCTGGGACCACACGGCCAAATTTTATAATTTTATATAATATATTAACTTAGATTATATAGATAGAGTATCGTATCTTAAAAACGGGTCAACTTTTTGTCAGCTAATTGTCAATTTAGCTGACTCGTTCTTTTTATCAATGTTCTATATATTTACATACAGAGGAATAACACCTGAGTCCTCAGGAATGGCAACGCATGGGGAGTATCATGGGTGAAACAGTATACTCTGTTGTGTCCATGGTACTGCTCATGTCTATAGGCGACGGCTACCACTTTCCATCAGGTGGGCCGTCAGCTTGTTTGCCATTCTAAGTTGTATTAAAAAAAAAATTAATAGAATTGTCCTGATTTTTTTTTTCTTAAATATCTCCTATGTCTATGTTTGACGATGTCTATGTCTTAAACATCTCTCTTGTATTTAGAGGGCGAGAGATAGGCAGCAGCGTCCCTCCTAAAACATCTCCAAAGACTAACCGCAGTCGCTAATCCATATACCAAGCGTGGCAACTACTGGCAAACCCCTCTAGGGGATATGTTCAGCAGTGGACAGTTAAAAGCTGATATGATGATGAGCTTAGTTTAGTTAAAATTTTATTATATTAGTAAAGATTTTTTTTTTTAACCTGATTTTGGCGCCAAAAGTGATATATTTTTTTTAAATCTGTACAGATAATAATCTACGACATCATCGACGTCGTCCCGGAGCCTGGTCAGCCGCTCACGAAGAACAGGTTCAAGGAACTATACGCCAAAGAGCAGAAAGGACCGGTCACAGCCCTCACTCAGGTGCTGGGCTACCTCATATCCGCTGTCGGGCAAAAGGTGAGGTGCACACAGCCATGTTTTTTTTTATACAACTTAGAATGGCAAACAAGTTGACGGCCCACTTGATGGAAAGTGGTAACCGTCGCCTATAGACATGAGCAGTACCATGGACATAACAGTATACTGTTTCGCCCATGATACCCCCCATGCGTTGCCACTCCTGAGGACTTAGGTGTTATTCCTCTGTACCCTGTAAATTCACGCCATATTCCACCCTTCAAACCGAAACACAGCTATGCAAACACAACTGCTTCACGGTAGAAACACGAATGGGACAGAGATACCCAAGCAAACGACTTTTGTACAAAGTCTCCCTCTGGGTGTTACTTTTAATTTATTTAGGAGAATTCATATTAAATTTACTGATGTGTGGCAATATTGGAGCTGTGTTTAGTAACAATTGAATAAGTCACGTCTATAGGCGACGGTTACCACTTTCCATCAGGTGGGCCGTCAGCTTGTTTGCCATTCTAAGTTGCATAAAAAGAGTTTCTATTTATTTATTTATGTGTTTTTGTACATTCACTTATAGTATAGATATTAGGTTATATCAAAAATGTACACGGTCGTTAACAGCCTGTTCGAACATCAACACCATGCTTCATATTTGTCAAGTAATGGCCTCGCAAATTCCCCCACAGATCTACATCTGGCAGCTGAAGGACAACGACCTGGTGGGCGTGGCGTTCATAGACACGCAAATATACGTGCACAGGATGCTGGCAGTGAAGAACCTCATCCTGGTGGCGGACGTGTACAAATCCATATCGCTGCTCCGCTACCAGGCGCAGCACAGGACCCTCTCGCTCGTCTCCAGGGACTTCAGGAGTGCACAGGTGAAGATATCAAATTAGCAAACGTCATAAACGGTGGACTTTTTTTTAATGGGTGATAATGGAACGGTAACCCCGCTTGCGCTATCGGTATACACTGGGTGATAATGGAATGGTAACCCCGCCAGCGCTATCGCTATAGCGGGGCACCAGTAAGAAATGATAGGTGACGATGGAAGCAGGTCAGTTAGTACATCGTGTCTAGTCCACCAGAATTAACCGATGATTTCCAGGGGGAACTGTGTGGAGGACTGGAGGTACCTGATAGGGTGTATTGCTACAAATGAGTCAGCTAGACCCCATTAACCATACCTTTTCCCCCACGAACGGTGAACGGTACCAGGGCCGCCCCTATCTTTCCCATGGGTGTCGTAAGAGGCGACTATGGGAGGGCGAGGGATGGGCAGCAGCGTCTCTCTTAAAACATCTCTAAAGGCCTAACTGCGGTTGCCAACTCGCCTGCCAAGTGGCAACTACTGGCAAAACTATTATGGGGAAGGCTGATGTCCAGCAGTGGACAGTTAACGGCTGAATAATAATAAATCCGAAAAGTTTATTTTACTAACCAGACCGGCGGGCAGAAACCAGGTCCGTAGCTGGGAAGTAATTTGGCTAGTTAAATTACGACTGACTGATTTAGAGTTTGTATTTTTTTTTTATACAACTTAGAATGGCAAACAAGCTGACGGCCCACCTGATGGAAAGTGGTAACCGTCGCCTATAGACATGAGCAGTACCATGGACATAACAGAGTATACTGTCTCGCCCATGATACCCCCCATGCGTTGCCATTCCTTAGGATTCAGGTGTTATTCCTCTGTACCCAGTAAATTGACGCCATATCCCATCTTTCAAACCGAAACACAGCCATGCAAACACAACTGCTTCACGGTAGAAACACGAATGGGACTTGTAACAGTACGAAGTAGCGGGCAAAAGGCTAGTTTCGAATAAAAAAATAGGCGGAGTCTTGTGTTGGTGTTTTTTTTTTTAATTTCCGTTTTTTTTTATACAGATATATTTAAAATTATGTAAATTTTGTATCTAGATCTACGACATGGAGTTCATGGTGGACAACACGAGTCTCGGGTTCCTTGTGAGCGAGGCGGACGGTAACTTCGCCTTGTTCATGTACCAGCCGCAGGCCCGGGAGAGCTATGGCGGTGAGAATGGCACTTGCCTTATTGATCAAGTTCTAATTGGATTCTAGATTTTTTTTTATACCACTGAGTTGGCAAACAAGCATACGGCCCACCTGATGGTAAGTGAGTAAGTCAATGTGTTGAAATTGTTATATAACAATTGGCTGATCTGCCGAGGGTTTCCCTATATCTCTAGAGAGTTCTTTAAAAATGGTATACCTATTTATTTATTTATGTACACTTTATTGCACCATTTATAAAATAGTAAACAAATTTAACTGTAATAAGAAATGATACAAAAGGCGGCCTTATCGCTAAGCAATCTCTTCCAGACAATCTTTGGGTAGAGAACATTGAGAAAAGAAAGAAAAATAAAACTAAGTTGTATAAAAAAAAGACGGGATAGCTCGGACGAAGTAGTTAAGCTAAGCTAGTTGTCGCTTACAGGCCAACGTCTGATCCGCAAGTGCGACTACCACCTCGGGCAGCAGGTCAACGCCATGTTCCGCATCGCAGCGCGGCAGCCGTCCCCCACGACGCTGCCGAGGCGGCATGTCACCATGTTCGGTTGGTATCCACTTATTTTATCATCATCATTACAACAGATGTTATCCGTCTTTCCGTCCGTCTGTCCTTCATCAAAGACCGCCATAAGGAATGGTTCTGAGCCACATGGAGCCATGAATTCCCTGCAATACATTTAAGAGGGGGGGGGGAAGGGATTGTTAGTAATAGGGTCTAATAGCTCCGTTGCTAGCAATTGACCCTCTCATCTTCCACTGGTGCCACGCCAGTGTATACCGATAGCGCGGGCGGGGTTACCATTACATTTTCACCCATAAAAATATACATTTAAGGTCGTCACTGCATCTAGTGGGAGAAGAGGGAGTTGCCCTTAACATTGGAATGGTAGCCCTGCTTTTTTTTAATGGATGATAATGGAATGGTAACTCCGCCTGCGCTATCGGTATACACTGGTGAGGTATCAGTGAGGGATGATAGGTGAGGATGGAGGCAGGTCAGTTAATCCATCGCAACGTATTTGACGAAAATTAATCACGATGGTTTTCAGGGGGAAACGCTTGGAGATCGACCTGACAGGGTTATATTGCTAGCAATGGGGTTTAACATTCTAATTGCTAACAATCCTCCCCGTAGTAGCCCCGTTAGTGCTATCGGTATACGTCGTCATGTAGCAATCTATTTCTATGTTCAGCATTGGGCAGGGAATGTTTGAAACGCCGATACTAATTGCATACTCGCTAGATAGATACTCTTTATTGTTTCCTCCAAAAGATTACAATAGTAAACTTATTATAAATATAAATTAACTACCGGTCCGTCCCGGCGTCGCGCGTGTGGACATTTTTACACTTTAAAAAGTGGCCATTAAGGCTGCACACGCGACGGAAGCTTAAAAATGGAGTAACTTCTCCCGTTTTCCCAACATTTCCCTTCACTGCTCTGCTCCTATTGATCGTAGCGTGATGAAAAGTATACTATAACCTGCCCAGGAGTATGAAGAATAAATTGTATCAAGTTTCGTTAAAATCCGTCGAGTAGTTTTTGTTTCTATAACGAACATACAGATAGACAGACAAAAATTTTACTGATTGCATTTTTGGCATCAGTATCGATCACTAATCACCCGCTGATAGTTATTTTGGAAATATATTTCATGTACAGAATTGACCTCTCTACAGATTTATTATAAGTACAGATTACAAGAAATAATCACAATGAGAAAACAATGCGCGACCTTATCGCTAAGAGCGATCTCTTCCAAGCAACTTTTGGAGTAATATATAATAGTAGTTATGTCCAGTGTGTACGCTTACAATGTGTGTATGATCCGGCAGCGACGCTGGACGGCGGGCTGGGGTACGTGGTGCCGCTGAGCGAGAAGACATACCGGCGGCTGCTCATGCTGCAGAACGTCATCAACAACTACGCGTGCCACATAGCCGGTCTCAACCCGCGCGCCTTCAGGTATGTCCACATTTTTTTTAATGGATGATAATGGAATGGCAGCCCCGCCTGCGCTATCGGTGTACGCTGGCGGGGCACCAGAGAAGGATGATAGGTGAGGATGAAGTAGGTCAGTTAGCCCATCGTGATGAATACATCTGGATATCAGCATGATGGTTTCCAGGAAGGACCACGTGGAGGTCGACCTGACAGGGTATATTGCTAGCAATGGGACTGGTAGTCTGCATTACTAACAATCGAGACATGTGCACTGAGTGGAATAAAAAATACTTTTTCCATCTCCTACCAGAGTGAGACTTTGTATAAAAGTACATTTGCTTGGGTACCTCTGTCCCATTCGTGTTTCAACCGTGAAACAACTGTTGGTCTTATCGCTAGGGCAATCTCTTACAGACAACTTTTGATTAAAGGAGAACAGATAGAAGTGGGCAGGTGGCGCAAAAGTGAATTAATATTTATTTATTTATTATTATTTATTTTTTATATTAATATATCGTCATAGTGGTAGAATACTGACGGATCTTTATATGTAAACTTTGTCAGATCCGTCAGTATTCTACGACTGTGACGATATTATGTATTACAGATTCACGCAGGCACAGGTGCGAGATGTGGCTAGTTTATAATAATAATTATTGTTAGAATAATTAAATTAATTATATTCGCCCAGGACATACAAGCCGCTGCGTCGTGGCAGCGGGGCGGCCGCGCGGGGAATATTGGACGGCGACTTGGTAGCACTCTTCCCCTCGATGCCCAACGCTGAGAAACAAGACGTCAGTATTAGACTATCTTTTATTAATGTTTTAGATTGTAATCCCTTGTAGACTAATCGTGTACGTGGCTCAGAACCGTTCCTTAGTCTATGGCCTCCTTTAGTAGTCTATGGCTTACGTTCAGCACTAAGAACAAGGAATTACATAGAAGGAATGATAAAATAAAAACTTTAAACCATATGATTGCCTCTTTTCTTTTTATGCAAATATAATTAGTAAAAAGAAGACGAAAGATATACAATCAGTTGCTATTTTTCTCAATTCATAGCAGGTGTGCATAGAAAATGTTTCACATGTCAATTATTTGAGAATGACAAATTTTATATTACTAGATTATATATTCGACACAGTTTATGTACAAAGTATGTAAGCAGGTTGTATCTGAATTTGGTAGGGTTATACGGCAGTATAACATTTTCTATACACTAGCTCTTTGCTATGAATTGACAATTTTATCACTCCTTCTATGTAATACCTTGTTCTTAGGTACAGCAGTAATACAATTGATTTGCGGAAAGCAACACCACCATTGCACCAAAAAAGTCGTCAGCTGTGTTATCGACATTTAAAATGATAAAGAAATATAAGAAATTAGAATTACATAAATACATACATATCTGTCACACCTGTCTCCCATTAGGGTAGGCAGAATCAATGGAACGCCAAATGCATCGATTCAAACAAACCTCTTTCGCTTCTTCCACATTCATCAATCTTTTCATACACGCTCACTGGTTACAGGTACTTCTAATTTAGTCCTTCACCAGCACGTCGCCTATTTGATCAACATACATAAATTAGAATTATTATTCATTATATCAGTCATTGGCTCTCGTGTCGGTCCCAGCATAGAATGAGTCACCCATTTCTTTCCCGTGGATGTCGTAAGAGGCGACTAAGGCAACTTAAGGTCGAGGGATGGGCAGCAGCGTTCCTCTTAAAACATTCCCAAAGGTTTAACTGCGGTTGCCAATCCACCTGCCAAGCGTGGCAGCTACTGGCAAAACTCCCCTTATGGGGAAGGCTTATGTCCAGCAGTGGACAGTTATAGGTTTAAATGATGGTGAAGATGATATCAGTCGTTATCTGTCCACTGCTGAATACAGGCTTCCCCATAGACTGCCATAAGGAACATTCCCGAGCCACCTGCATCTACTAACTCCCTGCAGGGCATTTGAGGTCATCACTGCATTTAGTGGTGGTGAGGTCTTACAGTCTGACAAACAAACACTGCGTTTGCCTGTCCCTTTCTTCCCCATCAGTTGTCGATTCTTTGAATTATGTGACCAGCCTATTGCTACTTCAGATTTCTTGTTTACTCTTTAACATTATTATTTAAGCCTATGAATTAAAATTGTTTACTTAATTGTTTGAGCCGTGGTGTCCACTAGTCTGATAGTTATGTTTCTTTCTTTCTTAATTGAGAGGCAAAAGTTAGACATTCCCGCAAGTTACCTCCATGTTTCATTTGTCTGCTAGTGAACTGTCATATCTGTCTGTTTACTGTATATTAATCTTTTTTTTTTTATTGTACGGATAGTCTGGTAATATTGTTTTGTTGTTGCCCTATTCCCTTTGGCCGCAACAGAATATCAGTGCTTTGCTCTTTTGAGAGCGAAGCAATAAACTGAGTTGTGGCCATTTTGTATTGCTATGGCACACGCACAAACGAAAGTTGTATTTGGCTTTGTGTATTTTTTTTTGTCATTTATGTTATCTCGCTTTTCTTTTTGTGTATGTATGTTGTAAATTGTGTGCTGTAAGTAATGCAAATAAATTATCTATCTATCTATCTTTCAGATCGCAAAGAAAATTGGCACAAAAGTTGAGGAGATCATGGCGGATCTGTACGAGATTGACAGAATGACGGCGCATTTCTGAATAGTAATAGACTGACGGCCAATTTCTGAATTAATAGCAGAACTATTTGGAATAATTTTGTAAATATAACATTTAAGTGATCAAGTATTATAATTTTTCCTTATGCGTTGTTTATGTTTTGCCCAAAACTTACCTCTTTTTACCATTCCTAAGAGAGTTGAATAAATGAATGAATGAATGAAATGAGTGAGCGATTATTTTTGTTTATTTAAGGGTTTGTAACACCATCATCTGCCTACCCTTATCCCAATCATTTGTGGTCGGCGTAATAGGATTTTATCCATATTACAAAAAGATTTGGTTTTTAGTTTTACGACCGGCCACCTGCCTGACGTCAACTCTTTTTGGGAATGCATTTGTTGGTGGTTTTCGCCACCTACGGTATGGGGGAAAGGATTGAGGAAAAAAGGAAGGGAGCGTTGGAAATGCGTAAAGGAAATTGGTGAATGAGAGGAATAAGGGAATTATGTGGGAAAGGAAAGGGGGGGGGGGACACACTGCAGCGGCTCGGAAGGCCGGGGTCGCATACCCGTATAACCTTATTCTAGAATCAGACAGATTTCTAGAGAAGAACACCCCTGACGTTTAGCCTGACTAAAGGGTTTGTATATTAGGAGTTAAAACGGAACCCTTCAGGATCAACTCTGTTGTCCACGTGGTTGTCTGTTTATATGTCAAAATTCTTTTATTTTCAAGAACACGTGAAGGTATCACACGGAAATTAATATCAAAAGGTCCGAATAATTAAGTCAAGTAAAATTAGTTATTGGTAGGTGAATTGTTAACGAATCGATCTGTAATTGAATCGACCCCATTATATACACATAGAATTATTTTATCTATGAAATAGAGCGATTCTACAAATTTCAATTTAAATATATTTAACTCAAGTCCTTTGGCCGTTGAGCAAATGACATTTTGATATTTGTATATTATAGATGAAGAACTGTCCTTCATCTGTGATACTTGCATTTTGTTTTCCCTCTATTTCATAAATGATTATCAGTATCAATTATGTCAATCATTCAATGAATGACTTATGAATGAGATGAAAATGATTGATCGATAAAACAATAAAACAAAATATAAATGTCTTTTTATATGGGAGACATATTTGTTTTGTTGTTGGTATTGTTAGTTTTTTTTTTTTAATAGGTGAAAATGCCATGGAAACCTCGGCTGTGCTATCGGTATACACTGACGGGGTACCAGTGAAAGGTGATAGGTGAGATTGAAAAGGCAGGTCAGTTAGGCCATCGTGATGAATTCAACGACAGATTAGTCACGATAGTTTTCAGGGGTAACCGCGTGGAGGTCGACCTGATAGGGTATATTGATAGCAATGGGGACTAATCTCCCTATTACTAATAATCCCTTTCACCCCAGTATTGTTAGTTAGTATTGAATTTCTTTTCGCGTAATAACAAAGTATAATTGCTACACTGTAAGAGCTCGGCTACAATGACCAGAACTACGACGAGAAGGGAGATGATTTATGGTTTGTTTTGAGCATTACCTGTAGTTTTTTTTATATGGATGATAATGGAATGGTAACCCCGCCTGCGCTAACGGTATACGCTGGCGGAGCACCAGTGAGGGATGATAGATGAGAATGAAAAGGCAGGTCTGTTTGTCCATCGTGATGAATACACTTGGAATTCAACACGATGGTTTCCAGGGGGGACCACGTGGAGGTCGACCTGACAGGGTGTTGTTGATGATGTTAGCATTACTACCAATCCCTTCCCCCATTACCAGTGGTTTTGGGTAATAGGATTTCTTTTGTGTGTACACGTGCTGTCAAATTTTAGATTTTTTGCAGACTATATGGGACCAGGAAAAGTCGAGTACTCAGGAAGATTTGAAACAAAATATACATAGGCTTGTGCGCCAAGAATAAGATCCAATGCTCCTTCCATCATTCTGTTAAATTGGACATCTACATCAAGAAAGAGGCACAAACAGACATACAGAAGATGATGATGACATTTTTTTTTATACAACTTAGAGTGGCAAACAAGCTGACGGCCCACCTGATGGAAAGTGGTAACCGTCGCCTATAGACATGAGCAGTACCATGGACATGACAGAGTATACTGTTTTCCATGCGTTGCCATTTCTGAGGACTCAGGTGTTATTCCCCCGTATCCAGTAAATTCATTGCCCTATCCCATCCTTCAAACCGAAACATAGCCATGCAAACACAACTGCTTTATGGTTGAAACACAAATGGGACAGAGGTACCCAAGCAATCGAATTTTGTACAAAGTCTCCCTCTGGTAATACTTCTAATGTTATCACTTAAGGTGTTACGAGTATATTTATATATGTTTGACACATTGTCATATATGATTCACTCTTTTATATCAACAACAAAACTAGCTAACAATTGCTATTCGAAAATAAAATCTGTTGCTTGGCATTTAGGTGCCTATTACATTGTCATAGTTTATTCTCTCTATTATTATTAACAATCTCACAGTCAGGACTTTTTACCTCTCACGGTATTATGTATAGAAAACTGGGCAGGTACTGAAGGAAAGAGACAGCGGTGTTTGTTGCCTTTACTCTTTTTAATTTTATCACGTGTATTTGAACTAACAATTGTGTTTAAATAGTAATTGTGTTTGCTAGAAAGAGACAAAACACTTAAACAAATGTGTGTTGTTTTTGTAAGATAATGGGGTTTGTAGTCAGTTAGTGTCTGTGATGGTTTCTGTTGTGACCCAGTGGCGGTGTTGAGTTTTTAAAATAAGGTATGTCTTTTAATTTTCGCATATTGACTGTTAAATGAATAATAATACATAGTAAGCTAGCCTACATGTAACAGAGTAAGTGCACCAGAAATAAATAACAGAAATATCCACCTATAGGTGTTATCTCATGTTTTTCCAAACTTTACACAGTTAAAACAGTCTTGTACTTATGTGTTTTTATTTAATTTTATTTTTATATTATATTGGATATATTAAATTACATGTAGTTAGTAACTCTGCAGAATGAGTCCCTGGTGAGCTGTAATACAGGTATTCTTATACCTATCTCAGGCACCAGTCTCTCACAATTATATTTATAATTTGAATACTATCTTATAAACATGTCTCGAAACGAATTGTGAAGAGAAAATAAATCTATTATTATTATTGATCATAATTTATTTATTTATTTATTTATAGGATTACTAACATAAGATACAGCTAAACATTTCAATACAATACACTGGCAGATTAGATCTAACTGTTCTTACATTTATAGGTGACCACAGCGTGCCTCGTGTTTGATAAACATTAAAATAGAATTAAATTATTAAATGTAAAAGTGAGTTTGTTTTTTTTTATTATCTGACTCGCTTGAATGAAAAGTACAGAGTACAGATCCAGTCTGGTTTTGGTAGTTAGAACTTAGAAAGTAATATATAAGTTATGTTAGTTATAATATATACAATTTTATATGATATATATATTTAAGCAAACAATGAAATCTTTACACTTTATAGTATAGATAAGTATAGTAGGAATGTAACTGTTATCTGAAGGCATGAATATTCCACGCTTCCCCTCATGCAATGCTATTTTAAGGTGTTATGCTTCCATACTTTGTAATTTCAGCGCCATATCCCGCCTTACTTCTTGGTACATATTTAAATACTGTATATATTACGATCGAATAGAGCATTTGCTTAAGAAGGAAAACTTCTTAATATTTTTGTATTCAATTTTTTTTTAATACCACTGAGGTGGCAAACAAGCATACGGCCCACCTGATGGTAAGCGGTTATCGTAGCCGATGAACGCCTGCAATACCAGGGACATTACACGCGATTGATTTAGACTTGTATGTAATTTTATGACATTTGTTGCAAATGATTGTCTTATCAATTGACTTTGTCAATAGTTATCACGCTTGGCAAGCGGTTTGGCAAACACAGTTAGGCTTTGTTTGTTAGCTATTAAAGTAGGACGCCGCTGCTCATTCCTCGTCCATTAAGTTCTTTTAGTCGCCTTTTAGGACACCCACGGGGAAGGAAGGGGTGGCCCAGTCTATGTCGGGATTACACGAAGACATAATAGCATATTATATATGTTTGTATATATATTTATAAACGTGCCAATCTTCTTTATTGCTATAGTCAAACTTTTTACTGTAGAACTGACTTTTTGCCCGCTACTTTATACTGTATACCAAATTTTATAGTAATTAGTTAAACTGCAATGGCGCTAAAAGATAATAAATAAAAACATATTTTCATATTCATAATACTAATAATATATATATATATATATATATATATATATATATATATATATATATATATATATATATATATATATATATATATATATATATATATATATATATAGTAATTGTATTTGACATATATTTATGTTATTTAAGTATGTTTATTTTCAAAAAATAATATTGGATACTTTTAACATATTTTTAAATATTATATTTATAAAATATAATATTTATATATATATATATATATATATATATATATATATATATATATATATATATATATATATATATATATATATATATATATATATATATATATATATATATATATATATATACTTTGTAACGCAGACAACGAACTATGATGTAATTCATTAGATAGTTAACAAACAATACTTAATTTGTATCAATAATTATTAAAACTCGATATGTACTATTAGGTCGTTGAAAAATTATTACATTAATAGCTTTCTTAATCACATATTGATTACTAATGGTACTTTGTTATTACCAAACATGTATACGTATTCAGTCTCTACGTTATGGTATTAGCAACAGTATTATAATGTTATTAAATAAAAAAATTTAAATTTCAACGTGTGCCCACAATGTGATACCTTCGCTAGTTGTGAACTGATTAGCCACTCGTTTCAGCTTCGGATGGATGCAAATTGTGCTTATAAAAATATATTATCTGTCTATAAACCTTCCATTAATAAGATTGTTTCACAAAAAAGAAGACTTCCTTTGAACTCGTTTTGATAAAGTCTCTTTGGAATAAATCTGTAAGTATGTCTTTTGTGATAAAAAAAGAAATTTCCAGATCGATTCATAAGGGATGAAGTTATGAGGTAAAAAACAAGAACAAAATACAATCTATTTGAAAAATTCATTTTTTTTTAAGTTACTTGAATAATTACTAAATGATAGGGAGAGCTGTGACAAATGTGTAGTTTAGAAGAAGCGGAAAACAGACAGACGCGGGCAGCGACTATCTTTTATACTAAGCTCCTACATAGTAAGATATTTTTAAGAAAACTTATCGATCGATTCCATGTGAGAGGTGATACCAGAGAGAAAATATGTACAAAAGTCGTTTGCTTGAGCACCTCTGTCCCCTTCGTGTTTCTATCGTAAAGCAGTTATGTTTGTATAGCTGTGTTTCGGTTTGAAGGGTGAGATATGGCAGTGAATTTACAGGGTATAGGGGAATAACACCTGTATCCTCAGGAATAGCAACACATGGGGGATATAATGGGTGAAACATTATGCTCTGTTATGTCCATGGTACTGCTCATGTCTATAAACGACGGTTACTACTTTCCATCAGATGAGCCGTCATCTTGTTTGCCATTCTAAGTTGCATAAAAAAATGTGAGCCCCGTACTAATTTATCACGTTTATATTCGATGTATCAAATATAAAACTTATGTTATTCGCTGACAATTTAGCTATAGATTAATTTTTTTAAAATCGGTTGAGTGGTTTTTAGTTTATCCATTACAATCAATTAATTTTTCTTCATTAACAGTATTAGTAGTAGATTTAAGGCCTATATGACATGTGATACTAGCATCACCCGTACTATCTGTAGCGATTTTACATAGTAATCGCAAGGTTTAGTTTGATTTGATGCAGTTTTGCGTTTAATTTTTTCGTCGTACCAAAACTACGGGATTTGATGATCCTACCGATGATGATTATCAGCTGACGGAGAGGTGAAGCGAGGAGTTTTTAAGAATGGGAAGTGAGCATCGAGCTTCTGAAAACTAACTTGAAGGCTTTGACTGCATGTGAAATTTGTAGGTATATTATGCAGATCGATTGCCATGTGGTCCCGGCATAAAATGGTCCACCCCTTCCTTTCCCGTGGGTGTCGTAAGAGACGACTAAGGGAACTTAATCGAGGGATGGGCAGCAACACTCCTCTTAAAATAGCACCAAAGCCTAACTGCGGTTGCTAACTCATCTGCCAAGCGTGGCAACTACTGGTAAACCCTCCTAATTGGGGGCGGTCAATGATATAATAATATATGGATCCAAGTGACCAGTTAAGGCATCGACCTTCCAAACTGCCAAATTTAGTTGCCAACTGCTGGTACTGAAAGTACCGTGTATGCCATTAGCCCTAAACCCTTTCTAAATTCGAGTAATATAATCATAATCATTGTTTAACGTAAACGTTTTTCTCATTTCAGTTAATGAACAAATCAACGACAAAGAGTGGATTGCAGCAGTATATGTAGAATAACCCCTGCATGGAACGGAACATTAGACGTTAGTAGTCATAGCACAAAGTAGTAATGCAAAATGGCGCAAAACGCAGCATCCTCTAGCATCAACGGCAAAAATGAGTTTACAAAACTCATAAAGTTCCTAGCATATAAAGGGGTACAAGTTATTGTAGAGTCCCGAAAGGGGGTTAAATTAGAGCCAAATAGCAAACCTATATCATCAGACTCTGGTTGGTTCAATCTACAAATACCGGATTCCCCGGAAGTTAATCAAGCCACAAAAAATGCCTTGCCTTCAGATCAGGTCTTAGAGACTATTCAGTCGCGGTTGCATGTTGAAATATCAGTACAAACTGAAGATGGTGATGAAATAGTGCTAGAGTTGTGGACTTTCCATTTGGATGAGGCAGATTTTGATATGTCATTAAAAGCCATAAACGCAATATACATAAGAATGGGCATACTTCTGAAGTCTCTTATCACCATCACGCGAATGTCTCCTGTATACCATTTGTCAAGGGTACAAAGGTCCGAACCTTTCACCATTTTCTACAGAGTGTACAACGGCAAATCGAATGTTAAAGCTTTAGGGACATCGGTAAAGAAAATGCAAACTGCCATGCTCAAAACACCTTTAGGTGGTATTTATTTCAAAGTCGAATACATAGCTAACTTCTCTATCATACCAAACAAGTGTCAATACACTGGTACTCTGTTGCTAAAGAGTGACCATTTTGAACTTAGCGCAAAGAACATATTATTGGAGTCGAACAAGAAAAAGGAGTACAAGGGTAAAGAGAAAAAGCCTGCCAGACCAATTGACCTGAATAAGCCCCTACGCCATGCGGCGTTCGTCGACGAAATTCTGCTCGAGAGAACTGTCAAGGATTTTCTTACCAGAATATCCGTTCCGAACCGCCGTCCACAACTTCGACGTAAAAGTCCGCCCAAAGAAGAAGCCGTCGAATCGAAGAGCACTCAAGATTTAGACATAGCTGTCGTCTCAAATAGTCCAACGTCTTTGGAAATGCCACCAAAGAAGTTCTCGGGCATTCGTGGTGAGAATGAGCCGCCTTTAAAACTCTTATGTATTCCCTTCGCTGATAATCACCCTATCAGGGAATTGGCTGAGTTCTACAAAGACATTTTTAATGCTCCACATTTGAAGCTCGCCGATGACTTGATTCGTTCCAAGTCAAAAAGCGCAGAATCGATAGAAAAAGAATTAGAGGAGGCTAACGAAGATCTAGCCGAGGATTTAAAGATATATGAAAATTCGGCTATTGAATTTGACAAGCTAGTAGCAGACATGTGCCAATCGGCCGAGTGCATTCAACTCGACTGATTGGCACATGTCTGAACTGAACTGAAGGAAGCTTAGAAGAGAAGACTGTTTTAAGACTGATGTACAGTATGGAATGACTGGTTTTTATTTTAAATTATTATCATTGATTATTTTTCTCTTTTTTAAAGACTATTTGACTTCTATTTTTACTGAATATGGTAAATAATAAAAAAAAAAAATTTTTGTAATACAAATATGTTCAATAGTTAATACGTATTAAAAAAAATTGACTTTCGTATATTTATTCTTATTTTGTATATGTATTTGTAAATAGTGTAATTTATAAGGCAAACAATTTTTTAATGGGTGATAATGGAATGGTAACCCCACCCGCGCTATCGCTATACACCGGTGGGGCACCAGTGAAGGATGATAGGTGAGAATGAAGCAGATCAGTTAGCTCATCATGACGAATTCAATAAGAATTGTTCACGATGGTTTCCAGCGGGAACCACGTGCGTAATTTCTGTATGAGCAAGTTAAAAGTTTTTCTAATAAGTTGCTCTGTCACGAAACGTCGATTCCGATAAAGAAATATACGATAGACTTATCGAATTTTAGTAGAGAACAGAATTACGTAAGAAACGCGCTATAAAGGACTATAAAAAGAAGAATAAAAAAAATATTTTGTGTTACTGCGACACGCATGAAAAAAAAATGTTACTAATTTTATGCATTCTGATATTGATTTTGTTTTTTTTTTTAATTTTATGTACATGTATCTATTTTTTATCTTTTTTCACTTTGCATTTGTGTCTTTTGCTGTTTGTGTGCTGTAAGTGATGCAAATAAATTATTTATCTATGCATATAATATTTTTTTTCTTTCTAATTTTTAGGTCCGTTAGTAAAAGAAGTTGTTTAAATTTTGTTTTTATTAATAAATCTCTATTTGACTTTTAATTGTATGTCGTTGGAAAAATGTAATCGGAATACGACGACAAAAGGACATATGAAAAATCTTAAATTTTAAAGATCAATGTAGTAGATATAAAAAAAAATGTTCAAACATTATTTACATAATCATGTTAACTGAAGGATTTTTTTTGTTTTGTAAATATTATACAAGTGTATATTGGGTTTTTGACATTTTGACAGAAGGAATTTATGTATATTTGTGTATAATTGTGATTCAATTATAAATTCCTTCTGTTATGCTGTATGTACCAGTTTATTATATTCTAGATATAAGATTAGATATGTAAATGTTCCTTTACCTATATAATTAAGATTTGGCTATACATATTTAGCTCGTGAAGAAGGCTATGTATAGTGTCTTTGTCTTAATCAAATATTTTAAAAGCAAACTCAGTTTTCAAATTGCTATAGTTTGGCACTATTTTTAAAAGGTCTTTTGTTTAGGGCATTAGGATAGATATTGTTATAACCGGCCTTGAAAAGAAATTGTGTTATTGTAAAAGTAGGTAACAGGCTTTAAGAGATATCCTCAGATGAGTGGGAGTGCAAGGGGCAGTCATATTGTTTTTGGACAAAACGAAGCTTTTTTTTTAATGGATGAAAATGGTATGGTAACCCCGCCTGCGCTAACGGGATACGCTGGCGGAGCACCAGTGAAGGGTGATAGATAAGAACGAATACAGGCCAGTTAGCCCAACATGATGAATTCATTAGGAATTAACCATGATAGTTTCCAGGGGGAACCGCGAGGAGGTCGACCTGGTTGGGTATATTGCTAGCAATGGGATTCTCAGTCTCCATTACTAACAATCCCTTTCCCCCCATCTATAACGCTTTGGTATCAAGCAAACTCTGTAATGTAGTGTCTGTAATATAAATTCAATAACTCGAGAATAAAAATGGTTGTTCTTGGCGGAGAGTTTACACAGAGACACTGTCTAGGTGTTATATATCTAAGGGCAAATTGTTGTAATTCTGCAAAGTGATCTAGTCCATAATATGTAAAATCTAGTCGTCATGTTACAGAACACAATTTTTTAAAGTTATCACAATAATTTATTTGTTTAGATAGTTTACGCATCCGCCTTTAAATTGTAGTTTTATCGCTTAATAAAAATAAAATAATTGGCATCGTAGGAAAAGATTTGGATAATTTAGTTTACTACTATTTATAATAATGGTTAATATAAAAACCTGGGTGATTGCAGTGTGTAGTTTTTTTTTTATTTCATTCATGGGACATTGCTTGTGAGATTTGCAATATATTTCCTTAAAACCTGCTAGACAAAACAGTTTAGTTTTAAACTTAGTTCCTATATATTATGTTCCTATCATTTTTGTGGCTGGTTTATTTAAAATATATTCGTTAAAAGAATTGTTTTTTTTTTTATTTCAACTAATTTAACCATGCAACCTTGTCTGTCTGCAACATTTTCGCCATGTGGTGGTGTCACATAAAGCTGCTTATATACAAAGGTCACTAGATAAGTTTTACAGTACAGTTTTTTTTATACAACTTAGAATGGCAAACAAGCTGACGGCCCACCTGATGGAAAGCGGTAACCGTCGCCTTTAGACATGAGCAGTAACTGGACCCTGGACATAACAGAGTATACTGTTACGCCCATGATACCCCCCATGCGTTGCCATTCCTGAGGAATCAGGTGTTATTCCTCCGTACCCAGTAAATTTACGCCATATCCCACCCTTCAAACCGATTTGACATATTTGATAATAACTCTTCACCTAGTTGCATTGTTCAATTTATTTTCTTAATTAGGAAGAATATTGGTATTTTAATAAGAGGGAGGTAAAGTGCGGTGTGCCATCTGGGCCGCTGGTGGTCTACCGTTCCACTGTTTACAAGGAGTGCCTGTACAGAAACCTCTCGGTAAGTACATGTATTTTATGGTATGAAATACACAGGCGGTATTGCCGCTCAATTGCTAGTAGTACTTAATTACTCAAGTAAGTGTTGGCAGGGTGAGCGAGTTGAGAGAGAGAGAGACTGATGATAGGGAGAGAAACAATAGTGAATTTCCAGAGAAGATTCTGAGGATCAGGGGTTAGTTTCTAGATTACTAACAATCTATAAACTCACATTCGTTTATTTTAGCTGGTTATCGAATAATGGCAGTAAATTCACTACCTAAATCTATCGGTTCCTCCAAATATTTTCCTACATCTGACTTTTTTAATATTAATATAATAAGTACTCGTAGTATTACATTGACCTTAAAAATTTCAGAATCAATTTAAATCTCAAAAATTTCAGAAAAAAAAACAAACAAACAGTATCTCAACAGAAACAAACCCAATTTCAATTTCAATTTTTCAGGGGGGAAGGGATTGTTAGTAATGGAGACTAAAAATCCCATTGCTAGCAATATACCCAACCAGCTCGACCTCCTCGCGGTTCCCCCTGGAAACTATCATGGTTAATTCCTGATGAATTCATCATGATGAGCTAACTGGCCTGTTTTCATTCTCATCTATCACCCTTCACTGGTGCTCCGCCAGCGTATCCCGTTAGCGCAGGCGCGGTTACCATACCATTTTCAACCACCAAAAAAAAAAAACCCAATTTTTCATAATTTAAAAATTTCATAGCCACTATTACAAGTTCAAAAAGAACCTATTCGCATTCTTTACATTGCATATACATTAACAGAATCGAATAAATAATTAAGTCAGGTGAAATTGGTTATTAGTGGGTGAATTGTTAACGAATCGATCTGTAATTGAATCGACCAAGTTATATCGACGTATAGTATTATTTTAACTGTGAAATAGATTAATAATAGTGGCTTTCTATTGCTACAGTTCCACAAATGATAATTTAAATATATTTTACCTATTTAATTCGAGTCGTTTGGCTGTCTGAGGAAATGACATTTCAATATATTTGTATTATAGATGAAGAACTGTCCTTTATCTATGACACTTGCATTTTGTTTTCCTTCTATTTCATAAATGAATATCAATTATGTCAATCATTCAATGAATGACTTATGAATGAGATGAAAATGATTGATAAAACAGCCGAATAAAACAAATATGTCCTCGCACATGGAAGACATCGAAAGTCGACAGAGCAAAAAGCGCGGGAATGCTTGAATGATAAAACGCTCTTTTTAATTTTATTTATATTTTTTTTTCTATATTAATTTGCATATATTTGGATACTTTATTTGAAAAGAAAGCATTTATTGTAAGTATGGGGATAAATAGAAAACGCGGGGGGGGGGGGGATTGTTAGTAATGGAGACTAAGAATCCTATTGCTAGCAATATACCCAAACAGGTCGACCTCCTTGCGGTTCCTCCTGGAAACTATCATGGTTAATTCCTGATGAATCCATCATTATAGGTTAGCCGGCCTGTTTTCATTCTCATCAATCACCCTTTACTGGTGCTCCGTCAGCGTATCCCGTTACCATTTACACCCTTAAAAAAAATAGAAAACGCAAAAAATCTTTGTCTGTAGACGATCTAGATTCTGATTAATATAATCTTTCAAAATTATTACCATCTCAGCTTATAGCAGAGGAAGACTTTGTACAAAAGTCGTTTGCTTGGACTCCTCTGTCTCTTCGTGTTTCTACCGTGAAGCAGTTATGTTTGAATGGCTGTGTTTCAGTTTGAAAGGTGGGATATGACAGTGAATTTACACTGTACAGAGGAATAACACCTGAGTCCTCAGGAATGGCAACGCATGGGGGGTATCATGGGCGAAACAGTATACTCTATTATGTCCATGGTACTGCTCATGTCTATAGGCTACGGTTACCGCTTTTTATCAGGTGTTCTAAGATATATATAATCGAAGTTGCATAGAAAAAAAAAATAAAAAATAATAAATATATAATAATAGTAAGTACCAATACTGTTTCCACTTCTTATTGTACGCACACTGCCCGCTGGTAATTAACGCTCCTTTCCACTCAGTGTTTGCTGGAAGAGAACTCTTACAGAGTTAAGCTCGCCTGTTGTACATCTTTATTTTACATATAACAATGTAACGTTTGTGTACAATGAAGTATAAATAAAATATATATATATATATATATATATATATATATATATATATATATATATATATATATATATATATATATATATATATATATATATATATATATATATATTACCTGTGGTAATAACAAGATAGTCATCTACCGCGGCGCACTTCCCTAGATCGACAAGACAATACAAACAGACAAAGCGTCACGAGCTAAACGCTTCCGGTAAGTGGTAGCACTAATGAACGTACTCACCCATTGTGCGTTACGTCACTTAGTTTTGTTTCTATTGCCCGTGAGTAGTTGAGTAATGTGGCGGTGAAGCGCGAGTCGTTTCCACGTGCTGAGGGTTCCCTATATTTTATATAAATATTTTATTAATATAATAAATCATTACGCCGATCCAAAAATTTATATAATTAGGGTAAGGTTTTTTTTTAACGGATGATAATGGAATGGCGGTTACCATTGCGCTATTGGTATTTACTGGAGGAGCACCAGTGATGGATGATTGGTGAGGATGAAACCAGGCCAGTTAGCCCGTCGTGACGAATTCAACGATAAATTAGTCACGATAGTTTCCAGGGGGAACCACGTGGAGGTCGACATAATAGGGCATATTGCTAGCAATGGGGCTGTCAAACTCCATTGCTAACAATCCCTTTCCCCCATTGGACGATTCTTTAGCAGAGAGTTTCTGTGCAGTTACCAATGTGATCTAATTGGCCCTTTATTAGCTCTACAACTGATTAAGTAAGTCTCCTTTGTTTTTGATATAGTGATGTGACGAATTGGGATGACTCGAATACTGAATCGAATATTAAGTAGTCAGGGAATCGAGTAAATATTTTACTAATATAATACAATTGTGATTAGACGATGTTTGAACATGGAAGATATTTAAGAAAAATAATATGAGAGACAAAATTTTCTTACCCATCTGTCCGTACATTTATTCAGGTATCATAGAAAAACTATTGTACTAAATTGAATGCGATTTTCACAGTTCTGTCCCTGAAGATTTGATTTTAGATCAGATTTCAGATGGAAATTTTGTCTGTCTCTTTGTATGTTTGTTCTGGCAACACGTAAAAATTACTGCATCAGGGGGGAAAGGGATTGTTAGTTATAGAGACTGAGAATCCTATTGCTAGCAATATACCCAACCAGGTCGACCTCCTCGCGGTTCTCCCTGGAAACTATCATGGTTAATTCCTGATGAATTCATTATAATAGGCTAACTGGCCTGTTTTCATTCTCATTTATCACTCTTCACTGGTGCTCCGCCAGCGTATCCCGTTAGCGCAGGCGTAGTTACCATACCATTTTCACCCATTGAAAAAAAAAATTACTGCATCAAATTGAATGCGGTTTTCCCATTTGAATTCCTGAAGGTGTACCTTAAAATCTGGTGTATGTTTTGCCTTGATACGCCATCTAGGAGCTGTCGATTTTATTGGTTTTCCTAGTTCGAAAATTCATGCCTACGAAGCAGCAGGGAAAAAACTAGTTATACATAATTCGAGTACATGATGTTCGAATACAGGATTCGAGTATTTAGCGATACTCGAATACTACTCGCAAGTATAGAATATATATAATATTGTAAGTTTTATGTTTCCATTTCATTCTTTCATTTTTTTAATAACCTTTCAAAGAAAAATAAGCAACTGAAGATTTATTACCTTCATATAAAATAAATTATAGAACTAAAAAAAATATTCGCGAATGTTTGAGTACTCGAATACTTACAAATATTCGAGTATATGTAAACTCAAGTATTTGCGAAATACACGTACACTTATTCGAGTTCTAAACTCGAATTAGGAATCGATTATTTTTTTAACGAGTACCAAAATCGAATATCAAAGAGGGACAACTGGTTACATCAACTTCGCCGGTTCCGTATAACTTCAAACGTCTCAGTTCGTCTTTGTAATTAGTCTCAGGCACGGTTTTAAGTGCACCGATTAATATTGCGAGTAATGCGAATAGGAAACCGGTTTAAACCGGTATTACCCGGTAGAAAGCTCTGGGATTTGTTATTGGATGTCTAATGTAACTACTTTTGTTGTTTGTTTTTATTTATAATAGTCCGGTCTATCTAGACATTTGAAATAGCGAAAATTCCCACAGAGCCAAAAATTGGTGGAGACCTTGGGTTCATCATTATTAATAAAAATTTAAAAATCCCCATCGATCCGGTTGGTGCGTTAAAAGTTATTTGGGGTCAAAGGTCAAAAATTTAGGTTTTTTGGATTTTTCTCGAAAACGGTAAGTTTTTCAAAAAAGTTCCTCAGACCAAATTTGTAGCTCTTCAAATTCTCTACAAAAATGGTCCTTATGATTTTTTT